AGAGTTCTGATCGGTCATAACTAAATTCTGATCGATCATAACTGATTCTGATCGGTCATAATTGGATTCTGATCGATCATCCTTTAATCGATTGAAAAAATTCTGATCGCTTATAATTAAAATCTGATCGATCACATTTGATTCTGATCGGTCATAATTGGATTCTGATCGATCATCCTGACCCTTTAAGTGATTTTAATCGATTGAAACGTGTTTTAATCGATTGAAAAAATTCTGATCGCTCATAATTAAAATCTGATCGGTCATATCTGTATTCTGATCCATCATAATGAGTTCTAAATGGTTTTAATCGATTAAAAACAAGTTGTATCGATTAAAATACTGTAAAAACACTTCTTTGAACATTCTAATTGATTTTAATCGGTTCTTTCAAAACTACATCAGTTAAAAACATGTTTAAGAAAGCTTTTGTAAAAATACTTTGTTTTTAGTTGTTTAAAACGATTTTAGAGGCATTTCGCAAAAGCTTTAAGTGAAGAACCTTCATGCAGCAGAAAAGATGAAATGATTTTACCTAAGCATTCTGTTTAAAACATACTAAATGATCCATTTTCTTTGAATAAATAAAAGAGATAAACAATTCATTTAACTACAGGAACCCAAATATATTTTCCTTTAGGAACTCCAAAATGTTTAATTTTACATCTATTTGAAGTATGACCATGTTTCATACAATAAAAACATGCATTAGATGTAATTTTAGAATATGATACATTTCTAACTATTGAAGTTTTGGTTCCTTTTTCAACCCATACTCTTCTATTTTTACTTTTAAGCTTTTTCAAAGGAACATGACAATTTTCTTTAATTTGAACACTATCCTTATTCTTATAACTATCACTTAATTCCTTTTTAGCTTTATCAAGCAAATGTCTAAGTAAATCAATATCATGTTCATACTCTTTACATGATGCACATGCTATAGTCTTATCATCATTCTCATCTATGCATACAATTTTCGTTTCTAAGGTTTCCTTTTCCTCTAAACATGAAATTTTCGTTTTTAAGGACTCCTTTTCTTCTAAACATGTGATTTTCATTTTTAAGGACTCTACCTCCATTTTGGAACTACTTAAACTCTTTTTCACAGCTTTGTATTTATTGTTCAAGTCCTTAAAAGCACTAAACAATTCATTATATGCATTTTGTAATTCATCAAAATCATTTTCATCATCACTTGAGGATGAGTCGGAATCACTAACCTCAAAGTTGAAAGATATATTGTCTTTTGCCAACAAGCAAATGTTAGCCTCTATTTCCAGATCACTTGACTCCGAAATCGAGTCACTATCATCGGTTCCTTCATAAGTTACTCTTAGTTTATCCCACATTTCTTGAGCACTCTTACAAACTGATATCCTGTAAAACTCATCAAGGGTTAAAGCAGATGAAATTATATTTCTAGCCCTAACGTCATATTAGGCTTTCCTATTTTCTTCATCCGACCATCTAGAAAATTGTTTTGGTACTTCTACTCCATTTTCAAAAACTTTAGGAATAAAAGGACCGTTTAAAATAGCGTCCCAAACGCCTCTATCAACAGACTCTAAAAATATTTGCATACGTACCTTCCAAAAAGGATAATTTTGACCCGCAAAAAGTGGGGGTCTGTTGATAGATGCACCTTCGGCAAAAGTTTGATTTTGTCCGGCCATTTTCGAAAATTTGAATGACTATCAAAGCAAGCTCTGATATCACTTGTTAGAATCGCGCAACGGAATGTTCGCGTGGTCGGACAAAAACCAAGAGGGGGGGTGTATTGGTTTCTTAATAAAAATTAGGTTTTCAAAATTTTCCCTAAATTTTACCGATTAAAAACTGTGTAAATGTAAATAGAGAAAGGGATAGAGTCTTACACAGGAAATTTATACTGGTTCGGATCAAAAGACCCTACGTCCAGTTGCTAATCACTCAACAGAGGATTAACGCTGTCATTATAAACAAGTTGTTACAAACAATTTACAATGGAAAGATAAAGATAAGAAAACACCTCTCTTGAAATCCACAAGAGATGATGAACAACTTTCCCTAGAGACGGCACAACACACAATCCACTAAGAACTCCACTTAGTGATTCTTATCACTTCTAGCCCACACCAGGTTCAGAAAGCCCCCTTTCCTTGCAACAAACAGTTCTCTGGCACTCACAACACTTAACTTTTGTATGGAAAAGGTTGTTCTTGCTTTTCTGAGTGCCAAAGGAGAGTTTAAGTAGGGAAATTAGGGTTTAGAAAAAGGGGATTTTGAAACTAGGGTTCTTGGTAATTGGGTTTTTGAAAATAGGGTTAATTTGAAATTTAAAATGAAAAACAGACTGAAATAATCAATTAAATGGAGTTATAATCGATTAAAACAGAGCCAAAAAAACAGAACCCAAAACCTCTCTTTTTTAATCGATTATTTGAAGTTTTAATCGATTATTTGACCTAATAATCGATTATTTTGATGTTTTAATCGATTAAAACAGTGAGTATATACTGAAAATGGTTTTCTCACTGTTTTAATCGATTATTTCCCTATATAATCGATTAAAGCCGAGCCTGGATGATATATTTGGGCTTTTTAAAGCTTCTAAGTTGCGGACTATGTACCTGGCTATCTCAAATTCTATAATTACGAGACTCAATCAAACTAAAACAGAGTTATTACAATACAAAAATCATCAATCTTCAATCTTCAATACTCTAAGTCTTTAAGCTCTTGGATCATCATCAAAATCAACATTCTTCATGATCATTATTTGCAACATCAAGTCCTTGAATGTTCAACAAATTATATATAAAAAAATATATCAACTTAAAATTAAAAAAATAATTATTTTTAAATTATATATATATATATATATTATATAAATTATAAATATCAAGTTAAAAAAATTATAACCTTAAAAAAATTATAATTATAAAATTAATAAAAATATAATTATTTTTAATGTTAAATAAATTATATATATTATATAAATTATATATATATATATATATATATATATTACATAAATTAAAATTACATACATGAACTCTAAATGAATTTTATATATAAAATTTACATAAATAAAAATAAAAATTATCAACTTAAAAATAAATTATATTTATATATATATATATATATATATATATATTTATTTATTCTCTAAAGTATAACTTATATAATATGATATATATATATATATATATATATATATATTTTTTTTTTTAACTATTAAAAAAACTAATCGATTATTTCAAAAAGTAATCGATCGGAATTTGAGAACCAGTTCTTTTAGATAGCGGTTAACGTGAGACCGCTATCATATATGTCACTTTTAAGAGCGGTTTCACGTTAACTGCTATCATATATGTAACTTTTAAGAGCGGTTCCACGTTAACCGCTATCATATATGGTACTTTTAAATTATATATATATATATATATATATATATTTTTTTTTTTAACTATTTAAAAAACTAATCGATTATTTCAAAAAGTAATCGATTAGTTTTTTCATACTTGATGAGAATCAGTTATTTTTTTAAATAATTGATTAATTTTATAATAATCAATTAGTTTTTCAAATATATATTAAATAATTATAAATAAAAAAATATATCAACTTAAAATTAAAAATTTATTATTTTTAAATTATATATATTATATAAATTATAAATATCAAGTTAAAAAAATTATATTTAAAATTATAACCTTAAAAAGATTATAATTATAAAATTAATAAAAATATAATTATTTTTAATATTAAATAAATTATATATTATATAAATTATATATATATATATATATATATATATACATAAATTAAAATTACATATATGAACTCTAAATTAATTTTATATATAAAATTTACATAAATAAAAATAAAAATTATCAACTTAAAAATAAATTATATTTATTATATATATATATATATATTTATTACTCTAAAGTATAACTTCTTCTTATATACATATAATTTTTAAGATTTTTATTATCCTCCTAATTTATTATTAATTTCTACAAAAATTATAATATCAAATAAATCAAAAAATTAAAAAAAGTTTAATGATACAAATAAATTTAAATATATTATTTAATAATATATTTTAAAAATATTATTTTACTACTTTTAACAATAAATCTAAATATATAATTAATTTTAGAAATATACAAATCTTTTTAAATACCTAATTTAAAACTATAAATGTTAAATAAAATAGTATAACATATTATATATATATATATATATATATATATATATTTTTTTTAGTTAGTTTTTTTTTAACAAAATAAAAAGAAAACTATTCAGAATTCGGTTGTCGGAAAATCGAATTCTAAATTGTTTGTAAAAATTATAAAATACAATTACGTTTAGGTTTTGTATTCAAGTAAATCGAATTCTCGACTTAATAAAAAACTCGTGTTATCTAGGTAAATAAAACCTACTTGGATATTTGAGTAATTAAAAAATGAATACGTGATACTGTAGAAAAAATTTCGAATATTGTGTAATTTCAAGAAATATATGTAATCAGTAATTTAATATTTTTAGGAAAGAATTTTGTTTTTCCAAGAATAAGAATTAAAAATTTATTTTTAATTTTTTGTAATACAGTGTTCCAGTCCTGTGCTGTCTAACTTTGTTTGTAGAGATTCGACCCTTTTTCAGCAGAGCTATTTACAGTGCAATCCATCCCCATATCAGTTTCCGTGCTTTGCGATTGGACCATTTCAGCAAATTCTTCTCAGTCAAAGGCAGCATTGCAGGACTTCTGCTCTGAAGTATGGGACACATGTCAAACTGTGTCAATTATAAACTCACCGTTTTCCCCTTCATTACAAGGCCAAAAAGGAGGAACAGGTAATAATGCCAATGCAACCAAACTGACTGCATTATGGATTTCCAAAACAGATTTTTGTAATGCATTTGATGGAGCCTCCAAAAGTGAATCAGTTTGCTTTGAGGGGGAACCTTTGTCCTAAAATAACACTCAAACTCCCATGAACCCCCTCATGGTTTTTGCCTTGAGAAAATTGGGAATGAATCTTATCTCGTTATGGTTGCTCACCCTGATGACTCTAACGGCGCATTCTTCTCTAGTCAAATGGGTAAGGTTTGGCTGGCAATATTCCTTATGAGGGATCAGGAGGACAATTGGAACTTGATGTGTCAAGTCCCTTCGTTGATCTAAACGACCAAGTTCATTTTGATACTCAACTTGGAATGATGGGAATTGAATTTCATCCAAACTTTGCAAACAATGATCCATTCTTTGCTTCATTTAACTGTGATAAAGATAAGTGGTCTGGATGTAATGGAGTATGTTCTTGTAATTCAAACGTTGATTGTGATCTATCAAAGCTAGGAAATGATAATGGTGTTCAATCAGGTACTGCATCTGCGCAATCATCGCTATAAAAATAGTTTTTATAATGAGTTTAACTCAACGCATTGGACTAAATTGTTCTTGATTTTTCAGACAAGTGCTAAACCAGTATAAGTGAGAAGGATATTTAACATGGCCTCCCTTTTATTTCTCAACATGGGGGCAGATTCTCTTTGGACCTAATGATCGACAGTCATGATGGGAGATGGTGGAGGTTCAGGTGATCCATTACGAGGTTTGATATAAACAACATTTCATAATGCATGTACCCTATATTTGAAGCTTGAGGAGTTCTTTTGAAATATTCTACCATTCAATTAATCAAATCTGGTCATAAAGTAGAATGAATACCAAGGGAATATTGCAGCATAGTAATTTGATAAAAAGAAAATTGTGAATTTTACTCTTTTTTCATTTCTCTGTTTTCACAAACATTGTAAAGTTATTGAATGCTAATTATCATTTGTTCCCTCACTTTTGTTAATGACATCTAACATATCTCAGGTGCATCAGAAATCAACAAACTTGGCCTTTGGAGTAGCTACTCAAGTCCCAAGGATAATCTATTCAGTGAAGATAAAGATCTGCAACCTGAAATATGGGACTTGGGATTAAGAAATCCGTGGCAATACAGTTTTGATTCAGAAAGACCTCCTACTTTTCTGGAAGAAGAATTGAAGGGCACAATTTATTTATCTTTACAACAAAAAATTTCATAGTTTAGTATTTCTATGCGGTGGTGACACTTACATGTGAATAGATTCCACAATGTGATGCCGTTGCAGATGCTGCTGTAATCGTAGTATAGAGACCACATTGCGACCCTGTCCAAAATTTAAAACTTGCTATGATTTGAAGCTCAAAAAAGTATGCTAAAAATCAATTTAATCATATGGATGAAATTTCTTATAGGTTTGAAGTATGCAAAAATATAATCTAAAGCCTAAACATGAAGGATATTACTTTGTAAGTAGGAGTAGTTGATTAAATGTGGCACACATAATTTGCTACTACAGCTGCAGCCTACAAGTTTCAGATTTGGCCATTTCCTGACATTTTCATCAACATCCAATATGATGAGCTTCAAGGAGTGCAAACCTGGAAAGGCATTTTATGCGTCTTAGCTGTACCATTTGGCATAGTCCAACAACTGAAAAGTGTTACTATTCTTGAAAAGATATCATTGAGCTGAGGCTGAGAAATTAAACTGTTTGCAGCACCAAGTGTGGTGTACATTATTTGGCAGTTGGTGTGTGCTAGCAAAAAACCAATGTTGACAATCTGGTCCATACAAGTGTCAGTTTTGGAGTGACATAGGAGTTTGGGACTGCTAGGTACAGCTGGATAAGCAATTACTACTTGTAGAGGTAAAATCAGCTTGGACATTCAAGAATTGACAGCCCACTGCAATAGAACACTGGTCAACCTGACACTGAATTCCTTTGATCAATTGATGTCCTTACTTAAACAGAGAAAGGGGACAAGACAGGGAATCAAGATATAAATTCATTTATACACCAATCAAAACCATTCATCAATCAATATGCCCAAATGGGTTATTCTTTTTTTAATCTTCAGTAGTAGACAATTAATAGTAGTAGAAAATATATATTTCTTTTGTCGTTCTACTCTTTCTAGGAGATTATACTTTAGAGTTTAGTTAATATGATTAAATATTTTGTGTTCATAGGTTTGTTGAGACTAACCAAATATTTGATTGAAGAAAAATAAGAATTAAAATCTTAAAATTAGCTATAAATTATTTTAATTATCTATCCACGACATTTTAAATTGCATAAACTGAAAGATATTTTAATAAATTGTTTAAATAATTTATCCTATTTAAAGCAATGCATGGAATAGTTAAATAACAAAGGCCTCCATACCTGTTTGTGCATAGAAAATAACATGACCTTAATTCATGTTTGTAAAGTAAATAGTAAATTGGATTATGAAGATTGCATGCTATTTGTTGTCTTTATGAAATGCATGCTCAGGTTGCACCTGGACACCCAGAAGTTTCACGTGGTGGGAACCATGAATGTTGTCAAATTTTGATTATTGCACCACCTTTAGCGTTGATTTTTATATATATTTTCTACTAATGTAAATCACCCTTGGAACAAAAATGATAGACAGAAAAAAGAACTCATAAGTAAAAAGTTAAAGATATAAAAGATGACAGAAACAAAAGAAGAAAGGAAGTATAAAAGATGACAGAAATTTCAGTACTGTTTTAGTAAAATAATTATAAAAGTATTTATATTTATAACACTAGATTAAACATGTCGTTAACATTTTAATATGGGCCCCTTATTTTATGCAAAAAGGTACATGGAAGAAGAATTTGTTTATTTAAGCCAGCCACTATACTTTGAACTTATTTGTGGTGTGACCCGACCAGAATTTTGCAAAGATCGACCTAGTCAAGTTCAGTCATGTTCCATTACATGTCATGGCGAGTGGAATATTTGACTTGACCCAATTCATTGAGTAGGCTAGCTAGTACCAACCTTTTCCAATAGCTTTAATGAGTATTTCTTTTTCCTGTTTCTCAATCTAGTTTCTCTTTTCATATTCTTCAAACCTCTTCCACACCTTTCAACACAAGAATGAATAAACTCGTTGGAACTCAAACAAAAAGAGGTTAAATTTCAATCATGTTTGTGGTGAAGTATGAATATGAATGAGGTTATCAAAATTCAATCATGCTCAAGTTCAAGTAGAATCTATGCTCAGTATGCATAACACCTTGCAAAATAGATAAAAGAGATAGAAGCATAATATGAAATGGAATACAAAACTTGGTCTTCCCAAAATTACATTTTTTTTTTAATTTATATGGTTCTTTTCTCTAGTACTACATGTAATGATAAAAATAACAGTCATATGAATCTAGGTTTGTATATGTGCATGGTGATTATCAGATTGTTCCTCACATGCTTCTTCAGTGCTTTTTGTAATTTTCTTATAACTAATTAGATGAAGTAACTAATAAACTTAGCAATATTTATCCATATAGCAATCTACTTCAAGCTTTAAACTTCTACTATGAATTTGCAAAAAATGCAACCTTCCTTTTTAAGGCAAAAAAGGGGAATCAAATCAGCAATATCCAAATTCTTCAGTTTCAACACTTTCTGTCAAGACAAGTTAGAATTTTCTGTTTGTAAACTTAACATGTCTGGTTTAGCTTTTGAGAAGTTGAACATAATTGTGTTGGGCAATTTGTAACTTTTGTCAAAACTATAATTTTAGATTTTGTAAAACAAAACCAAACTTGTTTAACCTTTTGTGTTTACATCAAAATTTCTCAAATAGCACACTAACAAGGAAGAATTGTTTCAACTTACACACTTGTGTAATCATGGTTAAATTCTTGTTTGAATCTATTAAATAACACAGAAATTAATTAGAATCACTTCAATAATATACAGTGTAATGCTGATCCAAATACACAGATAACTAATTTTTAAACAGAAGAAAGGCACGAGGAAAAAAAAAAAAAAAGAATCCGAAGTAAATGTTAGGATCGAGCGCTTACCACTAGGCCAAAAGCTATAGCCATTAGTCAGAGTGCAACTCTTTTTACTTTAACGATTCAGCGCCACGATTCAATTGTGACTCGCCCACTGACCTTCGATCCACAGGACAATTGATGCTACCCGCAACAATCTCCTCCTCAGCGATTGTCCTACAAGGTATCCCACTCTTGGATTGTGACTTGGCCCACTCGGCCTGCCACGGGACAATTGTGCAACCTGCAACAATCTCCCTCAACAATTGCCCACCAGGAATCGAACTCGTGACCTTGGCTCGATACCAATTGTTAGGATCGAGCGCTTACCACTAGGCCAAAGCTATAGCCATTAGTCGAGTCGCAACTCTTTTACTTTAACAGCCCAAGCGCCACGATTCAATTGTGACTCGGCCCACCTGACCTTCGTCACAGGACAATTGATGCTACCTGCAACAATTATTGTTGCAGGTAGCATCAATTGTTCTGTGGCAGAGGCCGGGTGGGCCGAGTCACAATCGAATCGTGGCGCTTGGGCTGTTACTCTTAAGTAAAAAGAGTTGCGCTCTGACTAATGGCTATAGCTTTTGGCCTAGTGGTAAGCGCTCGATCCTAACAATTGGTATCAGAGCCAAGGTCACGAGTTCGATTCCTGTTGAGCAATAATTAAGGGGGAGATTGTTGCAGGTTGCACAATTGTCCCGTGGCGCAGGCCAGGTGGGCCAAGTCACAATCGGTGGCGTAGGCTAGATGGGCCAAGTCACAATCCAAGTGGGATTCCTCGTAGGACAATTGCTGAGGGGGAGATTGTTGCAGGTAGCATCAATTGTTCTGTGGCAGAGGCCGGGTGGGTCGAGTCACAATCGAATCGTGGCGCTTGGGCTGTTACTCTTAAGTAAAAAGAGTTGCGCTCTGACTAATGGCTATAGCTTTTGGACTAGTGGTAAGCGCTCGATCCTAACAGTAAACCCAATCAACAGTTTGATCCAAAAGGGAACAACAGAGAAGTAGTTTTTTTTTTTTTTTTTTTTTTTGGCATCTGACGCAAGGTGAAACCAAATCTAACCTCATACCGAATTTCAGTACTGTCCCTCTCTATCATCACTGCTAGACACACCACTCTTTCTCTTTCTCTCTTCACTTTGTGTTTTTCCTATTTTGAAGTTACATTGATTCACATGAGCTTCTCATAGGATACACTCACCTTTGGATTTGAGGGTTTGGTTTGGACCCTTTGGTCCTTCCCATCTCCCCCTCTCTTTTCTCTGTTCTCTTTTCTTTTTTTATTGTTTTCTTGTTCTGTATAGTTTCTTCAATCAAATGGTAACTCATGGATATCATGATTCTCCAAGTGTAAACTCACACTGACTTCCCCTAAACCCTAATTTAATATCCCTTGTCATGTCCAACGGATCCCCTCCTCCGGTGACTGGCGAACGGTCCTTGCCGCCGGAAACCAATCCCTCAAACCATGTCTCCGATTCGAAGGTGGAAACCGCCGCGGCTCCTCCTCCAACCACCAGGAGTACACGCCCGTCTCGGGCGTGCACCATGCGCGCCGCCTCTCGCCTCCATTCCTTGCCAGCGCCGGCGAAGAAGGAGGACTCGCCGCAGCCGCAATGCGGCAAGATCGTGACTCCGCTGGTGGAGCCTCCGTCTCCGTCACAGTTGCCACGGTGGAACCTGCGGTCGATGTGGGAGTTCGCTTCCGTGCTGAATTTCTTGCATGTGAGTTGCGAAGTGTAATCTTTATCTTTGGATTGCGTTTGTTTGTCTTTTCTATGTGTAAAAAGTTGCGCCTTGTTGCAGCTGTTTATGCCTCTTTTGAATATCTCGCTGGAATTTGCTGCGGAGGAGTTGGAGACAGCCCTTCTTACCCCCAGCGATACTTTGTTTCATATTCATATGCCTTTGCTAAAGGTTGGTTGGTTTTATCACTAATTTTTGTTTAGTTTTCCTTTGAGTTTGTGTTTTTGTTCATGTTTATGGCATGTCTTTTTTTCTTATGTGAATGTAGGTCTTAATCTTTGCGGATTGAGTTTGTTTACTGCTTGTTGTTGTGGTGTTTACTCTGTACATGTTTAATAAGATTCTGTCATTATGTTTCTTTCTGTTCTGTGCTGAATTTACTATTTTTAATGTTGATGCTCCAAACTTTGCACCTTCAATTGCAGATTATAGTTTTGTAACCTGGTGGAATTGGATGCTTAACTGCAAGGGAGATTTTAGAGTTATGAAATGGGATGTTTGTAAATATAATCTGTTCATGGGAAGCTGCTGTGGTCGAAAGAGAGTAGAGTGGCTTAGACAGGCATTTTGCGTTGGTGTTATCTAGTTTTAGTTCAAGTTTAAGTGTAGCTATATGGGGAATGTTTTTACGATACAGGTGAAAACTTGCGCAAATTTTTTAACTGAATGAGTTGAACTCAGATATAGACTTCTGGAATTCCCAGAAGTTTGGATGAAACTTTATTTGATGGGGTAGTTGGATTCTGTAATACTGGATTTGATGGAAGGAAGAAGGCTTGTTATTTTAGTTTTCAAATTACATTAATGATTGATGATGACCTACCAATGAATTTGACCAATATAATATTCTGAGATGGATATAATTGTTTTTTACTGCATGCATGCTTGAGGTTGATAGAGGTTTGTAAGTAGGGAGAAGGTACTTGATTGGAGATTTTTATTAGAAGTATGGAGAAACCCTTTATTCAGTAGCTAAAAGATAAATGTGAACTTGCATTGTTCCTTTCATTTCCATGATTGTTAAATTGGGAACATGTAGGGATTGTGATACGCAGATCTAAAGGCCCATTTCCCTGCTGAAGAATTGAATGCAACCATGAAGTGTGTTTATTCCATGCAGTTGTCACTTTTAGGATCGAAAATGATAGTGTTTACTTAATGATAAGATTACATGTCCAAAACAGTCTGCTTAAGTTTTAAAGCTTTGTCTGCATTTATCCATGTGTTAACTTTGACCCCCCTCTTAATGTTCTGGATCCAAATCAATCTCAAAGGTGCTTTAGCAATGAGTAATATATATGTACCTTGGATACCGAAAGGAAAGATCAACCAACATAGAATAATTTTCTGAAGTTTCGGGTACAAGATACATACCTTATTATTACTGAAAGTTTTCTGACATGAACAATAGATTGATGATTTAGCTCTTTATTGTGTTGTTTATATATATATATATATGTGCTAAAGGCAGGATACTCCATCAGTCCCTGATCTAATGAATCATCAAGCTATGTTTATATAAATTTTGTTTTTTATTTTATGAAAAACATCAACCTTGCATTTGTCTCTAGCAGTGAGGAAAGTGACGGCTGTTAATTGAGTAGTTGTGTTTCAAATCTATTAGTAGGTGTTTGAACTTTGGAGTTGTGCATTTAGCTGTAATTCTTCTGCAATCATCTTTCTCAAGGTTTATTCCTTTAGAGAATCAGTTCGTTCTTCTCGTGTTTGCAGAGCTGCATCTGGTCTGATAATAACATATATTAAACGTTTTGATAGGCAATCCCTCCTATTACACGAATGGCACTCACGCGCGACACTTGGATAACCGTATTATGCAGGAAATTGAGAGATTGGTGGCATTGGGTAATAAGTTACTTCCAATCAGCAAGCTCATATTTTATAATAATGTCTATTTTACAATTTCTAGAGCTAATAAGAGGATGGAATTCATATTTAGGTTGCAGATGGGGATCTTCCCATTGTTGCTTCCCATGGGTAAGTTTCCATGCAATTTTTGTAACCCTAGAATCTTAATCTTCATATATCACAAGTCTCAAGTTATGCTAATGTGACAGGGTGGAGATTGAAGTGTATAAATCACTTGATCCAGGGATTCGTGTTGTCATCTTAAAAGCATTATGTGACATTCGTGTTGAGGTATATTTTGTTTTTCAATATTCATCTATCAATATCAATTTATCTTACATGGGTGAACTTTGGTATGGTATGATGTTACTATTTTAAAAGCTGTTCATGTTCTAGCATGACATTGTCTCTTATTTGGCCTGCTCCTTGTATCTTTCACACAATCAAGTCCATTATGCTTGTGTATTTAACAAAGTCAGCATCAATATATTGTCATGTCATATATTACAATCAGCATATATATGGGTATGTTGTGTTTTCCTTTTCTGTGGGATTTGGGAACTCCATAATACCCAAAGTCCCTCACTTGGTGATACTTTACTCAACTTTGTCTTTGGTTAGAACCCTCCTTACACAGCCCTTTCCAAGACACTAACAACAACTCCTGATACTAATTGATAAGCACTAAAGCATTTGGGGAACCCATCTGGAAAAGCTAGCTATTAACACGAAAGAACCAAGCACTTGAAACTCCACCAAGCATCCCATACTACTCATTGTAGGACTTAGGCATCCAATAATACTAAGTCCTTGTTAACCTCAGTATTTTTTACTGGGTCAGGGAAGTAGGGACCCCAAGATCAAAATCCACTGGTTGCATCCACTATTCCCCAAGTGTTCTTACTATGTTATTCCTTTTTGTATGCAAGTGATGTAGTGATCAAATTTGAGTCATTATTTTGCAGCAAGAAGATATTAGAAGTTATATTGACAACTCAATTAAACATGGTGCTCAAATTTCAACATTCCGTAAAGAACGTATTGGAGGTGATTCACACGGAATTTCTTATTGGTAATAAACTTTTGTTTTTGGGTTGTCATGGTCAAATTTTGAAATTTTATATTAGAAATTATTGTACATTTAAAGTAATGGTTTTATTCATTTGAAATTTGACTGGTGCAGGTATGAAGATGATCCTATTATGGGACATAGATTGTATCGAGAAATAAGGAAAACTGAAGTGATTCAACTGAAGAAAGGGAAATCAAGAGGTTCCCAGGTTCTTTCTAGCACATCATACCAGTGGGAAGCAGTTGCTACCAATTTTGATGAATTTCAAGATGTTTCTGTAAGTTATTAAAGCTGGTGGTTTATCTACGTTCATTTTAATGAGTTACTTATCACTTAAACATGGAACAACTAGCATTTGTTGTATTGTAATTGTTGGATGGTTTGAGTGGAGTTGAACCTTGGTGTTATAGATTTGTGATTTTGATAAAAAGTCACATGATAAGTTTAAATGTAAATTACATAATAATGTTGTAATGTTGGATAACACAACAATTATTATGATTAGAAACCCAAAGATATAGTCTACGCAAACTTTTGTTAAGTTACAAAACTTTAACATAATTAGAAATCCAAATTAGGCATTCTCCCTGAATTCCAAATATGTTAGATTGACATCTTATTTATCAGAAATTATAAATCCAATGGAAACATGCATAATTAAAATTACCAATTTGTTTTCTTACAGATTTTATTGATTTTTTGTTTTGTTTCATTATTTAATTTTATATAGCAAAAAGAACATCATTTATGTTCATGGGTTCACATTATCCTTTGAATTATTCGCTTATAATGTGAAAGAATATATGTAAACTGTCATACTGGAAAGAGAAATTTACTGACGTGGGTTGAAATAAGCAACTAGAAGAAAAAGGATGACACACCCTTTAGGATTGCTGAAACATATAAGTGATAAAATGTGATTTCTGAAAATTCTGCAAGGATTTTTTTTTTTTTAATTTAATAAATTGCTAAATAAATACAGTTTTTCTTTTAGTTGGTACTAATTGGATTTAGCAGTTTTACACAAAGGCTAGCAAAATAATCTGCAGTCTTGTGGTGGGTGGTTCTCCAAAGTCAAATACCGTTTTCTAAACTACTATGAAACTTATTTGATCTTACAAGCAAATATAACTATTTGTAGCTAAACCTTTATTGAATTATACTCACTGCAGTCTTCATCTATAATGTGATTCAGAGATCAAAGTTAGCTGTTGCTATTATTTCATGAGATCTGATTTTCAATGTAGAAGCATTTGCCTTGTTCGATAGTTTGATGATTGTGCTCTCTAGTCAATGTTATTTAGTGCATAAAACTTTATCCAGATAAATTGGTTTCACCCTTATTTTTTCTTTTCTCATTTTCATTTGGATGAAAAAAACAAAGAATCGTGTGTCCCTGTTCTTATTATGAATTGCATCTTTTTCTTTACATAAGCTGCGTCATATATGCATTTAAACAATTATTTCATCTGCTCACTCAGGAAAAGCTTTTCTCAAGTAAAAACAGAACAGAGACTTCTCTGGGGAAAAAGCTAAAGATAGACATGCTTCCTGAGGTTGAGAAAGTTCATAAGGTACTCTAGGGTTGAAAATTTTGAGAAGAACTGGTGTGTGAAATTGAATTCACCTTTTTTTTTTTAATATTGTTTATGGTCCTTCAAGTATCTCAATTGTATTTTCATTCATCTGATTACCAAATCGATTTGGTTGGCACAGAAAAAGGAGAAATTGCTGAAAAAACAACACAGACAAACTCTTCTGCTTGATAATTACTTGGTTGTTGATGGGCTTGGTCCTGGGCGTTCTCTCCGCGACAGGAAGCCTGTTACCTACACTTTTGGTAAGAGCAAGCAAGTTAGTTATAACTGGAGCCATCATTTTCTTGGTATTTGTAGTTGATGCCTACAATTGGTTGATTTGAATTTTGGTCGAACAACTGTAGTTTGTCTAGTAGTCCTGGTTCCTTCTGTATAAATGTTACAACATTAAAAAGTATTTCATAGATATGTGGATTCTAGTATTGAATGTTTTAGAGCAACTTATTTGGTCTTTACATTGGGGAAGTAATCTGGGGAGTTGTTTCCCGAGAATTCCAAGTTGTCCTTTTTGTTATTATTATTATTATTATTTAATTAAGATTAATAGTTTTATTGTGATAGTGAGATGGGGCATGTCTATTAATTCTGCCTAATTATTGGGTTAAGTAGGACCTTCTATAACACATGATTGCACTCATTTTGATGTAGTATGCTTTCCTCGTTTTCCTACCTAAATACTATATTTTGAACACAAATTGAGTTTCTGTGACTGTCCACGGCCACCAGGTTCCTGATTTTTTTAATCTTTTAGGCTGGATAGATTGACCCATATCTATACTATACTGGGAGAATGTCTGGTTTTAGTAGTCACCCAATGGCCTGGGGTTGTCAGTGCTACCATAAGGATGGAAATATCTGATTGTGGCTCTTTGCTTTTGATCATCCATTGAGTCATCAAATCTGATCAATTATGTCATTGAAACTTTCATGTTTACCAGTCAGCGTGTTTCAACATGGTAGACTTCTTTTATAAAAATCGTATATTCTGTTTCATTCTCAGTTCTTGGGTAATTTTAAGAGGGTAAGTCTTTTTGCAATTGTAAGATTTCAGCCTTGAGATTTCGTGGTCCCTGGTTTTAGGCTTGAAAACAACTCCCCTCATCTCTTCAGGGTCAAACATGCATATGCAACCCTCCCCAAATGGTTGTAGATTTTTCTTTTTCAAATCATGGTGCTTCAAGATCCAAAAAAAAAACAACTCAAATTGATTGCATCTTCACCTGTAGATTTTTCATTGCCCGCAATATTCAATTTCATACATTGGCATTCTGTTAAAGCTGCATGTTTGTGTCCATTTTTTAACATATAGCATGATGGTTCGAATCTATGACTTGCTAGTTACCCAAAACACTCACATCTAACCCAGTCCTTGTGGTTTTGCTCAAATTGCTATGCTTGAATTTCCTGATTTTCCTTTTGATTGGACTTGAATCAACTTACACTCAGAAACCACAATCTGCTTGTTTTACCCTAACCTAACTTTGGAATTACTGTTATTGCAGATGATTTTGATCGGTCAATCAACGAGGCCATTAAAGTAACCAAGTATGTGCTTATATCCTTTCCTTCTTTGTTTTGTGTATGTGTGGGAAGGGAGATGGGTTGGTTATACACATTCACTTGTGCCATGTACTAATGGCATGTATATATATTTCTTGCATTTTCAGGCAGAAACAGCCATCTCCAGAACGTATGCCTAGAAGAGAATTGGTAGCAAAATCTGAAACTTTGACTAATGGTAAATATGGTCCTCAGTATGCCACACAAGATGTGAATTTTAGTATACCATCACCAGAATCAGCGGACTCTGACGATGACAAGGAAGACCATGAAAATGACAACTTGGATCGAAGGTGTGTATCTTTTGTTTCTTTCAAATGTATTGAGACGTTTTCTTTCTCAATCTAATTTTCACTAATTTCATTTTAACATTAGCAATCGTCAAAGACGGAGACCTAATCGTTATTCAGAAAGAGAGTTTGTTGAAGCAGTATCATATAATGAGGCAGACTTCGATAGTGATGATGATATTGTAGGTGAAGCTGTATATGATGAAGAATATCTCAAAAAACGTAAGCAGAAAAGGAAGTCTTCTAGTAGCTCTGAAGGAGAAGAAGAATATGAATGGGACGAATATAATATTGAAGATGACGAAGATGAAGATGAGGATGATGATGATTCCTTGAGCATCAGTGATGATAGTGACAAACCCCGCAAGGTCAACAAACAGTTGCCAGGACGTACCAGGAAAGAAACCAAACTCAGATCTGTGGGTGAGATTCAATCAAGTCTAAGACGCAGTAAGAGAGCAACTAGAAATTCTATAAATTACCGCCAATATGAGGCCTCAGAATCAGAAAGTGAGTTTATCAAATCTGAGAAATCTGATACATCAGCTGATCACTCAGAACCCAGTGAGAATGGTGAATACATGACGGAAAGTGAAGATTCAGACGGCAGTGATAATGAAGAACAAGAAATGAAAGTAGATGGGCCTGTTACTTATCCTGCAGTAGAAGAGAATGAACAAAACCAGGCTCCTGAAAAATTTAGTCCTGGTCAGGAGGAAGTTGAGACCACCGGAAAGAGACGCTTCCTTGATTTGAATGAGCTTGCCCCTAGCACTGGTTTTGACGATGGTCCAAACACAATAATGAAAGATGAAGACAATGATTACTGAAGCTTCTCATTCTGCTTCAGAGCAGGGATTGTAGTTTCTATCAGGGAAGCCAATGTGTATGATAATAGAAATATAAATTTTGTTATAAGCCCCAGAGGAAGTTACGATCTGGTTCTTCCTGGGCACGGTCTAAGCAAGCCCTTGGTGCATGATTTGCCACCAGAAGTAGCGTGATACTCAGTTATGTAGATTAGGTAGTCATTTTTTTTTTAATATTTTTACATTCAAAGGTTCCTCCAAAATGAATGAGAAATTGCTGGGCGTTATTTAGCCCATCGAATCCGTGTACAATAACTGATAACAGGTACTGTAACTCTAAAAAAGATGTGGCTTGCAGATTATTAAGCCCTGTATTTTCTCTTTTTTCTTTAATTTATACTGATTTGCATCTAGCATTTAGTTTTGTTTGTAATATTTCTAATAGGAAACTGGATTTTAATCTTACTGAATCTGATTTTAAGACAAATAATCATTTTTGAGACATTGCATCGTTTGATACTGATGAGATTTTATTGGTTTCACGTTAATTTTTTATGATCAATCAAAACATGCTTGTTTTCCATTTTTGCAACCCTAAACACACAATTGCCTTCCTTCATTAGAAGCATTTTAATTAAAAAAAAAAGTGTATTTCCGTTTCCATGCATCCAAACACCAAGTGCATGTTCATGTATTTTTATTTCTAAAAAATAATTTATTTCCTTATTTATTTATTGTGTATTGAAATTTGTAAAATTACTTTTCTAATTTGAATCAAAACATAATCTAAATATTTCCATGGTTGCATCGAAGCGTAATTGAAATTAAGTCAAAACATGGATATGTGAACTGTTGGAACCTGCCCAAATTTGAAAGTGAATGGAAAAGCGGCCAAATTCATCTGGATGTGTGGGTTTTCGGATGAAAGAAATCGAGTTACAAGATATTGACACGGTCAGATTCGATTTTAAATTTTTATAACAGTCAGTATCCAATACAATAACATTCTATTTCTATTTAGAAAACCTAAATATAAAGGGGAAAGTTAGAAGAAATTTCAAGAAGGTTACTTTGAGACTTTGAGTAAGTGTTACTTCTCTTATTCACCCTCACCAAATCACTTTCTATTGCCTTTCATATCACGACTATTTTTATAAAACATTGACCCACTCTTGTTGAACAACAAATTTATGTGATGTAATGGAATATATTTTCTTGGCAAATTGTACTAGTTTCGTCATTTTAGGTTAGTTTTTATTATAATGATATTTATTTTGTCATTTTACGTTAGTTTTCATTATATTGATATTTGTTTCGTACGTTTAGTTTTTGTTATATTAATATTTCTTATAATATGTTGTATTAGTTTTATCTTTTTACATTAACTTTGATTAAGCAAATATTTTTTTTAATAAATTGTATTAGTTGGAAATATATTTTTATGATAAGTTTGAAATATGTAAGATTTCTATTTTTATATTAGTTTTTGTTAGGTGAATATTTTTTATAATGAGTTAGTCCTTTCAAACTAATTTTTTATTAGATAGATATCTTTTAAACTAATTTTTATTAGATAGATATTTTTTTATTGAGTTATGTGTACCTTAATTTTCACGGAATATTTTTTATTGTGTATTCAATCTTTCACACTAGTTTTTGTTAGATAAGTATTTTTTATAATGAGTTGTATTAATTTCGCTCTTTTGTATTAGCTCTTGTTAAATAGATATTCTTCAACAATAAATTGTGTTAATTTTGTCACTCTTTTTTAGTTATCCTTACTATGAAAATGTTTTTGACTATGTATGATTTACCCTCTTGATGAAATATCGTTATAAGATGAAGGGTTCATTTTTTCGTATAATTCTTTTAGCTCCTACATCTTACTTTATAGGAAGGCAATCATCTTATTTTGAGACAAATTTTCCTTCCGTCCATATTTAGTGGCTTTCTCCCACTTTTTTTTTATAGAACATCAATTATTTTGCATTATGTGGGATATTTTTCTATCATGTTTATATCAAATCAAAGAAACATTAAATAAATATTAGCATTAAAATATTTATATTATGTTTGATCACAGTATTAAAATTATATTGGTATTGAATATTTATAATTCTTATAATACTATAGTCTTTTCTCTTACCTATTAGATTTATTAAAAATTATAAAATCATTTAATTTTGGTAATCAATGAAATATGTTAAGTATAAAAAAAAAATCTCACAATAAAACCAAATCCACAAATACAAAATGTTTTATTACTCAGCATCCAATTTTTACAAGAACAAAATTGTAAATTCTTAAAAAAAAACTATATAAGTCCAATACACCAAAAATATTTATTGACTTGTGGTGAAAAATATTAACTCATGGGACTTTTTGTCAATAATAATTTTTTTCATTTGTAACAACTTTATAAGATTCATAATTATATATATATATATATATATATATATAATGACCTTTTAAAAAATAAATATTTATTTTTAATAATGCAACAGTTGATAATAATATTGTATGTCTTTGTAAATAAAAATTCTTTTATAACAGATATATTTTTTCATATAAAATCAATTTAATAATATTTATGAATTTAACATTCTATAATCATATCTTACATATCTAATGAAAAATAATAATAGAAAATCAAAGACATGCCTTGAGGAAAAGATAGATCTTTCTATATTCATACCATCTCATATTATCATTTTTAAAATTAAAATCATATAATTATGCATGTGTAATCATATAATGTAAAGATAATAATAGAGAATTAAGAGCATGAGAACATTAAAAATAAAAATATGTTATATTTCATTGTATGATATGCTATAATGCATGGTAATAATTAGGATTGATTTATCTCTACAAATTAATAAAAAATATTGATGATTTATTGATTTTGAAGGAATAAAATAATATATTATTCATAAATAATAAATAAATATGAAAAAAAAAGGATAAGAGATCTTATAAATATATAATATATTTAATAATTATTAAGTTTAGCAAAACCAAAATCATAACATGCCTCCTAAAAAGTTCTCCTACTGATGGATCAATTCTATTTATATTTTTTATTCATAATTTTTAGGTTATAACGAGGCAATGTTAACTTTATTAAAATTTAAAAAAAAACTATTAATGTGTCTATATCAATGAAATTATTATTAAAATTAATTTTTATTTCAAATATAATAATTTAATATATAAATGATAAAAGAAGATTTTTATTTAGTCCTAAAATAAAAATTAAAACTTATTTTTTTATCACCATTAATTCTTTTAGTAATTTAATGATGTAAAATAATAATTCATCTTAATAATTAAATTATAAAATAAATGGACGATAGATATTTTCTTCTTTATTTTTTTAGAATAAAAGAAACTATTATTAAAATAATTTATAATATATATATATATATATTTAATAAAATAATATTACTTTATTTTTATTTAAAAATAATTATTATTTTATAAAAACCGATTATAAATTATATAGTTTAGTCTAAAATACGGAGATTATGACGTAAACAAATCTGACCAAAATAATTATAATTTAATTTATTAAGTCACAATTTTTTTTCTAACTTTGTCTATTTATTAAATCAACCTATCTTAAACTTATTTTAAAATATTAATAATAATTATTATGTGAAAAAAATTTCTCCTAATAATAATGATTTAATAAAAAAGAAAATATTTATAATATAATATTTTATATAGCAATAATACAGTATTATAATAATAATAATATTATTATTATTATTATTAATTATTATTATTATTATTATTTTAAAATCATAAAACGGAGAAAACAAATTACCTCTTTAAAGTGTTTTTTATGAATAGTGAAATTTTGTAATACAAGTTTACAAGGTTTTTATTTAAAAATAATAAAAATAAGTTGTATAATTTTTTTTAATTTTCAATTATCATAATAAAATTTAGAAATATAACATAGGTATAATGAAGGTGTTAATATAACCATCAAATTTCAGATTATTTATTATCTTGATGAAATCATCTTATATTACTATAACAAATTATTAGTAAAAAAAATATATCACACAATAAAATAATTATTATTTAAAAAATATATAAAATATTAAAAAGAACACAATCAAAATTAAAATTAAAATTCAAAGTAATAATAAGATTTAAAAATCACGTGTAATTCATTCATTTTACTAAAAACGATTAAAATTCAAAAAAAAAAGTTTAACCTAATTTAAATTTAATCTAAATAATCCATCCAAAATAACTCCTATCAAATTAATTTGATGAATTAAATGATTGAATAAGTTTTTAAAATGTAAAATTTGATTTAGATCGGATTAATAAAGTTGAACGGAATTGATAATAACCCTATTAAAATAATATTTAGCCTACTTAATATATTATCCATTATGAAAGCACATATCTAAAACTAAATTTTGTTTATTAGTGCAAGACTAATCTTCTTGTTATATTTTTGTCTTAATATTAGAGTCATCTCCTCTTATAAATTGTGACCTTAATTTTGTTTATTGTGCGTATATTTTTTTACATAATTAATTTAAAAAAATATTTTTTTTTCTATTCACCTTTTTAAATGTATTTTTCATTAATTATAAATATTATATTTTTTCTCTCTCGTATTATTTTTTAAATATATAAATCATAAATAAATATTTTTTTATTCCTATATATTTTTATTTTCTCTCTTTATAACACTAAAAAAGTTTAAAAAATAATCTCCTTTATATATTTATATTATAGACTATTATATTATTCAGTCAAAATAATTGTACAGTTCAATCGTAATTACCTTTAGGGTATTATCACGTTATCGTTGATTTTTATAATAATTATTTTAGAATTTTTACTTGAATTTATTTAAAAGTATCATTAGAAGTGCAAATATACGTAATATTTCACCAAAATATATATTGCTAATCAGATGATTGTCAATTATTCAAGTCTATCATAACTTCTTGTTTTAAGGGTCATGTTATTACCTCTCTACATTTCCCTCATTCATGATTCCTATGGTTTTTGTTGGTGCATAATAGAAACAATATTGAGCAATAGCCCACATAATATAAGGTTCCATTGTGAGAAACAATAGCCTTCATATTATGTTCATGTAAGGGAAAAAAGAACAACAAGGGAGGGACCTATCCCAATAACAATAAATGTTATCAACTGTCTAATACATGTTCAAAATTAATCCCAAAAGTAGGAGGGTTTAGTAAACCCTCCTTGTCGAAGTATATAATCCCTCCTTTTCTAATCATCTCATGGAGTTGACTACCATAGATACATAGTATGATAAGAAATATGCCTGCCCTCATGCCACAATTTCATTTACACAACACTATGTATCATTAGCCAGCCATAGCTGGCATTGATTCATTGTTTGGTCAATTGTTTTGTCACCTGAAAGCTCACCATTTTCCTTGATGGATCCATTTTGTTGAGGAAGTTCCTCATGTTCAATGGGACAACTCTGCTTCAGTTCCTCAGCTTTTGCAGCTTCCTCAAGTGCTTCAATCAAGTCTGAGAGACACTTGTGAGGATCATCCAGTGGGGACTTAGGCATGAGGTTTTCAGCAACATCAGCTGGAGTGATGTTGACTTCTCCTATTAGCCTCTTGATAGTCTCAAACAAAGGATGAGTTTCAAGCTTCAAGTAATTATTTGCAAGCACTTTAAAGCCATCAAACGTGCAATAGGAGAGCTGAATGTGCTTGTCCATTCTCCCCCTTCTAATGAGTGCAGGATCAAGTTTCTCCACATGATTGGTTGTGAACACAATCAACCTCTCCCCTCCACAAGCAGACCAAATCCCATCAATGAAATTCAACAGCCCTGAGAGTGTCACTTTGCTGCCACTCCCTCCTTCTTCCTTGGCCTCTTTCCTTCCAACAACATCCTTATCCGTCTCGTCGTCCGACAACTTATCTGCCTTCTTTTTCCTCTGCCCTGTAAGATCAAGAGAGCAATCAATGTCCTCAATAACAATTATAGACTTACTGGTTGTTTCAATCAGAAGCTTCCTCAGCTCTGTGTTGTCCTTCACTGCGGTGAGCTCCAAGTCATAAACATCATAGGCTAACAAATTGGCCATTGCAGCAATCATAGTGGATTTTCCTGTCCCAGGAGGGCCATAAAGAAGGTACCCCCTCTTCCATGCCTTCCCAATCCTTGCATAGAAATCCTTGCTCTTGCTGAAAGTGACCAAATCCTCAATGATCTCCTTTTTCTTCTCTGGCTCCAAGGCCATTGTTTCAAAAGTAGCAGGGTGCTCAAACACAATGTGGCTCCACATGGTTTGCTTGTAACTTGGCCACTTGTAGCCAGGGCTATTAGTGTACAACTTCCTCTGCCTGTTCCTCAAACGAATCTCCTTCCCCTCCCTCATCACATGCTCCAAATATGACTCAGTTATTAAGTCTCTATACTTGTTGTGAAAAGTGAGCTTGTAGAACCTTTTCTCCTGTTCTGGATAATAAGACATTGGGGACCTTGTTGTTGATATAACTTTGCTAGAGACCCACCAGATTTTGACACCCTCATAGTCATCCGTCACTCTTTCATACTCATCCATAGTCAACACCAAGTTGCTGCTATCCTTACCCATTTCAGCTTTGAGCCTTTTAGCACTCTTTGATGTGTTGGCACTGAGGTATGCCTCCACAGCTGCATAGGCCTCACTGCGCTTTAGCCTGTCTCCCATGTACTCATGGAAGGAGATTCTAATGTAAGGGGAGAAGTAGCTCATGATCCTATGTGTGTACTTCTCAAAGAAACGTTGAACCCCGTAGGGACAGTACTGCCTCATGATCGTCCACAAGAACATGAAGCTAGCTAAGGTTGACCCCATTGTTGTCCACATCTCGGTCATCTTCATGGTGCTCTTCTCTTGGAGTTGATTTTGATCAACTCTTTGAGGGGGTGAGTGTTAAATTGGTGGGTCAAAAAGAGAAGGAAAAAAAAAAAAAAACTCAAAAGTAGTGAGAGTGAGTAAGTAAGTGGGTGGGGATGAGAATTGAGAAAGAATAGAAGGGCCAGCCAGTGTTCACAACCAAAATGAGTCAAATGACACTACCAAAGCAGTGTGGAGTATTTTTAAAATGGGAAAAGGACAAGTGAAATAGAATATTAGGTTCCACTAAGTTTTTTGATTTGGTGGGACTATGTGGAAGGTGGTCCAAAAGCTTAAAATTATGAGCTGATTCATGGTATGTTGTGTCTTATTGGACACTGCAGGGAAAGAAAGCTCTGAAACTAAGCAAATACCTTAACAAAAAACAAATGTGACCCCTATCTATGAAGGGTTCTTGCGCATGACTAGTGGAAGAAACTCTCTCTATTGAGGTTGCTACTTGGCTGTCAATGGAGATGACGAGCTTCTCAATATAACACATAATGGGGTCCTTCTCATGCTCACAATACTTAAATTTCAAGTACTTGTGTCTATTTCTCATTGTTTGATACAGTTCTTGTCATTTTCCTCAAGTTGTTGAAACATACCACAAAGACAAGCATAATTCCAATTTAATAAAGCTACACCACTAATGTTTTCCAAATTAGATCCATGTTAGATGTTTGTTTCTTATCCAGTTTTACAAATTTTCCACTAAGCATTTTTATAAGATTTGGCTCCTTATTTTAACTGAATACAGTGTATGTGTATGACCGATTATTCACTTATTATAATGACGCAAAGAACTTTGAGCTCATCAAATAAATGTCTCTGGAGTAAATTGTTTTCTTTCGTACTTTTTTCTGGCTTTATATATTCATCTTTGATCAATAACATAGGTCGGATTCTGAGACTTCAACTGGATAATATAGAATCAGAAACACTCCTGTCAAAAAAGTAAACTATCTAGAGCCTAACACGAATCAGAATCATTTTGTGTTTCATTTTTTCTCCCCTGGTCGAATAGTTTCTCACTTCCAGTTTCATAATCAAAATGGATTAACTCACTAAATATCAGCTTAGTACTGAGTTTGTCTAATTGCAAACATTATTACTACCCATTGGAAGATTAGTAATGGTTGGAACTACCTCTCCTTAAGTTGTCTTTAAATTCAAACATTAACATTTTATGACTAATATTAGTTGATTTTCTTCTATTTATTTAAGAAACTCATTATATATATATATCTTAAAATGGAAAAAGAGTGGAGAGAATATGTATTTGGCGAAAAGAAAATGATGGAATTGAACAGTGTTGTTGTACGTGTGATATGTTCTTAACAATGCCAATTGTACAGTTTAGCAGAATCACTTCACACTTCACAGTAATGCCCATGTGATGCATCATCCCTGCCGCCACCTTTGAAAACACTTCTCACCCGTTAGTATAAAATAGACATGGTATTTCTCAGACCAATTTTCTCCACATATTTATTCATCCCATCTCATTCATTTAGAAAGAGTGAATGGAAAAAGATAAAATGTGAGGTACACAGAAAAAAAAAAAAAAAAACTCCCTATTTCTGATTCAATTATCCTTCTACCATTGTCCATCATAGAGTTCCATTTGATAAAGCATCCAAAAACTTACGTTGCCAGTGGAGAATGGGGACAGATCTTTTTGGGTTATGATGACTTTGATTGAAAGGAAACTCTGCATATTGCAAAATTTCTTATAAATAAGGGAGAACAGTAGAACAAAATCATAATGCGAGAGATAAAAAGATATTATATAAACTGTCATGTAATCTAACTCAAGACAAAAACTCTTATAATAATCCAATGAAAAAAAAAAATTGATAAGCTAAAATTAATCCGTAACATCAACTATTATGGTACTGGTTGTGCAGTTTTCCTTAGCTGGTAAGGGTCGAAGACGTGAAGTAGACAAAACTGCAGTCACTATCAGTAGCGTGGTGAAGTCGTACTTGAGGGAAGAAAAAGCCACAGCTTCCACTATTGTTTGCAGAAGGTTGAGTTGAGATATTACTTTCCTAACTCTCCCAACTTAAATTATTTTCTTGGTGTCTCTCGTTGTCAGAGGACTAAATTAATCTTCGAAGAAGAAAATGGTTAAAACAAACAAGTCGTTCTCAAAGTTGTTGGATAAATATAATTTTTCTAAAAATATAAATCTGCAAAAATAAATAAATAAATCTTTGAGAAACATCTTGACATGGAGAGTTTGATTTTATTGTACAGAGGTTGAATTATCGGTCTAATGAAAATAAGTGTGTTAAATGAAAAGTTTACATTTTGATCTCCCTTTCTATCTTTCACTATTCTCATCCTTCATTTCGATCCTTCCACTTTTCATCACTTGAGAGAGTCTTATATATATTGTTGTGCAAATGTTATAAGTCTTCATTTTTGCTCAAGTAAATGTTTATCCCATTTTGTGGGTTTCAAATTCTAGGGTTTGTAATGGTTTCATTTGAATTTGCTTTCTTTTAATTGCATTGGTTGAAATGAGTCATTCATTATATTTTGTTATTTGTATTGATGTGACTTTTTCTTATTGAGAGAAAGATTATACCTTTGTTTATTGATAGTGGTTAACTATTACAATTGTGATTTTAATGATTACATTAGTGTGGATGAGGATTAATATTATAAGGGTTGACTTTTAGAGTTTTAGAAAATTCATATATAAATAATTAATTACTATATTAATCATTACCTTAATTGACAATAGCGCGTTAAATAAAGATTTTAAAAATGATTACGAAGAAAAACATGCGATATGCAAAGTCATTGTTTGTAGTGCTAATAGTGTATTATTTTTCTTTATTATTTTACAATTGATTTTGTATATTTTTTATTTTTTTTAGATCTAAAACTTATAATGTAATGATAATTATCAAGAGTATGATTTATACATTTTTCTTGTTTTTGTAAATTTCTAACTGAATATTAAATTTAAAAATTATAACTTGATTAAAATATTATTTATTCTATTGCAACATGTGCTGTCTAAATATTATAAGAGACAATTCTAAGAATGATATATATTTTTGAAAAAAAAACACATAACCCAAATAGATTTTATTACTGGTTTTTAAAACAAACCAAAGTTTATATATATATATATATATATATATATATATATATATATATATATATATATATTCTCAATATTGACCAAATATGAGTTTAACTTAATTAAATCTAACCATTAACTTATAAAAACTATCCTGATTAATCCAAAGACCAAAATGATCATATTCATTGACTTTTAATAGTGATATTCTACACTGTTTTAGATAAAATAATCATATCTCTCAATTCATGTATTGAACACTTCAAAGTTATTTAGTATTTATTGAAAATATTTATGTTATATTGTGATCCTAATGTTTTAAATATAAAAGTTTTTAATGGAAAGCAATATAAGTTATACATGTGAATCAAAGTAATAATCTTATCAAAGTATAACATAGAAGGAAAGAAGAAACTGCTTTCGACTGTGAATCAAAGCAATAAACTAATAAAAGTACAATAGAGAAGAAAAGAATAAACTTTCAAAAGAGCAAAAAAGTAATTTCTTTCCAAAAAAAAAAAACATTTATTTTTCTATCTTGCATCATAGAAGACACATGTAAAAATTGTGTTACTTTCTCCCTACTTTAAATGAAGGCATCAAAGCATGTAGAGAGTGAAGCTTGAAATTAACAATGTCATACAAGTTTTTTTTTTTTTGTTTGACTTCATCATCTTCTATTTATTTTCCACTGTAGAACTTCATTTTCACCAATTTTTTTTCTTTTCTTACCATGATGTATGATTTTTTTATATATTATAATAATATTAGTGTGTAAGAAAACTTTGTAACGAAGTTTTTTATCAAGCATAGTATAAAACTTTTTTTTTGTATATGCACATACAGAAAGAGGGAGAAGGCATCAACAAGTAGTTCTCCCTCTCATCCTTTTTCTTCTTTTGTCAAAATTTCAAGTAACGAGACTCTACTCGGGCAGGATCTGGTGAAACGGGAAATAACTTGAATTAAGTGGGAAAAATTTGGTAGAAATACCACACCAGGTAAGGGGAAGTTTAATTCATTAAATATATGAGACTAGATTGTTGAGTACTCTGCAAGATCTGGTGAAACGGGAAATAACTTGAATTATGTGGAAAAACTTTGGTAGAAATACCACACCAGGTAAGGGGAAGCTTAATTCATTAAATATATGAGACTAGATTGTTAAGTACTCTGTGAATAAGGAATAGGAGTAGAAATCTGAATATTAGAATGATTGATTTTGAAGATTTCTCATGTTTTGAAAAACTTGAAATTTTATTGAAATTCTTGAAATTAATGATGAATTATATGATAAAATTGTTGTTTTCAACTTAAATTAGATATAAGTCATGTTTAATTTGAACTTGGGACTAGTTTGGTTGTCTAAAACTGAGTAATTTGAAATCTGCTAAGATCTACAAAATTTTATACTGTTACTGACACGAGTAAGAAGAAAGGGATATGAAAGGAATTTTTGAAAATGTTCAAGGGTAAAATAGTCATTTTCAGGACATGGAAGGAATTTTTGAAAATGTTCAAGGGTAAAATAGTCATTTTTGGGACATGGAAGAAATTTTCGAAAATGTCCAAGGGTAAAATAATTATTTAGGGACATACATGAAATTTTCAGAAAAGATTAAGGGTAAAATAGTAATTTAATTATTTCAAAAAAGATTTCGGAAATGATTTCAGAAATGATTTCGGAAAGAAAAAAAAAGAAAGAAAGAAGAAGAATATATATAGATTTAAAATATAGAATAAGGGTAGCATTTTTAAAGATTCAGTAATGTGTTGTGATGTGTGTGGGTCAGACTAAGTCTAAGGGTTGATGCCCAAAACCAGTTATGAGATGTTATGTATTGGCTAGACTGAACCGGAGGATTTGTGCCCAGAATCAGTCAAGTACTATTATTTATTGACTTGAATAAGCAGTGAGGACATGTGGTCTAGAATTCGGCAGATGTGAATGATTTTTGTTGTATTTGAATGATACCCGGGGTGGTACAGAGTACATTAGTGTAATAACTATGTTGGATGATTCTGAATGAGGTCCCTGACTTCACTGATTGGTCGAGTCAGGTAAATTACTGTTAGAAAAGAAGACTGAGATTAAGAGGGAAGGGTGAATTGATCTTTGAAAGATTTTCGCAAATTACAGATTATCTATTTCAAAGATTAAAAGTTCTGACCAATTCTTGAATCAAACAAAGCAAACAATCAAAGTAAAGGCAGTGACAGAATTAAAGAGAGAAAAGTTTAGAAAGATACAACCAATATTTATACTGGTTCACCCAATCCTAAGGCTACGTCCAGTTTCCAACCAAATTCTAGCTGGGTTCCATTAGATTGAATGTTTTAGAGATTACAATTCCAATCACACACCCAATCTACCACAAGAACCAAAATTCTAGTATTTGCACCTAAACCTTCACCAAGAACCAACTTCCAGTTCTTGAACAACCCTGCAGCCAAATTTCAGTCATAGAAACTAGTGCCCACACTTCCAGGCACCCATAATACAGTAAAGAAAAGTAAAGAAACAAAGGGAAGAAACTAGAACACTCAAATCAGGTTTATGCAGCTCTGCAGAATAAGTTTCTTCACAAAAAGAATGCAAAATTTGCCTCAAGAAAGAGCTACGAAAAACTTCACAAAACTTGCGCGATTCTCTCTTGAAAGTAGCACTATGATTGCTTGATTGATTGCTCAAAGGTGTGTTTTCAAAGACTCAAGCAATCCTGTTTTTATAGAGGATTTTTCAAACTGCTGGTTTAATCAATCTGTTAAAACAATCTTTTAATCTGTTAAAAGTCTTGAATTAATCTGTTAAAACTTCTTTTAATCTGTTAAAATGTTCTTGATCATTTTCCATATTTGTTTTAATTGATACGACAACGTTTATATCAATTAAAACACTTTGTAAAAAATCCTTCAAATTGTTTTAATCGATTATTTCTCCTTTTAATCGATTAAAATACTGCCAAAAGTTTTCATAAAACTTTCTAAGTTATTTTAACTGATAACAATCTTTTTAATCGATTAAAAAAACTTTGGAAAAAATCTCTTAGTTATTTCAATTGATTATTTCATATTTTAATCGATTAGAATTCTGCCAAAAAGTTTCCTAAAACTTTCTAAGTTATTTTAACTGATAACAAACTTGTTATAATCGATTAAAACATTCTGGAAAAATTTCTTAGTTGTTTTAATCGATTATTTCGCATTTGTATCGATTAAAATACTGACAAAATATCTTTCAAAATACTTCAAGTTATTTTAATCGATTATTTCGAGTTTGTATCTATTAAAATTCTGTCAGAATACTTTTCAAAACAACTTAAGTCATTTTAATTGATTATTTCAATTCTACATCGGTTAAAATATCGCGGAAGGTTTTCAAAAACTCTTCTAATGAAAACAATCGATTATTTCAAAAACATATCGGTTAAAAACCTGTTACAAAAGTGTTAAGAACATTTTAACTGATAAAGCTCATATAATATAAGTTAAAACAGTTACTTAAAAATCATTTAACAAAATACTTTGTTTTTAACAGTTTAAACACGTTTTAGAGACATTTGCAAAATCTTTTAAATGAAGAAACTTCATGTAGCAGAGAGATAAGAATGATTATACCTAAGTAAAGATGCAGACTCACTAATCACTCTACCCTTTTATCTAAGTGACATTTGACTGCAACAGAATAGTTTTTGACTTCATCAAATCAACAAGATCTTTGTTTTAAATTATTCAATAAGATCTTCATCACTTTCAACTACGAGATCAGGTGGTGAGAAGTCGATGAGGGGATGACTGGTGGCGCGCTCGGAGGGGTACTCCAGTATGAGTGATGAAGGGCGCCAGTAATCCTACTCTGTGTGGAGGGTGGTCAGAATGGTACTGCGGGTGCCGATCACAATGTGTCCATAGATGATAGCCTCTGAGTTTGGGCATAGTTAGGGTATATTTCCGGAAGGTGTCTTAGTATGTTGATGATTTTAGTATTGATCATAATATATAATTATTATTTTTATATATGTTTTATTATATCGAATGATTTAATACTTACTCCTATTTTTCCATGTGGATGGGACTGCGATGATCACTTTTATGTGGGAGCAGATAAGGAGTTGAGAGGTGGAGATGTGACTATTGGACAACAAGGATAGTTCAGTGGGATAACTTTGTGGGAGCTACTTTTACATGTATAATATATAAATAAATTATGTTACTATGTTTTGAGGTTCCGTTATTGAACCAGAATTTCAATCTATGTTATAATTACTGTAATATAATGTAAGATAAATATCGTTATTTATTTGTTTACTATTTTGCGAATACATCGTTATAATAGCGATTTCTAGATCGTTACAACCTACTTTCTATTTTTCTATTTCTTTTCTCTCTACCAAATAGAGTTAATGAGAAAAGTTGTAAAAGTATTTTCAAAATCATTAATCATAGAATAAATTATACTAATATCTTCTGATTTTTTTTTCTATCCCTCTAAATTATATTAGTTGTGAGATATTTTCATAATTTCTTTTAATTAATAACTTTTTTAGACATTAGTTAAGATAATAACAAGAATAATAATTAATAATTACTACTTATGTAATTAACTGCAGTCTATTTTTTTTTTCACTTTCATTCAGGTCTACCATAGCTATGATCATTATGTGAAGTATATGGAAACATTAGAAAGTCACACAAAGATTAGTGTTATATGACTTGTTGCGGACATTTTCTTCATCAGAGCATTGATTGGTTAATAACCATTATCATAGTAACAATAAACAAGATATTAACACTTGTTTTACATCAACACCCGTGGAACAAAATCAGTGTGAGAATTACACTAAACTAGTTTTATGTAGATGAAGATAAAATAAAGTAATCTTTCTAGAAATGGTATAAACAATAAAACGACAGAAAGAGTAGGATATAAGAAAAATTGCAGAAATTGTATATATAACAATATGTTCCCGGTCTCCTAAAATAGATGTCCGCACTCACCCTCACCAAGATCTTCCAATCCATTCTGCTGAAACAAAAAGAAAGGGTAGAAGAGAAAATCGAGTAACCTAAAGAATGGAATTCCCTATCCAAAATGAATTAATGAAATTTAAAAGGCCAGATTTATACAGGGTTACATTTAACTATCGAAGCTCCACTATATATACAATGTTGAGTCTAAGCTATGACTGCAAAACTTGTTTTCTTCGTTCCTCCTCTCTGAATTCAAAGATGGTTCCTCCTCTCTGAATTCAAAGATGGCAACCTATACGTCAACGTTATCTCATGTTGCAGCACTGAGGACTTGTCTGCATCTGCCATTTATCCCACAGGCACATCATCTGCCTAGGCGATTGGTAATGGGCTGTGTAATAGCCTTCTACACAACCATACTGGCAGAACTTGAAGCTATGCAAATAGTATACTGGTTTCGTTCTGTTAAATTGTTCTACCCACATTCCCATACTCACATCTTCCATTTTAAACAACTGCATAAAGAGGAAACACTGACAAAATATATAAAAACAAAAGGTGGCTTGCAATATCAGAAGACAAAATTAGTATGCAATGATATATTAAAACACTAACCCTTAATTTGTGGGCCTCAAATTCAGATAAAATGTAGGTTGCAATATCAGAAGACAAAATATAACCCGGTCCATTAGCATAAGGTGGGTATTCCTCTTCTGGCCACTCCTGAAAGCAGAAGACAACAATAAATAAATCCACCAAATTATCACCGGCAAGCAAGAAGCTAGATGCGACAAAATAATGAGGAAGCAAGAACCATTCTTAAATCAAGCACAGCCTTTTAGAGTAAGAACCGTGTAGCTCTTAGCTGAATGCTGTGTATAGTAAGTTCAGTAAGGGATTGTGGTCTCCACCCCATAGAATTAAGATAACCAACTAGAGGCTAATCCTAAACAATTGGACCTGATGATTGATTGGAGAGAGGGAAGAATAGAAATTCTTGCATGAAGTAATTATTGTATAAGCACAACCAATATAAAGGTTGCAAAATATAATGGAGTCTGAGTCGAGACCATCCTAAATGAAATTATTTTAGAGTCTGCTTGAATACAAACACAAAGTTCTCTTTTGAGAGCTTATCCACTATAAGAGAAAGGCTTTTTCCAATGAAAAAAATTCTTAAAAACACTTCTAACTTTGTAACCAAGCATACTCTTAATTTCATCTTCAGATTTTGGGAGGTTGTTGGTAAAACATGCTTATTAAAATTAGACTAGACCAGTTATTAAAATTAGATTAATCAAGAGCTGGTTCGGAAATTGATGTAGTATTTTAAAAAAACTGGTAGGACGTGGAAGTGGATCAAAAAAAAAAAAAAAATACACATAAAGAAAACGGCAAAAAAGTGAACTCGGAGAATTAATGGGTCCAACTGTTTTTTTGAAAAAAAAAATAAACCAAAATATTTTAATTCTTTTTTAAGGTAAAACATTTTTAAATCTTTTTGTTTCCAGTGTCTCGTGTGTGAGTCACATCAGCACTAGACAAAAATTGTTTTCCTATATGGGTTTCAGGGATTATATTATTAAAAGATGCTAAAAATATTATTTTATTAAACTCCCGTCAACTTGATTTACCCTTTCAATTCAACCCTAAACTCATGTGGTCTCTATGGGTTCGGCGACCAAAGTGAGTTTAAGAAGCTTGGCCCAAAGAAAACATGATCATGCACAGATCATACATTCTGCGGATCAAATATAGACACTTTGTTGGTAACCATTATAACAAACAAACTCGAACATTTTTCCCAGACAATGCTCACTAACAATAGCAAAAGTATTGCAGCATCCAACAGGTTCTGATTACCTCATATGTCACGGCCCATTTACCACGGCGCAAGGGTTTGTGGTGGTAATTAATGTTCCCAATATAATAGCTCATAGAATATGGAACATTCCTTGCTTGAGTCATAATATCATCAACTTTTACAAAAGTGTCATCGTCTCCCTTCATGATATACTCCGCAGAAACTGTGCGAACCTGTGAACAGTACGGCCACCTCATATATAATTCAAAACTATTTCCTTTCCAAACTGAAAGGTTTTTGAAAAATCAACTTACCCCATATTCACATATGGCCACTGTTTTCAACACAACAAGGTCATAGTTATCCATGTAAGGAACTATAACAATATCACCAAAATATTCTGCTTCTTTCATCAACTCCACGTTAAGTTCCTTCCTCGGGTGCTGTTAAAACCATTCAACTATTAAGAAATCTACACAACCAACAAAATGACCATAAAATTGAGAAACTTGTCCACATTACCAGTGCTACAAAGAAGCGAGCCACTACTTTCGAAGATTTGATAAAGCTATGCTGCATCCATGACTTCCTCACAGACATCCGCTCAGCAAAATGGTTTCCGGCGGAAAGGATCCCTACGAACAATTCCACACCAGAGTAAGGAAGATTTGGGGCACGCCATCTAGTCGAATATTCAAGATGCTGCCGCGGGGAAACGTTGGGATGCACCGAAGGCAAAGAAGCAGCAAATACAGAATGGACATCAATGTCCCCGCTCAAAGTAAGACCAGTAGCATCCTCAAGAGTAAAGCCCTGCTCAAATCAAAACAGCAACATTATTATGTAAAACCCAGTTCAAACTAATAAGCTGAAGGATGTTGATTACCCACAGTGCGATAAGGAAAAGAGGTGACATGCCTCCCATCAACATTAACATGGTAACCCTCCAACCCAGCACTGAGAGTAAGAACAAATAGCTTGTTCTCAGAAAATGGAAATGGCCAATCAAATGTTACTCGTTTTGTCCGACCTATCAGTCTCTTCAACCACCACTCTGCCTTGGTCTCCACTGCTTGCCTGTCATGATCATCGCCCCCAATCCACTTCTCGCACTTCACCAACCCATCAACTGTATTAAACACAAGTAACAACTCAACTAAGCACTATTACAACCTATGATACGATAAATGTATCAGGTATAATAGTATCAAAAACAACTATACAATTGTTCTAACAAAATTTATCGGATACGACAAATGTAATATATATAGAGAGATGCAATAAAATTCAAAAAACATAATAAACATATAAATGCAAATATGTAAAATTCAAAATGAAGAACATACTTCTTGGACTTTACTGAAACCAAAATAAATAATATAAATCTTTGTGATTAGAAATCACTTCCTGTTGTATATACACAAGAATGGTACCAATCTCATTCCTCTCTTTTGTAATCATTCATAATGACATTCTTGGATCATCATGGGACAATGCTCCTATATTTGTATAATATATCCTCGAGACTCAAATGTAAGCTAAATGTTCCAATTTAGTGAATTGAAATATAAACAAATTTCAAATGTGGGCATCAAGTCCGATAAATATGATTAAGGGTAATTGAAGAAATGTAATTTTTTTCAAATGAAATCAATAAATTAAATGAATTTAAATAATATTCTTAATTAATGTAAAACTATGAATTTTTGTTCATATTAACGTCTGGAAAATTACATGTTTCCATGCCTCAAATGTAGCAGCATTGGATTTTCATAAACTTTTTTAACACTTAGATCACATATGGTAAAGTATCCATATTTGGGAAGCAAATAAAAGTAAAGTGTTTCATGCATGACAACCATAATCAATAAAACATACTTTTTCTTACCAGTATCTTCATCAGCTCTGGATTTCCAACCATCACAACGCATTGCAGTACCCCAATGCATGCGGTAACACGTGTTGAGTTCAATCACAGGCTTCCCACTCCAATCCCCTCTCAATCTAGGATTGAAATGCAACACCTTTGGTGGTTCTTCACCCTCCACCGTCTTCAGCCCCTGCAACTCCATCACAAACTGACACCTTCTCCCCTGAGCCCTTGACGGCTCCCCAACCACCGTTACATGGGACCCCAACGTGAGTCCACAGGGAATCACCATCAAACTCCCGCGGATCAAAAACTCTGGCCCGGATATTGATATAGATCCGGGGCACAGCTCGGATCGGTTATCGGGCTTGGAAACGGGAGCCGGCGGGTTGCCTGATTTAAGTTGGGCCCAAACAGCCTTGCCGACGCTGCAGGCGGATTGGTAGAGACTGGAATCGAATGCGGCGTCATTCAGGATCAAACCAGAGACAACGCCGTTTGGGCGGCGAACTAGCCGCGGGAGGCGAGAGGGTAGTTGTTGAGCGTTTCTGAAAAGGAAGGGGATTTCGAGGGTGACGAAGAAGGCGTAGAAGAGCGCAAGAACGATGAGAATCTGAATGGATCGTTGTCGGGTGAATGTGAGAAGAGTGTCCAACTTTCTTACTCTCCCTCTTTTCATGTCTGGTTTTGGCGCCTGAGGACAATCGCTTTCAGGTTGCTGACGACGTCGTTCTTGGTTTTGTTGGCATTGCAATGTGGTTGATGATTTAGTTTCCCTATGCACGAAGCCAGAAAATTGCTATACCTTCTTTTTTTACTACTTCACATGCATTTAGCAGTTTACTGCCATGGGCTTTGAACAATTTTTATTTGGAAAATACTATGTCCACCTCAATTATAGGACCCCTCAAAACATAGACAAACGAATCCAACAATTACGAGCTAAAACAATTTATTATATTTTTTTATTAAACTTAACTGTTGAATGAAAATAATAGAAACCCAAGTGTTCAACTGTCCAATACTGTTAAGATAAAATATTGGTTAATTTTCATTTTAACAATATTTTATCTTAACAGTTTATGTGGGTAAAAATCATAATAAATAGTTAAAATCTATTTAACAGAACTTCTCTTATTTATTGTGAAGATGAAAAAATTCAACCATACAAAACTATATATAATAAAAAAAATTATTCCACTTTATTAATTTTTTTTTAGTAAAATACCCTGAAAAATTACCTAAGAAATTGCATCAAGATTACAAAGAAGGTAAGAAAAAATAAAATAAAATAAAAACGTAGAGAGCTTGACTAAGGCCCAATTATCCACTGTTTGGAATACATAGTTTTTAGTTGGGCTTTAATTTATATTAAATTGAGTTATCCATTTAGACAAATCATATGAATCACTTACTAATTAAATGAATTTAAAAAAAAGCACTTTTTCTGGACAAAAAAATTGATTAAACCATCCTACCAGTAATAGGCTAACCTGGTCTGAATCCTAATTCAAAATTTGAATTCGGCTGATTTATTTGTTTGGTTATGACTTCAACCAACTTTGTACTTATAAATACGACCTAATCTTTAAATTTATATGAAAATTATTCACTAATAAATTTTTTAATAAATAGGTCAATCTACTTCTAACAAAACTAAGTTCATTAAAATGATAAATAAACATTAGATATATTTAGACAAACTTTTTTTTATAAATTATAATGTAATTTTTTTATACATAAAAATTAAATTTTAAAAAAGTAAAATATAATTTTTTTCATACATAAAAATCAAAATTTAAAGAAAGTAACATGAGATAAGTTTTAAAAATTATTTTATTTATTAATTAAATTTATTTTATGAAAAATATAATTTTATATTTCTTCTTTCTGCTAAAAATGTGATGTAGATTTTTTTTTCAAACACCACAAGTTTATATTATTATTTTTATCGCTATTTTTTCTATTAAACATCATATTATTTATTTTAATATTTTTATTTAGTATTACAACTTTTTTTTTATTTTTTTCTACAAATTTATAATTAAACAAAAGTATACAAGAGTTTAAAATAACTAAAATATATTCTTAGTTTTAAAATGATAAATTATCTATAGTTAATTTAAATAAACTGGTTTACAATTATTGTTAATTGAAAATAAATTAAATTAAGAATTAAAAACGTTTAATACAATATTTTTCAAACTCTATGATTTAATGTTTTATTTGGATTGAGGAAATAAAAATATAAAAAATATAATAAATTTAGTATTATTTAATAAATATTTATTTTAGTAAGAAAATTATCGCTTTTCTTTTTAAGTTAAAAAAAATAGTATAATTTAATCCAAATCAGTGCAATTTTATTAATCCAAATGTTTATGTAATGTGTTCTCTCTTCCTCCCCTCAACCTGAATCCAAACATAGAGTAGGTGTTAGAAGATAATAATTAATGTGTAGAAGAATGGTGTTTGTTTGTTAGAGCAAAAGGGAGAAAGCAAACTTTGGTTTGAATTAATGACTAATTCAAATTTGTCTTGATTTTCAAATGACAACTACCCATTTAATTAACAAATTTAGACCAAAGACTAACCAATCTAGAGAACAAACACTAAAAACACGATGAAAAGCATTCAATATATTTGATTTTCCAGAAGCCTCTCTTACCTTTCGCAAAGCTACAAAATTTGAAACATCACAACGTTAACAAGGCAACCACGCAATAAACCAATTCTTAACACTGGAAAAGTTCAAAATAACAATCACCAACAATAATACCAATAATCTACTGATGTGTAACACTGACCAACCCTACCCTACCCTTCCCTACCCTACCATTCGCCCAATACACAACACCCATTCTCATACGTAAGATCCTAAGCGTATCTAGTCAACGGTCAACAATTTTCCATCACTAGTGGGTCCTACTCTCCCCATGGCGCGTGAGGGAATTAATCAGCACTTTCGTGTTCCATCTCATCACACAAGTCCCCATCTAGTGTACAGTAATTGGTGTAAAGGCACAAGTGACTACCTATCACAGTACAAACTTACAATACAAAACACTCCCCCTATCTGATACTATTTTTTTTTCTCTCACAAACAAAACCAAACTCCACGGGAAAGAAATTCACTTTCCAGTTTCCACTTCTCCATTTCCAACACCCTTCCAGCATGGCACACCACCCCTCCCAGCTTAGGAACTTGGAAGCTCCACAATCCAAACCCACCACCCCAAACCCAGATCTCATCCAAACCTATAAACCCTCCTTCTTGGTAAAACACATGTCAAGCCTAAACTTGGCTCAAGCCCACAAAACCCGTCCACCACACAAACACTCTCCTCTTGTCGACACCCACTTGCAGGGCAAACCCATGACAACCTCTGCGGTGGTTGTCCCAGAGAAAGAGAGTGATGTTGTTGTGGCTGTGAAGAGAACCCACAAAGAGAAACCCCAAAGGAGCTGTTCGGAATTGGAAAGGAGGAAGCTTGGTGATCCTAATGACAAGGATGTGGTGGAGGATGCTAAGGTTGAAAAGGAGAAACCTAGGAATCCTCATTTGGAGAAACATGATGGTATTGGGAGAATGTCCTTGTCTCTGGCTCCGGGTGGGGGTAGAAGGAGATCCTTCTGTGGGTCACAGGCTGATTTAAGAGATGCCTTTGCAATCAATGGGGCGAAAATGGTTTCTGTTGATATGCCACCGTTTATGCAGATCCATGCTGTTAACTGTGCCAGAAAGTCTTTAGATAGCATGGAGAAGTTCACATCCAAGACTCTAGCACTCTCCCTCAAGAAGGTACAATCCTAATAAACTAATCATGTTTTGCTGGATTAATTAACTAAATAACCTGTCCTCAAGCTAGGAGTTTCACTTGTAAGTATTTAAGTTGTTGTGGTGGTGTTTCAAATTTGTGTGTGGTTGATTGATTGGTCAATGAAATTTGGTTGGGTGATTGCTAATTGCAGGAATTTGATGGGGTGTATGGGCCGGCATGGCACTGTATTGTGGGGACTAGTTTTGGGTCTTTCGTGACCCATTCAGTTGGAGGGTTTCTATATTTCTCCATGGATCAAAAACTATACATTCTCTTATTTAAAACCGCTGTACAAAAAGCAGGTTGAAGAAGGTGAATTCTGCAATGCTCAAAAGAATATTGGATACATTTATCACAGAAAGAAAAGGCTTAGAGTAGTCATCACTTCGTCTTCAAAAACTATGCACCACTTTGTTTCAGTATAATTCTACCTAATTGGTTTTTGAAGATGTCAATGTCGTGTAACAAAAGGACCTGATGGAAGAGAAGAAATCAACTCAACAAACTGCAGTCCCCCATTGTTCTTGTGTATCTACAAGTGTATCTATATTTTTGACTGAAATCAACTTCGGTTGTACAATTATTTAAATTCTAATTTTAAAATTATTTCATACTTTTTTAATTGTATCTAATGCTACAAAGTATTTGGACATTTTATATTTTATTTGAAGAGTTAGCTTAGCTCTTCCAAATTGTTTTAATGAACCGCAATCTGTGGCCTTGTTCTGGTAAATGTTTCAGTTAGATGCAATATTTGGTAGGGATAAGTTTCATCTTAGTTGCTATCACACTATTAGAAATATCAGGAGCAGGAAAATATCCGAATATAGTGTACCTAGCAATGAATGTTGTCATGTGTTAGCCTGGTTATCAAACAACGTAGTTGGTATATGCCAATGTGCTGAAGAAGAAAAGGGAAATAGGTGGGTTATTGAATCTGAACAGGCATTTTGAAGGGCGCTGAAGGGACTGTTAGTATTCTCAAGTCGCTCTCGCTCACTACTTCTTGCCTGCAAAATTTGTGCAATCATTCAATTGTGTCACATATATTTGGGGTCCATGCCATTAAATTTTAGGTATGAGTCCCCGTTCTCATTCTTGTCTCTCTCTCTCTTATTTTTCAAGCTTCAAGTTCTTAATCCTTTGAAAGAAAATTTGAAACCCGGCTTTCAGTGCTTAGAGTTAGTTTAGCTAAAATTTATTCAAATAGTACATTGATCCGAATAAGCAGGAAATGGTTAGTGGGGTATGGTACTTTCATCAATGTGTCTATGACCTGAATTAGAGTAATTTCTGTGAGTTCTATTAATGACATGAACCCCATTTACTAATCTCTACATGTCATTAATTTGATGAATAGTTTCATATGGATGCAAGAGAGTCTATTAAAACCAAACAAGAATTGTACTTGAAGACGATATTTTTTGCATGATTTGGGGGAGGAAATTGGATTATAAAGCAGAGGAGGTTTGTATTTGTACTTTGCAGCATAGTGGAAAGCCTGCCCTATTTTTGTATGATGAAGTTTATGGAGAAGGAGGACAGTCTAAAAAGGGTCTCCCAGATCTCCTAAATGTTTGTGTTACTTGTTACACTTTTGTGATTCCGTTTGGTTCACTACTCATTATAATATTATCCAAAGGTACCCTTGGCACTTCCTCCAGGACACCCTATGGCCCTACAGATACAAACCCCCGTGCTCCATCCCAGTGCTTGTATCATAATAAAACAAAAACATTGCTTCCATATAAAATAAGATAATAAAAAGGTCAATTTTTTTAAGAACATTAGAAGTATCCTTCAAAACGGTTTATTGGGTTAGATATTTGAGTTATCCATAATTTTCTGACCTCGTACTCAATATATAATGTGTTGGAATGCATCTAATTTTATATCAAGTCTTAGAAAAGAAAATATATCGAATGATTATATTATATTATTGTAATTTTAGTTAATGTGAGATTTCACTGTACTCTTCATTAAAGATGTTTTTTATTATGTGAAAATAATACCTTAGTCCAATTTATTATTATTTTTTATGTGTTGGCAATCTTAAATATGTCTGATTTTATATTTAAAGTTTTATAAATAAATAAAAATATTTTAACTCCTGATTCAGATTATTATTCTCACTTATATATTATAATATTATAAAATTTCATTCACTCTCTTGGTTTGGGAGGAGAATCTTTCATCTCACACATCTTAGTCTTTAAGGAGATTTTTTCATCACCAAGGTTCAAGAATGCACCCAGTCTACTCTTCATTTTTGTCCGAAGCAATGGCACTTGGAAGTTGGCATCATTGACGGAGTTTCCTAGATGAAAGAAGTTAGAGAGTCGGGCTTTTGACCCATGGGCTGCGATCCATTTAGAGGGTGACCAAATAAAACTCATGAGACTAAAACAGAGATAAAAGGAAAAATATGGAAGAAAAACATGCTTTGCTTTCATTCCAAAATACTCTTAATTATAATACTGTTACGAAATTAAAGTTCACAAATACCTGCAATTAAGCTTTATCTTGCAAATGAATTCGGTAAGTGAAATATTTAACACTTTACAATATTGCGTGCTTCAATACCTGACATATTTTTTTAATTGAATAATGATTTTATTATAATATATTTCATATTTTTATAATAAAAAACTAAAAAAAATCAAAATTATAAAATATTAGTTTAATTTGATTATTATTTTTTAAATTAAATCAAATATTTGAATATTGTATTTAGTTTGTATAACTTTTTAGTGTACACTCTTAATTAATTGTCTGTTTTATCTATCATCAGTAAAACTTATCGTCTGTTTTTTCACACTTTCACGCGTTTCACCTCTCTATCGAAATTCCTATCTCATTCTAGGTCCAAAATTGAACCCTAGAATTAATATAATGAAGTATGATATCTTTCATCGTGTTTTTTCTATTTTTTCTTTTAAGTAACTAAAGTTAGGTTTCCTATTATAATAAAATATATACAATTTCATGCAACATACCTGTGAATTGACTAGTAATATAATACTGCAATAAAAAATTACGGTCATTACTAATGTGTTTCTACTATTAATATATAGTTATAATAACTTAAACTATATTGACAATAAGTTTTACATTATTTGTTTATAGTTTACTAAAACTATACAGATTAAATATTATTTTTAGAGAGTAAAATAGTATCTTATAATTTAGACATTTATCCTAAAATAAAGTATCTTCTCCCAAAGATTTTTTTCATTGACAAATTAGTCTTTCTTTAAGTATTTATGTTAATTTATGTTCACATTTCTAATTAAATATTATGATGATTTTTCATTTTTCATATTCTTACTTTTGATTGTCATGTAAATTGAAAATATTAGAAAATAAGAAGTTAATTTACAAATATTTTCCCCGGAAAATATAAACATTGACAATTAGGACTCTGAAACAATTTGTAAGACACTTGAGTCATATAATTTGTTGTCCTTCTGAAAATTGTTTTTCTGTTACTCTCTGTTCACGACTTATCTATTTGATAGATGATGATGATAATATTAAATATGTTCTAATAATATATGTTGGTTTAATGCTTAAAGAAAAGGAAAGTAGTTAAATCGGATGGTAGGAGAAGTATAAAAATTTGATAATTTAATATAATTTATATTTTAAAATAGATTATAATTTTTAATCTATGATTTTATATTAAATTAATAGATTAATTATTTAATTAAAAATTAAATTAAAATTATTAATGTATTTATATTAGAATAATTAATTAAAAAATATTTAAATAAACAAATATTTTTAAGTTTTTCATTATGTTAGTAAAATTAATTTTTATTTAATATATATAAATTATAAAATAATATATCTATTCAATTTTAAAATAAAAATTTATTTTTCATTTTTTTAAATAATTTATTGATATAAAATAATAATTAATATTAATTATTAAATATTAAAATAAATGGATGCTACATATTTATTATAATATTTATCTTTAAAATAAGTAATTTTTTTGTCTAATTAATTTATAATATATATATATATATATATATATATATATTATTTTTATTTATTTAAAATGTAATTATTATTTTATAAAATTGATTGACTCCTTTAAGGTTAATATGATGTAAGTTTATAAAGGTCATTATTTATGTGAAATAAAAATAGATCTGATTTTTTTAATTTATTTCTCAAACTTTTTGAATATATCCATAAATTAAGTCTATTTTAATAATTTAAGTGTATGTTAAAAAAATGATTTTAACCAAGTGGTACATTCATAGTATATTTGCTAGATAGTATGTAGAAGTTTGTTAAGAAAGCATAAATTGAATTTAATCACGCAGTGAGAGGTTTAATATAATAAATTATGAATTATTAAAAAAATACATTGAAAAACATGATAAATGGTAAATGATTTAGGGATCATTTTCCATCAAAGTATGACATCGTAGTCCATATTACAACTAAAATAAATTTTGGAAATACAATTAGTTTCAACTTTAATAACAAGAAGATAAATGTTAGAATTTGTTGCGGTGTCAAAATCTGATTACTCTTTATCGTTATCCTGATTAGGCAATCTTATCTTTGAGGAGCTTTGTCTTTCTTTGGAAACACACTAAAATTAGGGTTTTGGCCACAAACTTGGACACAGGTTACTCAAATTCCTGGTCGTGGTCTGGGACATTCACATTCTCTTATAATCACAAAACGACACCACTTAACATCTTGCAATAATCATGCCCTGTTTATAGCCACGTATCAGGGAGAAGTATTTTTCTTCTTTAAATTCATCCTATCCTCTTTTCTGGGTCAGTTTAATTGACAAGGACACTCTTATGATGGTACAATAATAATTTGTTTTAACTTATTAAGCGAGAAGATATATCATACAAAAAATAATAACGGTTAAGGATTTGTCTTGGTAATAATATGATTAAAAAATCATAGAATAATATAAAAATGTCATTAAGGAAATTGAGAATGAATCTAAAAACAGATTTGAAACGTTGTTGATTCTGTAAATTAAACTAATTAACCCACACAATTGCATAGCAATATTTAAACTCTTTCTTATTAGTCAATAATATTTTTGAAAGATTATAAATATTTTATAATTTAATAATTTCACACATATATATATATATATATATATATTAATAAATATTCTAAAAATTATTTAATAAATATATTGTCATAATTTGGAATTAAAGAACTTATGCAAAGCAATTTAAAAAAAAATTAAATATAAAGAATAACTTTGAAATGTTAAATTTTTTATTTATTTATTTAAATAACTTTTAACTTAATTTTTTAATCCATTATATTTTTTAAATAATTAAAAATGGGTGGCTTAATTCAGATCTTCTATTTTTAGGATAAAAAAAGTAATAATTTAATTTAATTTATATTTAAAATAAATTATAATTTTTAGTCTAATAAAACTTTATGTTAATTTAACAAATTAATTTTAGTTTGATTAAATATTTTAAAATATTTAAATAAAAAATATTTTTAAAATTTTAATTATATTAATAAAATTATTTTTTATTTAATTTTTTAATATATAATTTATTTGATAATATATTAATTAAATTTGAATATAAGAGGTAAAAATTTAATTATTATTATTATTATTATTATTATTATTTATTTAGTAATTTATTGATATAAAATAATAATTAATATTAATTATTAAAAATTGAATATTTAAATATTTATAAAGTGAATCTTTACTTAATTTTATTTAAATATTAATTATTATAAAGTGAAATTTTTTATATTATTTTATAATATATATTCATAAAATAATAATATTTTTATATTTAAAAATAATTATTATTTTATTAAATAAAACTAAAAAAAATTATATGATTAAGATCATGACTTAAATAAATGAGATCAATAAACTTGATTTAATATAATTTTTTATTTAATTTGTCTTATTTTATTACAGGACAAAATCTATGTTAATATTGTTATTTAAAATGTTTAAATTTTATTTAATTAAATAACTTTTAATTTAAATTTAAAATATTAAAATTTTATTTATTTATTTGATTAAATAAATTTAAATTTAAATTTTATAATCTATTTTTATTTTAAAATTAATTAAAATTTTATGCCTTTATAATAATTAAACATAATTTAGAAGAAAACTAAAAATACTTGATAATCATACATTGATTTTATACGATTTTGAAGAAGCGATGTGAACCTAACCTAAGTTTCACTTATTATGATTTTTTTGTAAATGGTATGAGGTACATAAATGTGAAAATGTTGTAAATTTAGTTATTGTAACAACGAAAATTTTTATTTAGTTATTGAATGATAAAAAAAATACAATAATTATATTTTAAGTTTTACAGGACTAATTTGTATTTTTTACATGATAAAAAATTAAATTGATTATTTATTTTTTAAATATTAAATTGGCAATATTCGCATATTTATCTAGTTGGCCATTAAATATGGTTAATACAACATTTTCAGGAGGATGAGTTTTTCAGCCATTTTTTTTAGTTTTAAATAGTTTTATTGTTTAAAATTGATAAAAAAAGAATTCATATATCATTATTAATTAATTTTGTGATTATTTTATACTACGATACTGCATGAAATAAAGGTTTAAATTAATTTTAAAATTTTAAAACAATGTTCAATTGAACAATTACTTTAAGTATAAAATATTTTTTATAATTATATTAAATTTAAAAAGTATTTGGTCTGATAATAAAATTGACTGATCGAAAAATCAGTTAGTCAGTTCTTAAAAAAAATCTAATAATTAAGAATGATATAGACGAAAAATCAGTTTATAATTAATGTCAAATGTTTAATATGATTTTCGATGTAAATAAATGAAATATTAACTTAAAATAATATTTTTTTATTCCAAATGTAGAATTATTATTACTATATATTGTTGGGTGCTGTAGAAACTTAAATATTAATATTGAATATATTTAGCTTTTTTTTAGCGTAATTCTGAATATTAATAATCTAAAAAAAAATTAAAATTTATAAATTTGAGAACTAATTAGTTAATTTATAACATATAAAGATTTAAACCACTGTAATATATATATATATATATATATATATATATAAATAAAAAATACTTAACCTTTTAAAAAATTATTAAATGAATTGAGAAGCTAAATTTGGTAATGTAATTGGGGTTAGGGATAGTAAATGTGATAAAAGTAAATTTTTAAAAATCCTAAAAAGATCATAATCAATTTTCATAAATTTAAACAAATATATACTTTTATAAATGATAAAAATTTTCTGCAAAGACTTATAAAGCTCGTATGAACAAGGTATAAGGCACTACTAACATGGTTTGATTTGACGGGAGTGAGGAAAGTGGCATTAAGATGGGTAGGATATAACTTTTTGGTGTTAAGGCATGTGCAGGAAAAGCATCATCTTGTGACTTCGGAAACTTGGCAATCCAGTATCCACACAGCTTAGTTCCAATTTCCAAATTAAGTGAAGTGTGAAAAATCCAATGAGGATGGAAAAATTTGGGAGCACATGAAATTGGAAAGCTTGATTTGGGCATGGAAAACAGAGTCTTTCTAGGGTTTATTTAATTTTGCTTGGCAGATTATCAGTTTTGAGCTAAGCAAGTTAGGCAATGGCAGTGATGGTTTTGTTGGTAAAAAACTTCATCATTGACTAGTTTGGCAGTGATGTTACACTGAGGCTGAAAACTTCTGTTCAAGTGTGTGAAGTGTTGGACATTTGACAATGAAATTGAGGGGTGGCTTTGCATTTATTATCAGTGCCACCAACTTTTTCTGGAGTGTTCATCAGAAGGGATGTCAATTTCTTTGGCACATCAACTTAAGAACAAAGTGTCCACACTCAACACATACACATGCAGAAGAAGGGTTGCCATGGATAAGGTATTTACAAATTACTCATTACCATAAAATAAATTAAATATATTTTTTATGAATGTTACTAAATATATGATTTTTAAAGTGATCACTATTATCATGCAGATAATTTATGATGGTACGATTCTCTAAAAATCACGTAAACACTCTTATTTAATATATATATATATATATATATATATATATATATATATATATATATATATATATATATACTGAAGTTTTGAAGCAAAAGATATTTTAATAAATTTTCATCTTGACTTATTTAAAGAAAACCTAAATAATAACTTACTAAATATTTATTCTAAAAAAATAGTACATATTAGTAAATATCTGAAACACATTCATAGTAAAAGAAAATATAATCGAGTTAGCAATTTTTTTATGGATGTAAAAATATTTTATTTATTTTAGTTTTTTTTTCTTTTGATATAATGATTAAAGATAAATAAATATTCAAAATCATTTCAATAAACAAAAATAAAATATTAATAAAATCATACATGTGCGTTTTTTTAAGTAATTTAAATCCTCCTTTCCAATAATAATTTAAACCATAATGTATGAAAGAAAATGAATGATGATAATAAAGATGATAAAATTATTCACATCTTTACCATTTATTTATATTAAATAATAAAATATAAATTATTGTTAGAATGATTATTATATTAAAAATATAAATAGAAATAAAAAATAATAATATTGTTAACTAATTTTCAAAAGGGTTTTAAAAAATATTTTTTGAAGAGTTAATCAAACAATTTAAAGGTGTTAACATTACTTTTGTAATTTTATTATTATTACTTTGGAGTGTGATGAATTTTGAAAGAGAACTCACTGAAATTCAAACCTCTGTTAAAACTTCAAAATAAACTTACTTTTCAATAAAGAAATTGCTTTATAGGGATTTTAATATAATGTTGATTTAAAAGTGTGCTTGAAATATGAACAAAAGACACTAATTTTCAAATTATACAATTTATGGAATTAAGATTTATAAACTTTAATTCATATTATTTCCTATATTGGTTTAGTGGGCATGACTTAAGTTTGACTCTTGAGTGAGGCTATTTTTGTTGAAAGGAAAGTAATTTTCATTAATAATCACTGAAATTAATTTAGTATAAAACGTTCTATTTCGAAATAGAATTGATGAACTTATAATATATAATATATGGAAGAGGGGACTTAAAATTAATATAATGTCATATCTTCACAAATTATATCTCACTTGGAGTTGGGTCCAGTAGAATTAAGTGATTGTGTAAAGTGAATCGACGCATAATTTTAATGGTCAACTATTGTCGAATAACATCTAATCAACCAAACTGGCTTCAACATTTTTTTCTGCCTTCAAACTTAGATCATATATTTTCTTCCATTCATATACTAATAACAATTGATTATATTATAATAATTATAAAATTTGTATTATTTTTTTCTCTTTAAGTATATCATTTATTATTAGGAGTTTTGCAGCGATATTTTTCTAATAAAGATTGTGAAAGTTCAAAGCAGAATATTATGGCTGTTTCAAATAGCAAACAAGGAAAGGACCAAACATCATTACAATTAGGATAACAATGATTTCATGCACAACGTTAATCTTGAGTTGGTGCTCTTATGAGTGCAATGTCGCCCAAAGTCCATTGCCCCAACATATTTAATTGCTTTTATATCTATTGGTATGCAAAAAGTTATTACTTTCACTGTTCTTTCTTAACTCTGATGAACAAAATGAGTGAAACCTAAAATTTATTTTTATATTCAGAATCAAAATTATTATATAGGTAAGTTATGACTCATGAGAGATAATTTATGAAGTTTAAAATAAAAATAAGCATACTTTAAATCCTAAGATTTTGTTTTATTTTATTTAAAATAACATTTTTTTCCTGTAGAGAAAGTGCTAAATTGTAAGAACAATAATTGATATAGAAATATTGTGAATGATAAAAACGTTTTCTATATTTTATTACCCTTTGACTCTCGTATATTATTTAAAAATTGGGATTAAACGTAATTTATATATAATATATATTTTTAATCTATTAGTACATTTTTTTTAAGAATAATATTAGGATGAACTAAAATTTTAAAATAAATAATATCACAAACATTATTGAAATGTTGATATAATATATAAGGATAAAATTATTCTTCTTAAATTGAATATTGAGGGCGAAGGAAATTTTAAAATATACAACTTCTAAAAAATAACATATAATGGTATGAAACATATATTTTTTTTTTCTTCACTCTTGTGTACATGAAACTTCATATTTACAGGTAGATTATTGCTAATTTTCAACCACGGCATACCCCCGTGAAAGACAGCACTGTGGCAAGTGGTAGCCATAGAAAGTAGGAATATGAATATAACAAGAAGAATCAAGTAAAGGGTGTATTCATTTCTATCCAATTGATTGATATGTAAGTGATTTATATATTGAAAACTTTAGGTCTGTGTGTTAGAATTGACCAAGCACAATTTGGAACCTTAGACTAAAACTCTGAGTCCTTTGACAACTGGTATGCTTCCAACCGAAATGAATGAAGGATAATGAAGTCCAAAAGGAGAGGATATAGCAGGGTCATTCCGTTTGCATTACAATTTTCTCAACCCACAAAAATAATGGTTATAGTTTATTCTATACCTGTTTATTCTCCCCTTTCTTGTCTTCCCTTGGTTATTTGACACGCTTCACTTTCTTAACAACATTTTCTTACGCTAATTGAGAATCAGCAATAACCGATAATATATTAACTTTATGTTGATGCATTTCTATAAAGGGAATAATAAGAAAATATAATTTACTTTTTCACAAATTAAAAACAACAAACAATTTATAGACATTTTAACTTTTTTTTTTCAAAAATACTAAGTTAAATTGTTCTAAATATGGGTTTGGTTGTCTCAAATGCTTATTCACGTTTTCACCAATAAAAAGAAAAGGCCCTGCATTTTTAGTTTTAATATCTCTAAATATTTTTCCTTGTTCATCTCGTCAAAAATTTTAATTAATATTTTAGTCTTTAATACTTATTTTACAGATTTAAAGATTATTTTTAGGTGATATATGTAAACATTATATTATAATATCGCTATTAATCTCTCTACATGCATAAATCGTTAATTAATGTCATATAATGTTATAAATTAAAATAAAAAATTTAAATATATATTTTTTAGAAAAATCAAAATCAAATAAACCTTATAAAAAAATAATTTCTTTACCTAATTTTTTTTATCAGAATTTGCTTAATTGTTTTTATCAAAATTCAGATAACCGTTTTGTAATTTTTCTTGATACAAGGTTTATAAACTCATATACACGAGATTCTCATAAAATAAAAGTAAAAATCAAAATTATAATGACATCAGGGTTATAAGATTCGATACATCCTAGGTAACGTAAAAATGAAGACATTCATCATGACATTTAATAATATTTCACTCATCATAACCCTTAGTAATATCAACTTTCGAGTTAGTGCATTTTCCATCAACATTGAATCAATATTTTTTTAACCAAAGGTGGGAGGGCACGAATTCAATGTGTACATTGATGTACACATAGTTAATTTATGCGACAGAGGCTTAAACAGAAGGGGCGGGTAGAAGACCACAGGTAAATTTTCGTTTTTAAAAGGGTAGGATGGGAAGAGAGAAAACCGCTATGGGAAGAAGAGATAGAAAAGAAGCGCACTAGGCGCAAAACGCACCTCTGCTTCTCTTTACCGGTGCGAGACTGAGACAACTCCATGTTGAAGCAGAAAAGTACAGAGACTAACCTTTCACACCTCCATGCTACCATTATTTAAACAAACAAATCACCTACCTCAACACCTTCAACTATTCTCACTCACTCTCAAAAAAATTGCAATGGAATTGAATTGAATGAATCTGAATGGAACCTTCCCTCGTCAACGACGCCACATTCTCTGCCTCTAACCCGTCCTTGTCCGAGATTTGGCCCTCGCATTTCCCCTCCACCAACAAGAGACCCTCTTCTCTTCTGCTTCACACTCACAATCTCTCTCCCAACAATGATAAACACGTTAAGTTATCACCACCCTCACTTACACATCAAAACGCTCCGTTCCAGGCGCCTCAACCCGACGCCACTTCCGTAGCCGCTGACAAGTCACCCCTTCAAACTCCCAAACCCAAGCCGGACTACATACACGTGCGAGCCAGAAGAGGCCAAGCCACCGATAGCCACAGTCTCGCCGAAAGAGTAATTCATGTTTTTTTCTTTTTATAATTTCACAGTTCATAACTCGAAGAATAATTTCACTACAAGGCTGTTGTTCGCAACAGGCTAGAAGGGAAAAGATCAGTGAGAGGATGAAAATTCTTCAAGATTTAGTCCCCGGGTGTAGCAAGGTAACTAACTCATAAATTTTTATTTTCATTTTTTTCAACTTATTTATGTTATGTTGTGGAAAAAATTATTTTGGGTTCAGGTAATTGGTAAAGCGCTTGTCCTGGATGAGATAATTAATTATATCCAGTCATTGCAGCGTCAGGTTGAGGTGGCTATTTTCATCTTCTTCTTCTTTTTCTTTTTTTCTCTGTATGATTTTATTTTAAAGGTTTAATAGGAAACCTCGATGTAAAATATTACGAAAATGCTTATATTTTCATAACCTCCGACTGCCTTTTATTTCTCTCAATTATTTTGTTCATAATTTTTTAATTTAAATTTAATCAATGAAATTTCAATAATTGTTTTTGTATAATATTCGTCCAATTGATTTTCGCACTATATAGCATTTCTGAAATTTGTAGCCCGATGGAAAAGTTCCTTAAAATTGTTTTAACTCAAATTTTTTGAATATGAAATTTAATGTTTATTTATCATGTTTAGGTGATTTTGAATGATTTGATGTATTAATTGTATGCAAAATAACTTTGCAGTTCCTTTCAATGAAGCTTGAGGCAGTTAATTCACGATTGAGTATGAGCCCTTCTATTGAATGTTTTCCTTCAAAAGAAGTAAGTTAGTAAATTTATCCACTTAAGTATGTTAATCTAGTGTCACAGTCATCCATTTAGAAAATGTTAAGCAAAAAGCAAAATTCTAGAAGAATTTAGATATTCTTTTCTTGTATGCTTACTGCATATTTTCTGCATTATTGATATTTTCTCGTGTCATTATTAATATTGATTTTCTCTCCAAAAAGAATTTAGATATTCTTGTACACGGTTATTTATATATTATTTTTCTCTCTTTTGCTGTAAATAATTTGTATTATATATATATATATATATATATATATATAAATAAAAGATTACTACTTCATTTATATTTATTTTTTCATTTTCATATTTTTTTTATAATAATTTATAAATAATTTTCTTTTTCAACTTGTAAATTTTACCTTTGTATTTGTTTTTTTTTTAATCTTATTCCATTAATCTTTTATTCATAAAATGTAAGATGGAGAATATATGCTCTTTTCAAAGCACCAATTTTTTTTTTCATTATCTTTTAATATAAGTAAATTTATGATAAATATAAACTCTTTTAATTTCTAAAGTTTTTAAATATATAAAATATAAATTTTGCATAAAAAAATAGAATAACTATTTAGGTAAAATTTAGTTTTTTATTAGTAAGAACTAATTTATATATATATATATATATATATATATATATATATTATATTTTAATTATCTAAATCAAACTAATAATATTATAATTTTTTCTATTATTCTAAAATATAATAAAAATCTTTTAATACTAATAAAATATATATTTCTAATAAAAATTTATCAAGTAAACTCTAAACATGTCCTATCATTCTAAAAGATTCGTAGTTTTCATCAAATAAACAATCTACATTGGGACGAAAAGAGTGCTAGTTATACACCCAGGCTAGCTCTTCTCAACACATCCTATATGATTTGTCAAATCCATGTAACATAGGATGAACTAAATGAGGACCAAGACCCATAAGGAATATTCCACTCTAAGTATTGTTACCTAGACCTACATGTATTCAACAGATAAATTATTTTTTAAGGACTGTTTATTTTTATAATATTGTGTTTTTCTTGGCTGTTTATGTGGTGGTTCAGGTTGCAACTCAGCCATTCGACCTTTCCGGAATAATATTTGGATCACAACCGGCCAGGGGATATGCTCAAGGTTCACAACCTGGATGGCTGCATATGCAAATAACTGGTGGTTCAAGGGAGATTCATTGAGAATGACAGGTCAATCAGTGTGGTTAGTTTTGCATTGAAAAGGAAGAAGTCACAGGGGGCAGTGGTTGGTTAGCACTTCGTGTTAACAACCTAGTCATTTGATGCAAATCGTTGTTAAGTCTGTCATGTTAAGATATCAATTGTAAGAAATTCATCTAATTAATCTTCTGGACACTATCTATCTGGGCATTTAGCGCTTCACTGTATTAGCATTGAAATAATTTTATTGTGGTTTTCATTTCAAATATCTGCTGTGGTGGGTTTCTTCTCTTCTGATTTGTTGTTTCACAGTTAATATATATTAGCATGAAATTATTTGAGTTAGAGAGAGTATGAAAATCAACCCAAGTTAGTAATTGAGTCATGTCGGATCGATTGGATAACGCCAAATAATATGTCTTTGATTTCTGTTACAAATTGATGGAAATTCTGCAATCATTCACATGAATAAGAAGTTGCAAGTGTTAAATAAATTATACTAGTAAAAGTATAAAAATAAAGGATATACAAAGAGAAGAAACAAGATATAAAAGAGATGCGTCTCTATTTATCATACAACAGGTATTTAATTATATAAATAAAGGAAAAGTAACAAGAGAATGGTCACTTTGAACCATCCATGGATGGTCTTTTTCTGTCCAATTTGAAGGGATTTCAAAAATTGCGTTAAAGGAGAAGTAGTTCATTCTTTAGACTGTATTAATCATTAGGAACTAAGGATACAGTTGTGAATTTGATTTTAAACATGAATAACTATATTTATAAACTATTGGTAACTTCAATTTTTAATTACATAATCCTATCTAACAAAATAATATTTGTAATTTAATTTTTTCAATTATTTTAAGATGTATAAAGTTAGTATGTAAAAAAATTATTTTTCACCAAAAATATAAATTATTATTAAATAATTATATATATATATATATATATATTAATATTGGTAGGATAAAGTGATGAAAAAAATAAAGTTTTTTATTATTATTTTGGATACTTATCTACCTTACTAATTAAATTATATGATGATAATAAAGTTTTATGGGATAGTTTTTCATAATTCAATACAAAATATATTAAAATGAATAAATTATTTATCAAGGTAATATTAGAAGGAAAATATAAAATAAATTGTGATTTACTTAGAATATCAATTAACAAATATCCTTATATCAAATAAAATAAAAACATTCTCAGTTGTTAAATTTGGTATATAAAATTTATATGTATCTGCTTGAGGAAAAATGTTACAAATTATTTATTTTCTATTATTTTTATAAATTTTTTATAATATATAATTAAAATATGTATAATTGAAAAAATATTATAATTTTTTACTAACCAAAATTAATTACACATATTTGTACAATTTTATATATTATAAATACATTTTATATATTTTATTTTATATCATATAATAACGAATATTTATTTTATATTTTAAAATAATAATTTTTTATTGTTGTTTTAAAAATCAAATCCTAGATATATACAATTTAAAGTCTAAATAAATATTTATATTATTTATTTCATTTAGAATATATTTTAAGATTTTTAATTAAAAATATAGAGTGAGGTAAATGCTACACAAAATCAGTATTTCTTATTAACAAACTATAATAGATTATATAATTAAATTTTAACATTAAATAATTAATTTCAAATCAAATAAAATTGCAGCTAATATATATATATATATATATATATATTATGTTTATAATATTATTAATGATATAAAATATACAAACAATAATATTAACCATATTCCTAACTCATTTGAAAATGAAAAAAACTACAAATAATTACATTATAAAATTATTTTATCATTTTTTTAATAAACTAAGTGATAAAAAAAATACAAAACGTAAAATATATATACTATTATTAATTTAAAAGTTAGTTAAGTTATTCTCATCACTTGTCCTATCACATTCTCCAGTATTAACTGTTTTGATGGGGTTTGTAAGTTATCATTTTTAGTTTCACTTTTGAATAAAATATTTGTTTTAAAAAATAAAAGCGACTTTATACCATAATATCAATATAAATTATTTTCAAAATCTATTTTTTTTAATATATTTAAATTATTTTTTATTATAAAATACAATTAAGATTTATTTATGTATTGAAAATGTTTCTAAACATTAACTTTAATGGTATAAAAACCTGTGAATTGTTAAAGTAAACAAGATATATGAAGTTGATAAGTTCAAACAGAATATCATGCCAAATAAACAAGATAAAAAATAAAATAAAATTAACAGCAGGATACCAGGAATCATCTATTGACTGTGGGTCCCATCTCTCCAACTTGAATCATCAAACCAAGTATCCAGATCTTACGCATTTTAAACCCTTTGCCAAAAGTGCAGGACACTAAGTTGACCTAAGCGTCAATTGATCTAACGGGTGAGAGAGTCTCTCCGTTGAGGATTGTTAATCAGCGTTGATCAAACCCCTCCAAGCAAGCAAGACTCCAACCCTTTCTCACCGGGCGCCAAAAACCCCTTTCGTCGCTATATCAACAAACCTTACTCTCCTGTTTCAAATGCAGTGCCACAGCAGAACATCGAAATTGAAAACCCACCGATAAATCAGTAAGGAGAGATTGAGCTTTGATTGTTGTTTTCTCTGTTAGGTCCACGATTTGATTCAATTATAGTTTCATTTAGATTTGAGCATGGACCTTCAGAACACTGTGAAGGAAGCCCTAAATGCACTGTACCATCACCCCGATGATGCGGTGCGCATGCAAGCCGATCGCTACCTTCAAGATTTCCAGCGCACTTTGGATGCGTGGCAGGTTCTCTCTTCAATCCGTTATTTGCTTCCTCGTATTCGTTTATTTTGGTTTCCTATTTGTCTCTGTCTTCGTCTCGTGTCAGATTTGATTTTTACTGAATGACCTGATAATTATCCTGTTTGATGATGTTTCCCTATTCCGGTTATTGATTTGATGATTGTCATTGGTTTGAGCTGTGAACTTGGCTGGAGTTGTTTATTTGTGTTCTGTGAATGTTTCTATTTACGTGTCATCTTCGTGATCACAAGAAGACTTAGGACTATTGTTTGTTTGATTTGAATTGCGAGTTATATAAAATTTTAAGCTTGTGGCACAAATGTTTCTTACTTTGATGGCAGGTGGCTGATAATTTACTTCATGATCCCAGTAGCAATCTAGAAACCTTAATATTTTGTTCTCAGACTCTGAGAAGCAAGGTAACTTCAGTTGTCTTTTTCTTCCTGTTCATACCTTATTTAAGAAGGTTGAATGTTGGTTTCTGAATGCAAAATACTTGCCACAAGGGCTTCTTCTTCTTCTTCTTCTTCTTCTTGGGTTCTGAGTACTTTTGTCCTTTTTTTTTGTATGATTTAGGTACAAAGGGACTTTGAAGAATTGCCTTCCACAGCTTTTCGACCTTTGCGTGACTCATTGAATGTGAGTGAGGGTCTGTGCAATTTGGTGCATTTTATAGGGTGTTTATTTAAGTTTTGAGATGTAAAAACTATTCCCAATTAAAAGGATTGCAAATATCCACGTGTTTTTCACATGTCCTTGGTCAAATTGTCTTATTTATGGACTCCCAATACTTTACACAGTGTAATTTTGATAGTTGGTTTGGAATGCAGACCTTGCTAAAAAAGTTTCACAAAGGTCCTCCAAAAGTCAGAACACAGGTTTCATATAAAAGTTCCCTGCACCCTTCTGTCCTCTTTGTTGTTAGTATTTTGGGTTTTGTGCTTTTTACATGGAAATTTGATTCTCAAATGTATTGTTCAAAATTTTCTGCACCTGTAGATTAGCATTGCAGTGGCTGCCTTGGCAGTGCACGTGCCTGCAAAAGACTGGGGGGATGGTGGTATAGTGAAATGGCTTAGGGATGAGATGGATTCCCGTCCAGAATATATACCAGGATTCTTGGAATTACTTACAGTTCTACCAGAGGTATACTAGCTGACATCAGTGGCCAGGGAGGAACATGTATCATCTTTTCATCTTATTAATTAGACATATGTCTGAACTTTGAATGACTAAACATCAAGTTGTTATAATTTATGAAGGTGCTGCTTTGTTGGATTTGGATATTGTTGTTTATGTAGCATTTATCATAACATACTTCAAGTCATGTATTGTTCTATGAGTGGTTATAACAAAATAGTTTAACAATTTGCATGTTTCTGTTGTATATTATACCTATTCACACATTTTATCTGTATATGCAGGAAGTATTAAATTATAAGATTGCAGCTCGCCCAGAAAGGCGTCGCCAATTTGAAAAAGAGCTAACATCTCAAATGGAAGTTGCACTTAATATTTTGACAGCATGTTTGACTCTTTCTGAACTTAAGGAGCAGGTGATTTAAGATTATCCATTATCTATTTCTCACTGTCTTATATGTGGCTCTCAATGAATTTATTTAATCTTATGATGATACCTTTATGATAAAAATTTCAGGTTCTTGAAGCATTTGCTTCGTGGCTTCGCTTAAAGCATGGGTACTAAGTTTCTCTGTTTATGCCTTCATCTAATTTTTTTTATCAAATGGTGCATTACTGATAATTCTAAAGAAAGACTTGTTTAAACCTAATGAATGAGAAAAAGCTTTTATTGAATTAACATGAAAACATAGTTGTCCCCAGTTTAAGATTCAGTGGTATTTCTTTTTTGCTATGTGTGCATGTGTTTTAATTTGTTGGCTTTCACGTGAAAGAATGTCAGAAGGATTGGATAATTTTACCTGAGTTCTACATAGATGGCCTATTTTTTAAGTGAAATTTATAGGAGTGAGTTGCATGAAAATGCTGGGTAATGAGTTTTAGTTTTGCATTCATAAAGTTAAATAAAGAGGCTTGGGGATTTTTGTAACTGTTTATTACAACCTGATGAAACTTAGATGGACTATTTAAGTTTTATATCTTCTTTGTTAACTTATTCAGGATTGTTCTTATCTCAATCATCTAGTGAGGGAAAACATATTTGATTCTATTGGTCGATGTATTATTTGTTCTCCAGGATTCCAGGATCTGTTCTTAGTTCCCATCCGCTAGTTCTCACGGCATTGTCAAGCTTGAATTCTGATTTACTTTCAGAGGCGTCTGTAAATGGTATAACAAGTTAACAACTGGGAAACATTCCTCTTACATTATGTTTGTTTGTTTGTTATATTGTCTCAATTTTGCTTATAATACTTAATACTGCATTTGGGAAAAAGGAAATTAATGAATGTCAAATTGATTCTATACAACTATTTATCAATACTTGTGGCACTAATTGTTAAATATGCCTCACAAGTTGTTATTAATGTCACGAGGTTATTGACATAATGATGGTTAACTATGCCCCAAGAGTGGTTAACTGTGCAAGATAGACACTTTCAGTGGGTTGTTTACAATATTTATAGAAAAATGTAAATGTTGAATTAGACTGTGTTTGATGATGAGATGGTAGTTTGACATATTTACTCAACAATAAAAATCTATATGCAGAATAATTGAAATTGACAAATACAATGCCTTTTGTGTCATCAAATACAAATAATAGTTTGTGTTTTTTTTGGTCAATGTACATACATTTTTCAGGTCTGATTGCTTCGCGATAGACATTATGATAGGTGTAGATATGCTAAGGATACGATTGTAGTAGCAGTAGCAGTGTTGTCTTTGCATTAAAGTTTACAAATTTTGATATTTTTAATGGTTGATGATGCTTTCATTTGCGTTTTTCATTATTATCACCATTTGATTAATTCTGTTGTTGTTCCTTTTATTTTCACATGGGATTTAATCATGGTGTTGCTTTCCCTGTATTTTTAATTTGGCAACATAATATTATTTATTGTGTGTGCCCTTTTGCAGTGATTTCCGAGTTAATACACTACACAACTGCCGGAAATATTGATGGTGTTTCTGCAAATATGCCCTTAATTCAAGTCATTGTTCCTCAAGTTATGAATCTTAAGGCCCAACTTAGTGATTCTACAAAGGTAAATACTTTATTAGTATGCAATCTCCATGTGCTGGGGCATGAGAGATTGCCCTATTCCAGCATACCGGAACAGTTTCTCTCTGGTATAACTGTTTCTCTCTGGTATAACTGTTTCTGTTCTCTCTGTTGGCATTTAGTTGATGGCTATAGTAACAGTATGAAATTTAAGTTGCTATATTTGTTTGCGATGGTGTCATGGTGCTGATTTGGTTTATTGGGAGTAGGAGCTAGTGTTTTACAGGCTTGCTGTGAATACTAAATATTAAGTGAATCATGTCAACCTTAGATAATTTTTTATTGTATTTATCGAACTGCTAGCTACTTTAAACGTTTTTGTTCTCTTCTAGTTAATTTTGCCCAGAATAGAAGTTAGAGATATAATTTTAACTCTTATTAAATTTTTATAGTGTCAATATTAAAATCTGCCTGAGCAGCAGACTCTAGAAACCTATAGAAGCCATGATACCAAAGAAGATGCATTGACTGCAGATAATTTATATTTTATACATATATTATTATTAATGCTAAAATATGAAGTATATGCTTAAAATTAAATTGAAGTCATACTGATCATTAGTAATCATAAATCACCTCAAAAGCCCAATCATCATTAATCTAACTTATCAATCAGTAACCAGAAGTAAGACAAAAAATGTACTGGGTGAGGCTGGTAGGGGGACTGCAAATGCTTCTTAAGGCTGAAACCTAGGTGGGCTTTGCTGGAAATGGTTGTCCGCTGGGATTCAACTTGGAAATGCAACATGTTAGAAATCTTTCAGCATATAGCTTGGTTGGAAAACCAGTGGGTTGCACTTGCAGATAACCTTCTGTAAGATACTAGTTTAAGAAAAAAAAAAAAAAACTGATAAAAGAAGACAGAGGTGACTTCTATTAGGATTCCCAATCTTGAAGGAAAAAGCTTCCTTCAGATGATGGGAAAGAATGTAAGATACCACTCGGAGAATGTGAGAGGACCATCTCTCCTATCACACATCTCAACAACTCCCAAAACTTCTCCCCTCTCTCCCCTTTGCTATCTGTTTCCTTGTTACTATCTTAACTAACATTCTGTTTCATCTCTCATGATCATAGCTAACAAACCTACAATAACAAGGTTGAGCTCTTCTAACATGAACCTCCTTTTTCCTTCCTCCTATGTTATTTGGAGGCCTAACACCTTACTACGTCCAGCAGCGTAGGCCATTTTCCAGTAACCCAGTGATTCTTTGGCCTATTTCTCTTGTTTGACAGAGATTGAATTTATAGTGAAAAAAAACTTAAAGAAGATACTTGCAAGCCTTACAATCTAGGGCATTATTCATTGAAACATCAGGGATTTGCAATCCTATTTTCATATATCATGGGATAAAAGGGATGGACTTTAAAAATTGCCTCTTTTCAAGACCAGAGTGGTAGCCAAACAAGGAGGAGAAAACCCATTTTTGTCCCATCAATTGTAGTAGCTTGATGGCTTTGATTTGCCACTAAAGAAAGCTGCTATTGCTGCTTCCCAAAAACATAACTTGGTGAACATACCATAGCAGCCTTGTTGTGTAAAGAGAGGCGACACTGCCATAAGAGCAATGCCAATTACCATACACTGTAAAACTTTTTGATGGATGATGGTATTACAATCAAACTCGACTTCGTGGGAAATCAAATAGTATTTTAAAAAAGAATAAATTAGGAAATTTATAATATGTACAAATTTGAACAATTAGGAACAATCCCATAAATCAAGGGATCCTAGAATGAAATAGAGTTATTATATTTCCTAAAATAGCTTAGGTCTCCTGTATATATCTTGTATGATCTCTTTGTATTAAAATGATAAAAAATAAGATTTCATTTAATCTAATTTTCCATATGGTATCAAAGCTTCCAATCTAGGAAGTTCTGTCTGCGCACTATAAACCCTAAGACGGCAGCCTGTATTGCTGCTGCATTTTTCTTAACCCTAAGACGGCAGCCTGCATTGCTGCTGCATTTTTCTTAACCCTAAGACGACAACCTGCATTGCTGCTGTATTTTTCTTAACCCTAAGACGGCAGCCTGCATTGTTACTGCATCGCATCTTCTTGCTATAATGTCAAGGGAAGAGGAAGTTGTGAACCCAACCCCAAAAACAGGGAATACCCAATCCCAGCAATCTGGAGAACTGCAAAATATTCATTCTGCATATAGATTAAATGGAAGAAATTATTTGAAGTGGGCCTAACTTTTTCGTACAATGTTGAATAGAAAAGGGGTAGTCGAACAGAAGAAAGGAGGATCAACAAATATGGAGATAAAAGGTGATGGTCTCTGGTGTACCTACTGCAATAAGCCTCGTCATACCCGAGAGAAGTGTTGGAAGTTACATGGGAAGCCTTTAAATCGAGATCGAGAAGGGGGACATAGAGGAGGCTCCTTAAGGAAAGGTGCTGAAACAAATGAAGCAAATAATCCAGAAGTTGCTGCCCATCTTAACCAAGAGGAGATAGAAAGGGTGATAACCTTTCTTAGTAAGCTAGAAAAACCTACAGATGTGTGTTCTTTGGCATACTTAGGTAAGTTTCCACTTTCTTTTGGATTAAATGTCTCAGATACACCTTTTAACCATTATTGGATATTTCTGAGCCACATACCACATGACACCATTAGCCAAACACTTCTCCACATATTCCTAATGTCCCATCAACAAGAAAATTACCACAACAGATAGAACCCTTATAACTGTAGCTGGTCAAGGAAATATCCAATTCAATCCTTTAATAACCTTAAAAGATGTTCTCCATGTCCCAAAGCTGTCCACCAACCTAGTCTCTATACAAAAACTTATAAAGGATTTGTCATGTAAAGTTTTTTTCAACGATCATTGTGTATTTCAGGACAAGGATTCGGGGAGGATGATTGGACATGCTAGAGTAGAATGACCTTTATTATCTCAAAGATCCAAGTCTGTCCAGCAAGAACAGAATCTCTCACTCCTTCATATTTGAATCCTTGATGACCAACAGAGAAAAAATCATGCTTTATCATTGTCGGTTGGGACATCCCTCTTTTGGAGTGATCAAAATTATGTTTCCCTCTTTGTTTACCAAGTTAGATGTTGAGAGTCTTCATTGTGAGGTGTGTGAACTTGCTAAGCACAAACGTGTATCTTTTCCAACAAGTAATAGAATTAACAATTTTCCTTTTTATCTTGTTCATACTGATGTACGGGGACCTTCTAATGTTCCAAATGTGTCTGGTGCTCGATGATTTGTCACTTTTATAGATGATTGTACAAGGGTCACTTGAGTTTTCCTACTTAAACAAAAATCAGAAGTCAATTTTGTCTTCCTAAACTTCCACTCCTTGATAAAAAATCAGTTTGGTCTTAATATTAAGAGGCTTAGGATAGATAATGCCAAAGATTACTTCAATCATGTCCTTAATTCTTTTTGTCAAAAAGAAGGTATAATTCAAGAGTCCTCTTGTGTCAAAACACCACAGCAGAATTGGGTTGCAGAGAGGAAAAATAGACATCTATTAAATCAGACTCGGGCATTGTTCCAAAAAAGTGTACCAAAAAATTTCTGGAGGGAAGCTGTCCTTACAACAACATACTTTATCAATAGACTACACTTTAGAGTCTTAGGATCAAAAAGCCCTATGGAAGCTTTGTCATCTTTCTATCTAAACATGTCCACTACAAATAATCTTAAACCAAGAGTTTTTGGGTGCATCTCATATGTCCATATACATAGGGGAAACTTGATTCTAGAGCCTTAAAGTGTGTATTTGTTGGTTTCTCACCCACTCAGAAATGGTATAAATGCTATCATCCCTCATCCAAAAAATTCTTTGTGTCTAGGGATGTTACCTTCAATGAACAAGAATGTTATTTCCATCAACCTTATCTTCAGGGGGAGAGTTTCAGGGAGGATAATGAAAGTAGTAATTCTGGTTTTCCTATTCTTCCAGACTTGATATTTGAACCTAAATGAGACCAAATTGAAAGTACCATTCTTCTAGACTTGATATTTGAACCTAAACGAGATCAAATTGAAGCTATAACAAGTGAAAAAAGTCAAGGAATTGGTCAAGAAAAGGAAGTTGGTCAAGAAAGTGAAATTAATTGTGAAGTTGATCAAGGAGATGTTGAAGCTGGAAAATTTGGTAAGAAGCTGGTGTACTCAAGGAAGACTAAGGCCATTCCAGGATCAAGCCATGTTCAAGAATCCAACTCGTCTCCACAAAAAGAGGTAACAAATTTTTCTCCAGCTGTGCAGGTTGAAATTGAAACCCAAAATGATCCTGACCTCCCAGTTTCCATTAGAAAAGGGACAAGAAAATGCACCAATCAGCCACTCTACCCTCTCTCAAATTACCTGTCCTTGAAAAATTTCTCTCCTACACATAAAACCTTCCTAGTAAACCTAAACACTACACTTCTACCTAATACCCTATCTGAGGCATTGTCTGACAGAAAATGGAGGCAAGCCATGAATGTAGAGATGAAGGCATTGGAGAAGAACAACACCTGGGAGTTAGTCACCTTACCAATACGAGAGAGGCCAGTTGGATGTAAGTGGGTCTATACAGTGAAATACAAGGTTGATGGATCAATTGAGAGATATAAGGCAAGACTAGTTGCCAAAGGGTTCACCTAAACCTATGAAGTTGACTATTTGGAGACCTTTGCTCCGGTTGCCAAAATGAACACAGTTAGGGTGATATTGTCCCTTACTGCCAATTATGGTTGGAACTTGGAACAATTTGATGTTAAGAATGTTTTCCTACATGGAGACCTTGAAGAAGAAATTTATATGGAGATACCTCCGGGATATGGTAGAGATGTTGTTGTCAACACTGTTTGCAAGTTGAAAAAGGCATTATATGGGCTAAAACACTCCCCCCGTGCATGGTTTGGCAGGTTTACTAAAGTTATGACGGGTCTGGTTTACAAACAAAGCCAAGGGGACCATACTTTGTTCTTTAAACATTCCAAGTCAGAGGGAGTAACAATATTATTGGTGGTGTATGTGGATGACATAATATTAACTAGAGATAATAAAGAAGAACAACAATTGTTGAGTCAATGCTTAGGCAAGGAATTTGAGATCAAGACCTTGGGAAAACTAAAATATTTTTTGGGAATTGAAGTTGCCCACTCCAAGAAAGGGATATTTATATCCCAGCAGAAATACATCACTGATTTGCTCAAGGAAATTGGCAAGGCAGCTTGCAAACCTACTAGTACCCCATGAGAACAAAACCTAAAGCTTGGAAATGCAGAAGAAGATGTTGCTGTTGAAAAAGATATGTACCAGCGATTAGTGGGCAGACATATATATTTGTCGCATACCAGGCCAGATATTGCCTATGCAGTGAGTTTAATTAGTCAATTTATGCATAACCCAAAAGAGACCCATTTACAAGCAACCCATAGAATTTTACAGTACCTTAAAGGAATTCTAGGAAGAGGGATTCTATTAAAAAATTATGGTAATGTGAAGCTTGAAGCCTATACTGGTGTTGATTATTCAGGGTCAATTGTGGATAGGAGGTCAACTACAAGATATTGCACCTTTCTTGGAGGAAATCTTGTGACTTGGAGAAGCAAAAAGCAGGGTGTAGTGGCTCGGTCCAGTGTTGAAGTGGAATTTCGAGCCATGACACAAGGTATATGTGAGTTGCTATGGCTTAAAATCATCTTAGAAGACATGAGGATAAAATGGGAAGAACCTATGAAGCTCTATTGTGATAATAAGTCAGCAATTAGCATAGCCCACAACCCAGTGCAGCATGATAAAACAAAGCATATTGAAGTAGACAGACACTTCATCAAAGAAAATCTTGATAGTGGCTTGATATGCACTCCATATGTGTTCTCTCAAGACCAAATTGCAGACATTCTTACTAAGGGACTGGACTGCCACAATTTTGAGAAGATTGTATCCAAGCTAGGAATGGAAAACACTTATTCACCAGCTTGAGGGGGAGTGTGGGAAATCAAATAGTATTTTAGGAAATAATAAATTAGAAAATTTGTAATGTGCACAAATTTGAACAATTAGGAACAATCCTATAAATCAAGGGATTCTAGAATAAAATAGAGTTATTATATTTCCTAAAATAGCTTAGGTCTCCTGTATATATCTTGTATGATCTCTTTGTATTAAAATGATAAAAAATAAGATTTCATTTAATCTAATTTTCCAGAGGAAGTTTACCCTATGTATGTATGTGTTATTGTATATATATATATGTGTGTGTATGTGTGTGTGTGTGTCTAAATATATGTATATATGTACATATATATATATATATATATATATATATATATATGTGTGTGTGTATGTATGTATATATATATATATATATATGTATGTATGTATCTAGGTTGTAAGGGTTTAAAAACATAATATCCATATGCCAATAAAATGTTTATTCCAAAATTCTTTATAAGGTTTTCAGTTCTAAACTGTATGACTATGTGAATGACATGGACATAGAAAATGAAGTTTTTCTTCCAATGAATGTTTCTTCCATTATATATGATAGTGAGATATTTTAGGGACAGTTGCATAATATTCTTCTTACGAATCTTCTATTTTTAGGATGAAGAAGATGTGAAGGCGATTGCTAGGTTATTTGCAGACATGGGTGATTCATATGTGGAACTGATTGCAACTGGTACTTGTACATAGTTATAAACTTCATTGGTTTCCCTTTGACAAGAATTGGTCGTGTGAACTGTGTGAATAACTTTGATGCCTTAGCAAGTTTCTCACGTTTTTGGTTGTGTTGAACTCATTGGGTCTGCATTGTGATAACTGAATTTTCCAGGTTCAGATGAATCAATGTTAATTGTGCATGCATTGTTGGAAGTTGCTTCACATCCTGAATATGATATTGCTTCTATGACTTTTAACTTTTGGCATAGTCTTCAGCTCAACTTGACCAAAAGGTGATTTTCTTCCTCTCATGAATCTACTGTATTTAGGGCCTGCTTAGGTAAATTTCTCTATAAGCATTTTGACGAGAAAATGACTAATTTTAGCTTATAAAGAAACTAATTTTATTTTTTCTAGAAATGTGTATGGAGAAGTTTATTCGAATAGACCTTTTTATTTGACACTGCTTTAACCAGAAATATGATTGTTACATAATCTGACAGGGAGTCCTATATTTCGTATGGTAATGAAGCTTGCATCGAAGCTGAGAGAAATAGAAGGCTGCAGGTTTTCCGTCCTGCATATGAATCACTTGTATCACTGGTGAGAAGTTGGGACTAAAATTTTCTTCTTAAGTGTCACACACCCTCAGCAGTTCATGGTTTCCAGCTCTTATCTGTGTTGCCTTAAAATTAGTTTTGTAACTATACGGACACAATAAAAAATTGCATGACCTTTTACTTATTTACATGATTATTCACAACATTCTTGTTGTATTATGAAATATGCTTTAATGCATGCGTGACTCGAAATAACACTTCTTATTTCCAGACATACTGGATTCCAGTAGTATTTTTATATTGTTTTTTTCATGGATTTTCTAGGTTATCTTTCGGGTTCAGTATCCTGAAGATTATCAAGACCTTTCACATGAGGATCTTAAGGAATTTAAGCAGACAAAATATGGTAAAGGGTTGTTGTTATTCTGATGCGTCTGCTCGTTTTCCTCTTTTATGTAATCATATATTGTTGTGCGTTAGATTATCCTGGGGTACATTTGATTGATCTCACATTTAAGCTGTTTAGGAGAGAAGCTAATATGTCGGGCTATAGATGACAACACAAAAATGCTGTTTGATCTCCATCTCACAGCTTCTGCATTCTGATTCAATATTTTTATTATATTATTACAAATCTCTCCTTTCACACCTTTTCCTTGACCATTGCATTTACTGCTTTATCACTTATACCCATGACCGCACTCTCTTTTTTTCTCTTGTACTTCTCTTGCATTCTTTCTTTCTGCCTTGCATATTCTTCTACCTGAACCATTAACCATATATTTCAAAATGGTTTAAATGTTAAAATATTTTAATAAACACAAATAATTGGAGGTCTGTTTTTGAGATTTACTATGTGAAATATCTTGTTTACACAATTTAAACAAAATAAATTATTGATTTCGACAAATATACTCAAACAAAAAAAAAAGTTCATTGTAATTGATTATTGAATTATTATATTTTCCACAAACACATTACATATATTTTACTGTAACTTTGGTAGTTGAATTACAATTTTATAGTGAGCTTCATAATCTGGTCTGAAGTAATAGGAATATTGAATTGCGGATGGCTTCAAAAAATTTTTTTTCCTTGGATTGGAACCAATGATTTGATTGGCTCAATTTATGCTGTTACACGTTGTGTGGTTCTTAGCTGATAGTTATTATAAAGGGGTCTCTGCTTTTGCTATATTACACTACACTCTAGTTGGTCCTCTATAGGTTCAAGAAACATCCTGCTCCAAGAATGTGGATATCAATTTGGTCCCTCATTGTTACATGTTAAATGGCTGTAAATGATTTGGCAAGAGTTGGATTAAAATGGATAGTCCACAAATAAACATTAGTGTATTTATGTCTATTAAAAATGTATCAGAAAAATCCAACTCATGTACTTCTTTACAAGGACTGTTTTCAGAACACGATCCCATATCTTGACCCATTGGTTAAAAATATATGATGGATTTCGTGTTAACTTTAAAAATATCTTGACCCACTGGCTATTGTTTTATCTTCTTTAATCCCTTCAAAAGGTAACTTATCTTTTGTTCTTGTTTCTTTCTGTCCTGATACCATATCTTTAAATCCAGGACGAGAAGTCGATTTTTGTTGGAAATAGGAACATTTAATGTTTATTTTCTTTTCTAGTAGTTCAGTTAATGATTAGCATAGTTCAATGTACCTTAGGAAGCTGTGATGTTTTAATTGTTCTCTTCAAACTAGTAGTTGTAATTTGTTACCTTTGTAATAACTCTTTTTGTAAATAAACCAATATGATGAGTTGTAAAGATACTCAAACACATTGGGAAATTTCATAATTTTCTCATAATTTGTCACATATTTGGTGACAGATAAACCTTTCTTGAATTGTTATAGTCATTTTCTATGTTATTGGTTTTCTCATAATGTGGGAAATTAGGAACAACTACACTGATAATGAAACAAGTTGAATGACTACTGTTAAGTTTGAGATCGTTTGCTCTACCTCTTTTAAATATTTTAGTTAGTGATGCTCTTGTTTGTGCGGGGCCACTTCCCTGAAATACTTTGCTGTTTAACTTTTATGATTTAAATGCAAATGAATTGTGGTTTACTGATTGCTAATTATCTTTTTTAACAAATGTATTTCAACCAGAATTTGATGATGTTTCCAAGGCTAACCGGAAAATTTTGTTTCAGCTGTTGCAGATGTATTGACAGATGCATCATCAGTTCTTGGTGGTGATGCCACACTTAAAATTTTATACATGAAACTGCTGGAGGTGTGAACAATTAATTTCAATATGCTTTTCGTTATTATTAAGACAAGTTTCTTGTAATGGTTGGAAATAACTAGTGTTTAATCTTAATTTTATTGCGTAAGTTTTGTTCATAACTTTTTTGGGTCTATTGTGTTTAGTCTTCTGCATTAACCTTAATATCAGTAAGTAGACTATAGATGTTGGCCATGTATTTTATGCTTCTTATTTTGCTCTTGGTTAAAAATTGTGAATGTTATTTCCCAAACCTCGTCACTGTTTCTGAACTGCCTTATCATCCTGTTTAGGCTGTATCTGGCCATGGTAATAATGAACACAAGGAATGGCGACCAGCAGAGGCTGCTTTATTTTGTATTCGGGCCATATCAAATTATGTTTCAGTTGTTGAAGCAGAAGTAATGCCTCAGGTATGCTTGCTACTTTATCTTTGTAATAATATTTTTTTTTTTAATGTCATTATAAATTACTTAATTTTATACACATTTGTCTACACAGATGAATTTCTATCTGTATTTAAATCCTTTTGTGGATATGTTGGTGCAAAGAACCTGAATGTTTATATTAAAGAAACTCCAAAAGTAAATGAAAATTTTATGGAAAAAAAATGGTTATTTTAGTTTATTTTCTCTTTAAACACTATCAATATTAAAATACTATTATCGAACTGAAAATGTGAGAAAACATTCCTGTCATATCAACCTCACCGTGAAGGTGATTGTAGAAGTGACAGAGTAATTGTTTTAGTAATGCCCTCTGGCTACAAGGATTTTTTTTTTTTTAATTTGTGATGACAACAATATGGTTGGAGTTACTTTTTTGAGTATATGTGTGTTAGGACGTAGTTAGATAGGCCTTTTCAGTTGTAAGAGGGCCTTACAACATGTTAGAACAGGTAATTAGTTAGAATACTATAATAGAGGCAGAAGATGATGGGGGAATGGGGTTAATTGGTGAGAATTACTTTTGGGTGGGAAGTTCTCAAGCTGTTGGGGGTTCATTCAGTCATTCTTGTTGAATTTTGCTCTTGGATTATCACTTTCTTACGGTGTTTGGTTGCACCTGCTTCCTTTATCTAGACCAACTTACATATTTGATTTCCAATCACTTGAGTGTGTTTTCCTTGGATATTCTAATCCACATGAGAGTTATAAGTGTTTATCTTCAGGTGTTAAATTGTTCATCTCCAAAGACTTAATCTTCTATGAAATCTATTTTTACTATGCTGACTATTCCCTTCAAAACCTGTTTCTCGTACCTCTAGTGTCTCATTGTCCCCTTAATTCTGTTTATTTTTAACTCCATAAGTCATTTTTTTTTTTGCTTTTTCTTTTCCTACATACAGATCATGGCTTTGCTTCCAAAACTTCCTCATCAACCCCAACTGCTTCAGACAGGTAAAGTGTATACTGCCCTTTTTCTAAAATATATTATGTAATTTTCTTCTTGCTCAACATTTTAGTTCCTGGTTTCCACCTTGTAATTTTCTATTTCAATTTATGTTTCCTGACTAATAAAACTCTTGTCATGTCTTGTTTTAATTTCAGTGTGTTTAACTATTGGAGCTTATTCAAAATGGCTCGATTCTGCATCTTGTGGACTGTCCGTGCTGCCATCAGTATTAGATATCCTAATGAATGGCATGGGTACATCTGAAGATTGTGCAGCTGCTGCTGCTTTGGCGTTTAGACACATCTGTGATGGTATAGTCAACTATTGTTTGAGTATATTTGTGCACTTTTTATCCTTTCGAGGCTTGAAGAGTTAGCTTCCTAAGTTACTACAATATTCAGTGCTAACACGGCAAAGATATGTGACTCTACTTTGAATGACAACAAATAAACTTCTGCACGTTGGGGTTTTGACATGAGCTTGTTTTGAGTAAGGAATTATTTTTTTCAAAGAGGTTTTGCAGGAACATAATTTTACTTTTATATCTGCTTTTACCTAATAACGGCTGTTAATGTTTCTTAGAATTTTTAGATGTGGATAATAGGGAATAGTTTTTTTAGTTTATTTCCATTATTGTTGGTGTGTCCTATAAGTTGATGGAACAAATTATTCCTTATATTTTATATGATTTTTAGATATAAAGCAATTGATAAGCTTTCCCTACAGATTAAATTTGAGGAAATAGTTGGTTCTTGATATAATAACAGAGTCTTTGATTATGTGCTCAAGAAGACAATCATCTCTGTTCTCATGTTATTAAATAGAAATGCCTCCAAGCCCAGTTGGTGATTTACAAAGGTTTTTTATTTGATCTTTGAATTATTATTCTGTTTTCAGACTGCCGGAAAAAGCTTTGTGGATGCTTAGAGGGTCTGTTCCACATCTACAATAAGACAGTTAGTGGAGAAGATAGTTTCAAAGTTCCTGCTGAAGACTCCTTGCATCTAGTTGAAGCATTAAGGTGATTTGGTTGATTTAAATTTTTGCATCTACGATTGTTTGATTTGTTTATACCGTTTTAATGATAGCTATTGGTTTGAACTTTTTCAATTTCCATGCAGTATGGTTGTTACTGAACTTCCTCCAGATGATGCTAAGAGAGCTCTTGAAGCATTATGCATACCAGTCATAACTCCTTTACAGGTCACTGTTCAATTTGCAGCGATTTTTCAGTTATAAACTTTCTTTCGATAATTTTGCATTCTTCTGTATTTTGCTCCACCAGGAAGCTATCTCTCAAGGTCCAGAAAGCTTGAGTAAAAGACCTTCTCGTCAGTTAACAGTTCATATTGATCGATTTGCTTACATCTTTAGGTGTGTTACCTAATTAATAGTCATGTCTAATTGCCCCAAGCATCAAACTTTTATTAACTCAATTTATCACAATCCTCAACATGGTACTGAATCTGCTTCCAGATATGTAAATCATCCTCAAGTTGTGGCAGATGCTATTCAACGGCTATGGCCAATTTTTAAGGCTATTTTTGATCTGTAAGTAGTTCTTAATTGCTTATGCAACTATCATTTCGTCTTGTTTCCTTGCTTCTTCATTTCTTTTATATTTTGAAGATTTATTGTCTAATTCATGTTTATAATGTCATTTTTGATCTGTAAGTAGTTCTTAATTGCTTATGCAACTATCATTTCGTCTTGTTTTCTTGCTTCTTCATTTCTTTTATATTTTGAAGATTTATTGTCTAATTCATGTTTACAATGTCATTGATGCCAGTCGTGCTTGGGACATGAGAACAATGGAATCTCTCTGCCGTGCATGTAAATATGCAGTGAGTAAGCTAAATAATTAACTCTGCTCCATTTGTACTTTGTCAATGTGAAGAAAGTAATTATAATGACAAAGGAATCATTTGGTAGGGCTTTTTTTGTAAATTTCCGTATTACTATTTTTTTTTTTGTGGTTTCAACCCATGTTTATTATGTCTAAATCATTCAAATTTTCAAGCATAGTTTGCACGAGGTTTTGAGCACACTAAGTTTATGATGTATTTTTGCTGACATGTAAGAAGCCATGTTTTCAGTTGGCTGTTTGTCAGCCATGTCAGTGATACAAATTTAAAATTTAATGTCAGTTCCCAGGTGGTATCTTCCTCCTGAAGAGTCTGTACAAGCTCAACTCTGGTTCTATGCATAGTCAACGTTGAAAAGATTAGTTTGTATTATTGAATGCCATGTGGCAATATTCTATCGCATGTTTCTAGGTGAGAACGTCAGGAAGATTCATGGGGCTCACAATTGGTGCCATGCTGGAAGAGATTCAGAGTCTATATAGGCAGCACCACCAACCATGCTTTCTTTATCTCTCCAGTGAAGTTATAAAGGTATTCATATGTTGCTATGGCACTGGTCATTCCTAATAATCAAATGTTGCCTAAGTTATATATGATTTTAGCTCAATTGGTACCTTCAATGTGCATGTTAGCAAATTTGTTATATGAATGAATGTGCATACAAAAAATGGTATCAGAAATACCTTTCAATTTTAAAAGATCTTTGTTTTTTCCTGGGTGGACATGATTGCATGGCTATGCCACAATACTGAAGATTACAAATTGATGATCAAAAGTTTATTCTATAGTCATTGATACTCATAAATAAAAAAACATTTAAATAGATGTGTAAAGAGTGATCAAAGGACCTCTTATAAGATGTGTGATACCCGTTCAAGATACATATATTTTAAAAATGTACAAGAATTTATCAAACATAATAAATATATAACTGCAAGTCTGCAATTATGCAAATCCAAATTAAAATCACACTTCTTAGACATTCTTGGAATAAAAAATTACAGATTATTGTCATCAGAAATTACTTTCTGTTATATAGGAATAATTTCTATCTCATTACATTTTAAAAATAATTCATATAGACCAATTTTCTTCTGTTTATGAAGAAACAATATTGATATATGTACATATTACAACTAGTTATATGTTTCTTGTAATTTTATTGAATACAAATGTTTTTGAAGGCTTGGACACTTCATCAACAAGTATTGGTGAAGTATCCAAAAGTACCAGATAATTCATCGATAAATATTGGTGAAGTATCCTAGAGTACCGGATAGGTAAAGTAAATTGAAGTATAGTCTTCGTAGGTTTTGATGGTGAAGATTTTGGATTAAGGAAGGAGACATTTTGTGCCTTGTTTGATTTGGTTAGTGATTGTGCTCAACCATCATGCTACCACATTTGTTATTGGATCCTTATTATTTTTATACACACTAAAGAGTACAAGAGTGCATGCTGTTATTGAACTTATGAGCTACTTGTTGTCTTTATTTTGTATTTACACATTATTTCTATTGAAATATATTTATCCAATGCAAAATTTCACTAAAATAGGGAATAAAAAAGACTAAAGAGGTGTAAGATTTCATACAGGTATATTTGTAAGCATAGTTTGGTAATAATTTGTTGAAAATGTTTTGTAATATAATGGAGTTGAGATACCTTCCTCATTCTCATTGCAAGTCTATTAAGGACCAAGTCTATGGTCCACCAGCTTTTATTTTCTAGCGTTTACAACTTTTTGCATGAAATCTTACTCACATATTTCAGCGAGATGTGTGAGAATTTTGTTTCTGAAACACACACAACTCTGTTCGAGGTAAGATTTTAGTTTTGGCTTTAGAGTACATGTGATTTTTTATTAGCGTAATTATTTCTGCTTCTGTTATACGCAGTAGATTTTTTTGCAAGCTGTAGTTAATTATTATATTATAGCTGTCGTTTCTGTTAAAGGCAGTTATAGAACTTGTTAGGGTATAAGGTGAAGGAGAAGTTAGGAAGATAGTTAGCATATTAATGAGTTAGTTAATTGCATAAGGTGTTGTTTAGATATAAATAGGGTGTGAAGGATAGGAGAAGGAGGTGGATATTCTTTGTAAATTGAGCATTAGTTCTTTGTAAAAGGAGAAATCCTTTGTGAAGGGGAAACCCTTGGAGAAAAGTCTTCTCCTATTTCTTGTTCTTTTCATTCTATTCAATAAAAAAAACTTTCTTTTCTTTTTCTGTTTAATTCTTGGTTCCTAACAATTGGTCCGACCTGCCGGATCCGAAAAAGGAAGAATTGATGCCTTGGAAAAATGGGCCAACGAGCATGGGAAGACCCTCTGGGAAATGCAAGATAATTTTCAAGAAATCAAAGACTTTTTGAAACACTTCAAGGAAAAAGAAAGAAGCTCGAAGAAAGGTGAGAATTCTACAAATGGGGGAAGAAGAGAAGAAAGGACGGTGATTAATGAGCAATTTGATTTGGATGGTGGGGAAGAAGAGGTGCAGCTGCACTGGATGAAGAGAGTGGAGCTGCCAACTTTTGAAGGAAGTAATCCAATTGGTTGGATTGCTAGGACTGGAAAATTCTTTGAGGTACGTGAAATGGATTCTTTTGATAAGCTGCAATATGCATTCATGAGCATGGAGGGTGTGGCAATGCATTGGTTCTATTATTGGTACTAAGATAACTTGAATTTAGATTGGGAATCTTTTTCATCAGCTTTGATAAAAAAGTTCAAAGATATCTATGACAGCCACATCTTTGAAAGATTGACTACCATGAAGCAAGAAGAGCAAATTGAGATTAAAACATGCAGCAAAATAATGGAGACTTCCACAGTAGTGTATGAAGAGGGTGACCCACATCTGGTTGAGCAAGAAAAAAATAGCATGGAGAGAAGCAGGTCAAAATGCATTGCAACATAGATTAGTTCTTGGATAAGAAAGATGGAACTACCCATATTTGCTGGAAGCATAGAAGGGGAATCTGATTCCCTGAGTGGCAGTTTTGAGAGTGATGATGATCATTTTCTATTCTTGAAATCAGAAAATAGAAGTAAAGAAGAAGGCTCAATAATCAAGTATCACACCCTTGATATTGCAGAAGAAACAAAAAATGAAGAGAATTTAGCAAAAGAAGCAAAGATTATGTCATCAATAAAGACTGTGAAGATGTTGGATTTCCATATTAAGAATCAAGAATCATTGTTGGACCCAAATCTGATAGGGAAGGTGGTTGGAACAACAATGACATTAGAATTTGGGAATTTTAATTTTCTTGGTGATCTTTTAATATTAAATTTCATTGCTTCTCTGGATTACAACTTGTCAATGGAGACAATGCAGAAGGAAGGTTTGAAGGCTGTTATAAAAAATCCACTCTCATTTCCACCACCACCCAAGCCACCTAATCTGAATTTGGATGCGTTAGCCACTGGTCCTCATTCCTATACCAAAAAAAAGACATCATATGTAAACAGGAAGGGTAAATGAAGATCATGGTAATAAGAATAAGCAATGGGATCAAGTTTCTATTATACAACGTTGAGGATAAGGTTGATTTTTAGGCACGGTGTATTGTTAGGATATAAGGGGAAGGAGAAGTTAGGAAGATAGTTAGCATATTAATGAGTTAGTTAATTGCATAAGGTGTTGTTTAGATATAAATAGGGTGTGAAGGATAGGAGAAGAGGGTGGATATTCTTTGTAAATTGAGCATTAGCTCTTTGTAAAAGGAGAAATCTTTTGTCAAGGGGAAACCCTTGGAGGAGAGTCTTCTCCTATTTCTTGATCTTTTCATTCTACTCAATAAAGAAACTTTCTTTTCTTTTTCTGTTTAATTCTTGGTTCCTAACAGAACTGCTTGTAATTTCTACTATAAATACATGAACCATCTCTTGAGATATTTAAGAAAATCGTTAAAAGAAAACTTTCTTTTCTTTTAATTCTCAGTTTCTCTAAATTCTTATTGGTATCAGATCTTCTAATGCCATAAACATGGCAACCGGTCTTTTTCTTTTTTCTCTTCTTTGACAAGATCTGTTCACATTACATCCATCACTAGTGCATAATTTTTCAGCAACATTGGTGGGTGATATCTAGAAGAGTAAAAAGGCATATTCTTGGGAGCTAGATTTGAGAATGTCTCATGCTCATTCTCATTCAAGGTTTCTAGATGAAGTTATCAGAGGAAAGTTTTTTTGCTTCACTCAGATGGATAGGTGATCCCTTATCTGATGCAATGTTTCCCATTGTGATTGGGAGAACCCTTGGATTTGCAGGATTCTATAGGCTTGTGGATCTTCCAAGTTTTTTAACTCAGTGGATGAGAACATTTTTAAGCTACTTCCCTTTGCATGGGAACCTAAAATTTTGCCAACTTCTACTGCAGATGTGAGGATCTGGAGTTTAGATTCTACTTGGCTATTTTCATTTAAACCCCTCTAGTCTTACCTAATTCCCAAAGGGGGTCATATTGGTAGGTGTTTCTCAACCCCCAAAGGTGGTAATATTCTTGTGTGCAGTACATAGTGTATTAAATACATAACGAGTAACTTCATTTACGTCATTTTATAGTTTTCATGACAGTAATGATACATAACAAGCTTTTTACCTATTTCCATATCACTGCTTCTACTTGTATATGATTTCTTATTTGTGGTATTTGTTCCCTCAACTAATTTGCTCAATTTTTTTCTTAATAAATGACTTATTCTGTAAAAAAAATGGTAGATATACACCTAATTATCCCAACATCACCTATAGGTTGTACAAAATCCTTCCCCTTCATCGTGTGGTCAATCTAGTTTACCATAACTTTGGTGGTTGGTGTCTTGCATTTCAGATATTTGGTTCTGATCCATCTTGTGCGGACTACCTGAAAAATTTGATTGAGGCGCTCTTTCAACATACAACACTTATTCTCACAAATATTCAGGTGATTTAATTGACTTTTCTGTACCAATTTCTTTCAAGTCTTTTGATAGTTTTTAATGTCTTATTTTATATGTTTTTCTGCAGGAATTCACAGCCCGTCCTGATATAGCCGATGATTGTTTCTTGTTGGCCTCAAGGTGTATTCGTTACTGTCCTCAACTATTTATTCCCTCATCTGTTTTTCCATCATTAGTTGATTGCTCTATGATTGGGATCACAGTACAGCATAGGTACAGTCTCTCACTAGACAAAATGCATTATTCATGAATGGTTGTTGTGTGTATTCTTGATCCTTTCTTTGTAAATTATTTATTGTTGAGAGGCAATAAATCTTCCAGTAAATTTTCACGCATCTCCATGGCTCAGTTGTATGTAGTGTGGTTATTTACCCTTTTTTGCTGTTTTTCTCCTCTGCAGGGAGGCTTCCAATTCCATATTGCATTTCTTGGCTGATATTTTTGATCTTGCAAATTCCTCTGTGGGGGAACAATTTTTACCAATAAGAGATAGTGTAATTATTCCTCGAGGTGTGAGCATCACCAGAATTTTGGTTGCTTCATTAACGGGAGCGCTTCCAAAATCTCGAGTGGATGTGGTAATTTCTCATGTCTACGTTGACCGTCATTGCACTCACTTTTGATGGGATGTTGTGCCATTGTCTCTTTTTTTTTAACTTTTGTGCACGTCCTCCCTCAGGTATCTTATACGTTACTGGCGTTAACTCGATCCTATGGGATGCAAGCGCTGGAATGGGCAAAAAAGAGTGTTTTGTTAATTCCATCGACAGCTGTTACAGATGTAGAGCGATCAAGATTCTTAAAAGCTCTTTCTGATGCAGCATCTGGAGGTGATACTAATGGACTTACTGTTCCTGTTGAAGAGCTCTCAGACGTTTGTCGACGTAACAGAGCAGTTCAGGAAATAGTTCAAGAAGCTTTGAGACCACTTGAGTTGAATATGGTGAATGTATCATAGACAATTGGTAGATGCCTGTGATAGAGAGGGCCATTTTGTTTAGGTCCTGTCTGTTGGTTAGGCTAGTTGGTTGTGTATTATCTCAGTTATATTCATTTTTTTTTATCCATTATCATTCTCCAATTTTTCAGGAGAATTTGCCCCTGCATGATCTGTTGTGTTGGCCTAAAGAAATTAAATAGTGTTGTATCTTTTATGCTTCTTGAGATGTGGGATTGGTGAGTGATGTTTGTCTCGGTTGTCATTTTTGGGGGTGGAGGTTACATGGTATACCAATTGTAATTTAATGGAAACAGAAAAAAGTGGGGGGAATAGAGAACATTGATAAGTTATTTCAATTTTTCAAGCTTGGAATGAACGTGGAATTTGGAATCTGTGGCACTGATTGTTTTCGGTTCGTCTGACTAATCTATTAATAAAATGAATGAAGGGGATATCAGGATTTAAATATGCGGCACATTCGATCACAAAATAATTGAATTGCATCCACGTTGACTAATTTGTTAGTGATTTCATGACAGTAGTTATAATCTCTAGGGGAAGCATGTGGTAGCCATCCAGCCTAACATTTAATTGTAAGAAACATAAATAACTTGCTCTCAAAAACCATGTCTGTCAATGTTATTTTACCAGAAAAACATGTCGTTGAGCCGTCCCCTTCGGATTAAGAGAAGCTATAACGTTAGAATATCATTTTTATTATTTTTTATTTATTCTTAGAGTTTAGGATTTAGGTTTATACTCAATTAACATTCATCATTCAATAATTAAGATATAATATATTTTAATTAAAGACAGTGTATACATAATTTGAATTTTTAATAAATTTGATCATTTAAAGTAAATTGTAAAAATAATAAAAATAAACCACCGGATAGTAAATGTGTACAAGAGTTTAGGATATTTATTTTGTCCTATTTATATTTTTATGTATAACTGTTAAAATAAAAATATAAATGAATATAACAAAAATTAAGTTAAATAAAATATACAAATTTGTGAATAAAATTTTAGGAACGATTACTTTATTATAATTGTTTTCTTTTTCTCGGCCCATTTTGTCATCATGTATTATCCATAAGTATATATATTACATAATGTGATAATAATTATTTTTACATGTATAATTTCCTTTTGATATATTGTCTTTATTGATTTATACCATTAGATTCGATGTCTTCAATTCTAGGTATTTAAAGAATCATATATACTAATTTAATTTTTTATTTATTCTTTATTTTTTTTTTCGATGACACGTTATTTTGAACAAATATTTAAACATTCACAATTTGTAATTTCCATTCATATATTCTAATTTGTGATTATAATGTATCCTTTACTTTTAATTTATTTTTGTCATCATTAAACTCAACTCTCAATAATTATTAATATAATTCTTTAACATCCCTCACATCTCTAGATTAATTCTCTTTTTTTATATTTATAATTTTACTTAGTACACTACCATTTTGCTGTCGTGAAGATATAGTTATTTCTCTATCCTATATATTATTGCTGATTTTTCTTGACATCCAAGTATTGGTATATACTATTTTTTTGTATTTTACTAGTATTGCTTTACATTTATGCATAGACTATTTTATATATATAAATTTTGTACACTGAATATTTACCACGTAATGTGGTGTTGCTGGAAATTAAATACATTATAAACTGTATAAATATTTGAGCACGTTTATTATGTTTACCCACAAATTAACTTTTAGTTTGGTCATTCAAATATTATAAATAACTATTAAATCATATTTTAATTTTTATTATAACATTTTATTTAAAAGTATAGCGCGGCAGTTTGATGATTTAAATGCAGAAGATTTAGCATTACCATACTAGATAGGCAAAAGAAAAAAGAGAGGTTCAAATTTATTTACCGTATCCATACACTTTAAGTTTGGTTTTGAATTCCTCTAAAATTTTGTTCCCTAATCCCTAATGTTTTGGCCTCTGAAACTAATTTTCTACTTCTACTTCAGCGTATCCTAACTGTTAACTCTATTCTCCATTAGGTTGGTGAGACTTTACATTCTAAAAGTGACTCCTATCTTTGGGATGTTACCATGTGTTGGGTAACATATACCAATAGACAAAACGAGAATTCGATGGAAGGAATATATATAATATTATCATGAAAGGGATCACAATACAAATGATTTTTTTTTTTTCTCACGTATCTCACATAACTGTAGAAATGAAAATCAGTACTCACAATCTCCCATCAATAACATAACAACAGATGAAGTTTGTGTAAAATGAACGTTAATGAAAGGAAATGTGTCAAAGAAATAACATCTATGAAGAATAGGTTCACTTTTTATTTTTTTCTTTTAAATAACACATTTTTTTATTAAATGTTTAGGTTTAAGATTTTACTATATATATATATTGTTTTTAATATTCTTAAAATAATAAAATATATAGTTGCTATCATTGTTAATTTATTTTGTAAGTAAATTCTCTCGATACTAATAAGAAAATTTATATCTAAATCACATTTATAATTAAAAAAAAAATTCAAATTCAAATTACATTATTTTTTATTTTCTAATTAAATTGATTTTGTTACTGGTATTTTTATATAGCAAAACACTTAACAAATATAAATATGATCAAGTTCCTATGTTTGGCATGTTTAGATTTTTGCCTGCTATATGATTCTGGTTCTGGACAAATGGGTCGTATAACTCTGATGCTCGGGAAAGAAATCTACGATGAAGAAAAATGACAATAAATACTTACTTTAATTTCGATATATTTACTACAAAATCGTTAAGTGGTCTGAGATGAATTATTGATGCGAGCATCGCACGTGCATAATTAGCGCGTGGACCCATCCTTTGAACTCTTTCCCAGTTCCACTTTTGCTCCTCAAATGATATCAATCATTCACCAATTGAATTCATTGAATGCAAAGTGCAATGTAATCACCTCTGCATCTTCGTCCTCTTTCTCTCCCTCGCATAACCAACCAAACAACTAACTCAAAAATCAAAACAAAAAACAAAAAACAAATAAAAATGGTGTCAAGATATGAGAAGAAGAAAAACCTGACCAAACTCATCATCCCTTCTTCTTCTTCTTCTCCCAACCCATCCCCATCCCCATCGCTATCACAATCCACCCCAAGCCCACACGTCATCCACAGTAGGTCCCACTCCTTTGTGGGCCCCTCCCCTCCCTTCAATCCCTCTTCAACCCCTCTCTTCTCCGTCGACGAGGACGAGGACGACGACGAAGTAAAAGAATCTCGTATTTCAGACCCCGTTAAGATTGGACCTTCCGATTTTCATATTCTCCGAGTTGTAGGGCAGGGTGCCTTCGGCAAGGTCTTCCTTGTCCGAAAAAAGGGAAATTGCTTCGGTGATGGTGATGGTCATGGTGATGGGGTCTTCGCCATGAAGGTCATGAGAAAGGACATCATCATAAAGAAAAACCACGTTGATTACATGAAAGCGGAGAGGGATATTCTCACTAAAGTCCTTCACCCTTTCATTGTTCAGCTACGTTACTCCTTTCAGGTCTCTAACTAACTAACTAACCTTATTCACTTCAATTCAATTCATTCATACAATAACTTACTGATTGTGTTATGTGCAGACCAAATCTAAGTTATATTTGGTGTTGGATTTTATAAATGGAGGGCATCTCTTCTTCCATTTGTATCGGCAGGGTATCTTCAGGTATCTTTTGCTCCATAGTTACGTGATGCAAACTCTACGTATTGAAGGTTTATTAAATTTAATTATGGGTTTGGTTTGGTGTATGTATTGAGTAGTGAGGATCAAGCAAGGCTTTACACTGCTGCGATAGTGTCTGCTGTTTCACATCTTCACAGCAAGGGCATCGTGCATCGGGATCTTAAGCCTGAAAACATTCTTATGGATTCTGATGGGCATGTAATAATAATGCCCATGCTACTCACTTTCTATGCTTTCTTCTTGCATCAACCTGGCTTTTGCCACTTTGACTTTTGATTGTGAATTATTTTCTGTTTGATCTCACCTTGTGGGATTGTGCTCCTTACTCTGATATATCAAGTTTGTTGAATATCTTGGATGACTGAGGTGTGTGGTTCGACTTTGATATCTTTGCCCTACCCGTCTACAGGTCATGCTGACTGATTTTGGAATGTCGAAAGAGATTGATGAATTGGGAAGATCCAACTCTCTTTGTGGGACTGTGGAATATATGGCTCCTGAAATTCTACTGGCTAAAGGCCATAACAAAGATGCCGATTGGTGGAGTGTTGGTATTCTGTTGTATGAAATGCTAACAGGGAAGGTAATTCCTATCTGCACGATAAATGCTAGCAACACATTTCCTAACAGTTATAGTTGTCTTAAAACCTAAAATTTATTGGAAACTACGATTTTTTGTAGTTTTTAATGATTTTCAATCAATAATAGAGAGTGTGTTAGTGGTTTTTTTCTTGTATTGTTTGTATCTATGTGAAGGTTGTGTGTGTGAAGGTACTTAAGTCGAATACTTGGAATTGTATGTGGACAATAAATATGCACGGTTAGAAATTAGAATTCATTAAGCATTTGGCCTTGAATAGAGAACATTCAGAATCAAGATAGCTATGTCTTGGCCCAGGCTATGAGAAAGGGTGAAAAGATGGTTGAGTCAGCAGATATGCATATGTCTAAATTTTACCGTAGGGGGATGAGGTTGATTTAAATTCAATTTTTTTGGTAATGGAAAGTTTTGAACTGAATTATCTCAATGCGGACCTTATTGAACATCAATGTTCTTCTTTTATTTTTCCAAAATTGATGTCTGAATGAATCTGTTTATTTGCTGTTTTGGAAACTTTTCTATTTCGTTTATTTTCTATGTAAGAACACCAGGGGAAGCTTTTGAAGGCTAGGACACCCGCTTTTTGTGTGTGATCCACCTTAATTGCACCACTCTGCACAATCTCTCTTAACCAATACAATGGGCTTTTGCTACATAGTGTATATACTTTCAACTTTTCCTGATTGTTGATTTCATTTGGCAGGCACCATATACGCACACTAACAGAAAGAAACTTCAGGAGAAAATTATTAAAGAGAAAGTTAAACTTCCACCATTCCTTACCAGTGAAGCTCACTCATTACTCAAAGGAGTAAGTAGACGACAATATTTCTGGTTTTCTTCCTTTTTGTTTCTCTACTTTCTCATCTTCTGCTACAGTACACTCACAAGTATAATATGCCTGTTACCTAAACATAACGTAAATGCTTTATACTGTAGATCTCTGAATTCACTGCCTTAATATTTCTCTGGTATACTTTTCACATGCCAATTTTCTGTTTTTGTCTGATGTTTTTTTTGTGTGTGAAATCGTATGTCAGAGGGTTCTGATTCACTCCAAAAGTGATCCTATCTAAATTCTATTTGGATAATTTTATTTTGAAACTAAATATATGTCAACCAAATACCATATTCAGAGGCATATTTCAATTTATATCTTTCTCAAATCCAGTCTAAGTTCATTATCAAAGAACTCATCTATTGTCCTTTTCAAAATTACAAATCCTATTATCTGTGCATGCATCGTATTTATCAAAATATTTTAAAACTAAAACGCAAATTTGTTTCTTTTCATGAGCATGTAAATGGACCCTGTTGTCTATGTTATCTACTTGGATTTCAGTTATGCTGTTCAAAAAGAAAATCATGATTTTTAAATGACATTAATATTCTAATAGAAATTAATTGAAAAAATGTACCACGATTTTCCCGCAACTATTTGTGAACCATTCATTTTTCCAGTACTTTTCGAGGTTACTTCGCAAATAGACACACTCAAAAGACCTGACCATCTTGCCCAAAATACAAATAATGAGTAATTTCTTTAAATACAAAATCGAATGAGTATCACTTTTTCTTACATAATGGCAACTTTTAGAAAAATAAAAAACTGACTACCACATTTACGGAAATGTTATTTGGCTACAAAGGATAGCTTTGAAAAGTTATAGAGGAGAACACAGGGATACGGGAAAATATCCTTGCTCTGGGACGTGATGTTCTCAGGATATTAGGCGTTTTGAGATTAAAAAAAAAAAACACTTTTTATGGACAGAGATAGACGGATTCAATTCTAAAATCTGCGCATTCTGCTTTCTTGTTACAGTTGCTGCAAAAGGATCCATCGACAAGGTTAGGACATGGGCCAAGTGGAGATGAGCAGATCAAAAGTCATAAATGGTTTAGGTCGATCAATTGGAAAAAATTGGAGGCAAGAGAACTAGAACCAAAGTTTAAACCAGATGTGTCTGGGAGAGATTGTACAGCTAACTTTGACAAATGTTGGACAGCAATGGCCCCTAATGACTCGCCAGCACCCACACCTACAGCAGGTGACCATTTCCAGGGTTATACTTATGTGGCACCCAACCCTTGGCTTTCATAAGAAGGAAATTGTACATGGATTAATGCATCAAAATATGACCTCAATAAGACAAGTAACCCATATCTTCTATGAGCTTTCTTAGCTTAGAAGTAACCAAAATCTTCTCTGACCAATGCCACCCCGTCTGCTTTTCGAAGTTAACTCTTTAATGAACATTGTAATGGCCCATTGCACAGAATGGAGAATTTTTAGTGGTTCTGATATTGCCTATTACGTTTGTGCAGCTTGGTTTAGTTCTTGGTTTAAACTAAGGTAAAAAAAAAAAAAAATCGAATTGCTTTGCCTTCCATTTTGGTCAACATTAACATATTTGATCAGCCACTGCCCTAAAGAAGGTGAGGGGGTATAGCATATTTGACTTATTATCAGAAAAGTTTGCAGGTATCAAATTGTACTGTGTCCTATTTTTTGCAGCAACTCAACTTTAAGGTTGATGCATTTCATCATTGCTCATTGTTATGTATTAAAGAGTAGCTATCAAATGTACTGCTTGTAAGATCTAGAAAGATAGATAATTATTGGCACCAATGTCTTAGGTTGCATTTCCTTCCCTCCAAAAGCGCACGTTTTTTATTTTGGGTAGGATGTATCTAAAAAATCTTTTGCCTAATCTAACAAGGTCATTTCGTAGGATGGTTGTTTGAGATGGGCCCTCTTTCATCACTGCATGTTTGAGAAGTAGATTCGGATACTCTAGATGAGATGATTCCTCAAAAGCGTAACTACTAAGTTGAGAGCAAAGGGATGATAATCGTTACAACCATTAAGAAACAATCAACGAGAGAAACATGTTTGAACAACACAAATGGGAGATTAGCAGTAAGAAAGAATCTTATTCCTTCACGACTTTAAGACATTGCGTAACACAAAATATAATAAAATATCAAGTCTCCATAACATGTGAACTACGTGAATGATATAAGATCAGGACAAATTCTTCACTACATCTCCCCAATCTCTGGCCATATATCACTAGTCACTAAAATCTACTTTTTGCCCGTTTATAGTATTATAACGCCGAGAATTTTAATTGTTTTAACAAATGGTGCAACAAAGGACCCTGCTCACCAAACCAAATTAATTATTAATGTTATGTGTGCTACTACATGCTTTCTTTCACTCGACATACAGACAACAAAAGAGACTAGATTCTATCTATATTACGTACGCTCTACTCTTTGCAGAAGAACCTTCATATAACTGAACGGGCAAGGGATCCACCCGCTAAAGAACTGAGAATAGGATATATTTGGATGAGGGTTTACTCGAAACCAGAAAAAAAAAAAAAATACTCAAAAAGACCAATTCACCCACCCATCCCATCCTATGCTTATAAATAGACCTTGCTTAAAAATGTTGCAACAACCATCTCTTGAAACACCAACCACTGGTTAAGTCGAAAATCATGGATAGAATCAAATCCAAGAGTGAGAAGTCTCTTTGTGAGAAATCGATGAAGGTTGTAGTAAATATCATTAAGCTGTCTTCTTTCTCTATTGCACAGATGACTCTCGGTGCTACAAGTACTAGAAAGTCTGATCCAGAGTCTGATATGGACTCTGATGGGGATGCACCGATTTCTGACCAATTACCTACAAGCAGACGGTCACAACAGCCGCAGAGCCGTGCAAACCCCACATATGTGATCAAGTCGGGTGGAAGCAATGGATCAACTGAACATTTGATTTATCAAGAAAGAGTCCCTACTGATGTTAACCCAAAGAAAGAGCAGTGTGTTGATGGATTGGCTTCTGACTATATCAGCAAGATACGCAACAAGCTTGGGCGTGATGTATAAGGAGAGATTATCACATGGTCTTGGACCATGTGATCTTAGCCATCCTCCACGTAACACGTTCTAATTACACAAAGGAGTTAATGATGTGACACCGAGATTGACCAAAAACAATTCTGGATCATGTAATAATTTCTTAGTTGTCTTCGCTTGTTTGCTCCTAGTAATACAATTGTCTCTGCAGCTTTATGTGCTCCATGTATCATACTACATATAAGCAGCCATTTTTGTTAAATGCAGTTGTAATAATATAATAAACTTTTGTTGGAGCTTCTAGCTAAAAGAAATGTAGTTGTTTCTGATGAGACCCAACTTAACTTTTTCCTTGATGCTTTATTTAATATTCTTTGCTGGATGGACAAGTATTACATCTACATCAGTTCACATAGATGATGTTTTCAACATATGAGTTTGCATGAATTATATTACTGATTTCATTTGGTTTTAAGATAATATGCTGGATCCAAATGATGTCTTTAGTCAATTGCTGTTTAGACTCACGGCAAAAAGATATTAATCAATCCAAGTGTTTGAGTGTTGCAGTCATAGTGGTGGTCCAATATATATATGCGGATAAAAGATAAAGTACAAGAAATCGTGAACAAGTGGTTCAAGAATATATGGTTGCTAAACACCCTGATGGAAGGTACCCCAACATTTCACCTTCTATTTTTTTATTAACTCGAATTTTAAGCTTCAAATGGGTGTATAAAATATATATGGAGAGAGAAAGAAAGAGAACCTTGAGACTGTTATGCTGTGCAAAGGTGACTGCAGAAACCAATTATTTTTAGCAGGCGTTTAGAATATCATCTGTAGACCATATTTGTGCTTATAGAAATAGCTTCATACAGTTTTAACTTTAATTTTGTAAGTTTTTCTGAAAAACTTACTAAAACAAATTCTATTATAATTTTCATAGACTTCCTTGTATTGTCCTCCAACTTATCTTCACATTTTGGATTTTCCAATAATCACCCAAAATCTTAAAGTATTGGATTATGAGTGATATTATACATTTTCAACTTTCTCGGACTTATTAGTACATCTCCCTCGAGCACATTACCGCAGTTTATCACAATAAAACACGCTTTCAATACAAAAATCACTTTTAAACTCTGTCAGGATTTCAATACAAAACCACTATTACATTGCCGTTAACCTTTTTCAAGAGGGATTTACTGGGGAGAGACAATATCAATGAGACATAAGTCCAACTTACATAAGGATTGACACCACTCTCAACCCAAAACCTTAAGACATTTAGTTATGGGTAATACTTCTTTATATATTGCTTAACTTTTTCATTTTTATTCAATTTAAAACTTAGACTCACACTTAGATTTCATAACATTATCACGTTTAATCCTTTCAAGTTAACATGTGCAGCATTTATGAGTAAAACTGGCTGAGCATAACCCAAATAACAGCAAAGAAATGTTACTTTATGTGCCTTATACTTCACCGCCCCCAACCAATGCTTTTTTCATTCAGCAGTTTTCAGCATTTTTTTTTCTTCTTTTGGCATTCTGATTATATCTTTCAAATGCTTTTGCTTTGTCTTTCCTGTTAAGAATCCTCTCGATTTGTTTAAAACCAATTGTCTCATGTCAAACTATCAAATATCATGTTGTCTCAAGAAAAGTACACATATATTTTCTTAAGACATTATACAGAACACATAGCATATTCAAGTTATGCCTTGAATTAAAATTGTGTGTTGATGCTATGGACAAACATTTGTACAGAGGAACTAATTCCTTTGAAGGGAATGGCTGTAGCTAAATCGGAATCCAAGCGTTAGTTATGGGGTGCTCCACTAGTGAACCAAATCTTCCAGAATCTCCCACCACCACTGGCAACAAAACATTACGTCAGCGTTTGATGATATCCATGATCATGTCATTGTTGCCTCCTCGACTATATCGTGCTCTAGGGTTTGATTCTTCCATATCATCAATTCACACTTTTTTTTTCTTCTTCTTTCATAACGCGTGATTATCGTGTCTTTGTTCAATTTGCAAGCAAAATAAAGCTAATCTACTCCTTTGTTCTTTTGGAGAGAATTGGCGGGGATAAGTAAACAATTTTTTTCAACTCTTTTACATCCATTTTTACGAGAATCTATACGAAAATTATTTATATTCCATGCATGTTCATACAAACAACACAGGGGGCAAAGAAAAATTAAATCAAACGAACATAAGTTTCTCTTGTAAATATTGTAAAACTTAAATTAGACGTTAAGTATTCCAAAAATAATATTAATGGTTTTAATTACGAGTAGTACGACTAATAGGTTGTAAACCTATTTAATAGGTATCATGATTTATTTTTGGGATTTAAAGAGACAAATATTTTGGCTATAAATATTTGTAACAACTTATTTGGAATAACATCAGAAAAAACATTGAGAGTGTTGTTTCGTTTTCCTGTTACTAATAAATTGATATTAGAGCTTGTGTGATGTGAGCGTGAGAGAACCTACCAAGCCTCAAGAGAGAACGTCACAGTGTGTGCGGGCTGAGAAAGAGAGAGGAGCAACTCAGAGCTTTGTGATGTGAGTTAAGTGCAAACACTTGAGAGGAAATGGCAGGTCTAACCAATGACATCTCGCTACCCAAGTTAACGAAAGACGCCAACTATGACAACTGGAAGGTACAAATGAAGGCTCTTCTCGGCTCTCAAGATAACTGGGATGTAGTCGAGAATGGGTATGAGGAACCGGCGAACACAGATGGGTATTCAAATGCTAGTTGAACGCATTGAAGGTCATTCGAGTTAAAGACAGGGCGGCTCTGTATCTGTTATACCAAGTCGTCGACGAATCCGGCTTTGAGAAGATAACTAACGCAAAATCTTCCAAAGTAACATGGGATACACTTGAAAAAGCAAACAAAGGAGATGAATGGGTGAAACAAGTTCGACTTTCAACCCTTAAGGGCGAGCTGGAAAACATGAGGATGAAAGAGCTTGAAAGCGTATCCGAGTTCATTACTCAGGTGGAGACCGTGGTGAACAAGCTGAATCAGAATGATGAAAGTATTTCATCAAATCGAGTTGTTGAAAAAATTTTGAGGTCATTGACAGATGATTTTGAGAACATCGTGTGCGCAATAGAGGAGTCCAAGGATCTATCAACGCTCACCCTTGAAGAGCTTGCTGGGTCTCTAGAAGCGCATGAGCAGAGAAGAAAAAACAAGAAGAGGAGTCCCTTGAACAGACTCTCCAGGCAAAGGCGACAATAAAAGAGGAGAATGTGCTTTATGATCAGAGTACCAGAGGCCGAGGAAAAGGCAGAGGCCGAGGTGGTAGAGGAAAAGGAGGATGAGGAAATGAGCAAGACGGTCAATAGAACTAGCGTGGCCAAGGACAAGCTCGAGGTAGCCGGACAAACACAAACAATATTGAATGCTATAATTGTGGGAAGAATGGGCATATTGTCAAGGATTGTTACTCTGTAAAATGCTATAATTGTGGAAAGAATGGGCATGTTGCCAAAGACTGTTACTTCGTAAAATGCTATAATTGTGGAAAACTAGGTCATATTTCTAAAGATTGTAGGTCCGAGAAGAAAAATGAGGAACCAACAAACTTTCTTGCTGAGGAAGAAGATGAAGGATTGTTGATGGTGACAAACATTTCAGAAACTGAGGTCAAATCGAATTGTTCTAATAACTCGATTTGGTACTTGGACACCGGCGATAGTAACCACATGCGTGGTGATGAGCGCTTATTCAAAATACTTTCAAAGGTGGAGTCCGGATCTGTTTCTTTCGGTGATGCTTCGAAAGTAGCTGTCAAAGGTCAAGGAACGATCTAGTATCAACAAAGAAATGAGCAAATCGGAGAGATCAGATATGTATACTACGTACCTGATCTCAAAAGCAACATATTGAGCATTGGATAATTAATGGAGAAAGGGTACTCGGTTATGATGAAGGACCGAGAACTATAACTGAAGGATAAATTCGAGAGGCTTATTGCTTTGGTGGAAATGAAGAAAAATCGCATGTACAAACTTGAGCTAAAAACAGTTCAAGATAAATGCATGCAATTTGATATGAAGGATGAGGCCATGAAATGACATTTTCGGTTTGGTCATCTTCACTTCGGTGGGTTGACTGCGCTGATGAAAAAGGAGATGGTGCTTGAAATGCCTAAAATGGAATTCGAAAAAAGGTTCTGTGAAGAATGTGTGATTGGGAAGCAAGCGAGGACTTCTTTCCCAATAAGTTCTGAGTGTCGAGCAAAGCAGCAACTCGGAGTTATCCATACTGATCTGTGTGGGCTAATAACTCCAGAATCTTTCAGTGATAAGAGATACTTTGTCTCTTTCATTGATGATTTTTCAAGGAAAACGTGGGTTTATTTTCTGAAGGAAAAGTCATAAGTGTTTGAAACTTTCAAGAAATTCAAAGTGATGGTAGAGAAAGAAATAAGCAAAGTCATCAAAGCAATCCGATCTGACAGAGGAGGCGAGTTCACTTCTACTGAGCTCAACAAATACTGTGAGGAACATGGGATCAAACGTTTCCTGACTGCCTCATATTCTCCGCAGTAAAACGGTGTTGTAAAACGAAATAACCGAATCATTCTTGATATGGTTTGATCTATGTTGAAAGGGAAGAATATGCCAAAGAAGTTTTGGGCAGAGGCGGTGCAGTGCGCAGTCTATTTGCAAAATAGATGCCCACATGCAAAGCTAGGTGAGAAGATTCCTCAGAAGATATGGAGTGGTATGAAGCCGAGTGTATCTCATCTGAAGGTGTTTGGTAGCGTAGCCTATGGGCAAGTACCAAGTCAGCACAGGACTAAATTAGAAGATCGGAGTAAGAAGTACATATTTATCAGGTATGATGGAAAATCTAAAGCGTATAAATTGTTTGATCCTGTTAACAATAAAGTGATGGTAAGTTGAGATGTTCATGTGGAAGAAACAAAGCATCGGTGTTGGAGTAACCCGGCAGAAGAAGAAACTAGTTCAGAAATTGTTGTGCCTTCAGCAATAACAACTATTAAGTCCTCAGATAAAGAAATAGAGTCACAACAGTCCAGGATGAGAAGTCTTCAGGAAATATATGACACTACAAATAAAGTTCATGTTGTTGTCTTCTGGTTGACTCTGAAGACTTGAGGTTTGAGAAAGTTGTCCAAGATGAGAAGTGGAGAACAACCATGGATGAAGAGATTAGAGCGATTGAACACAACAAGGGAGTTGACTGACCTTCCTAAAGGAGCTCAACCCATTGGATTAAAATGGGTGTACAAAAAGAAGATGAATGTTGAGGGAGAGGTTGAACGTTACAAGGCTCGACTTGTGGTGAAAGGCTATGACAAAAGAGGGAATCGACTATGATAAAGTATTTGCTCCTGTCACGAGAATGGAGTCAATCCACTTCTGATCTCATTAGCTGCTCAGAACCAATGGCTGATTCTACAGATGGATGTGAAGTTGGTATTTCTAAATGGAGTGCTGAAGGAGGAGGTGTATGTTGAGCAATCAATCGGGTACATGAAGAGAGGGGATGAGAAAAAGGTTTTGAGATTAAGAAAAGCTCTCTATGGGCTAAAGCAGGCTCCTCGTGCCTGGAATGAGATAATTGACGGGTATTTCAAGAAAAATGGGTATGAACAATGTCCATACGAGCATGTTTTGTACACAAAGAAATCAGAAAAGGATATGATGGTAGTTGCTCTTTATGTCAACGATCTCATATTCACTGGAAACAATACGAAACTAATTAAGGAGTTCAAGGAGGTAATGAAAAAAGAGTTCGAAATGACAGACTTAAGACTTAGGGATGATGAAATATTTTCTTGGCCTAAAAGTGAAGCAGTCAGAGGAAGGAATTTTTATATCCCAAGAGAAGTACGTGCTTGAAATTTTAAAGAAGTTTAAAATGGAGGACTGTAACCCAGTTTCTACTCCAATGGAACCAGACACTAAACTCTCAAAGTTTGATGGAGGAGAACGAACTGATTCTGTGATATATCGAAGCTTAATCGGAAATTTGAGGTACCTTACAGACACAAGATCTGACTTAATGCTGAGTGTTGGGATAACGAGCAGATATATGGAAAATTCAAGCTACACACATTGGAAGGTCTTAAAGAGAATTCTGAGATATGTTCGAGGAACCTTATCACTTGGTCTTTTCTATTCAAAATCAGATAACTACCGACTAGTGGGTTACTCGGATAGTGATTGGTGTGGTGATGTTGATGACCGGAAAAGTACTTCAGGTTATGTGTTCCTACTCGGCAAAACAGCTTTTACTTGGCTGTCAAAGAAGCAGCCCATTATAACTCTGTCAACCTGAGAGGTCGAGTATGTGGCGGCCTCTTGGAGTGTGTGTCATGCGGTCTGGCTTTCAAATCTACTAAGACATCTGGGAGTGATCCAAGACGAAGGGACTGTAATTCGAGTTAACAACAAGTGGGCGATCGAGTTGGTAAAGAACTTGATTAATCATGGAAGGAGCAAGCACATCAACGTCCGATTTCATTTCATCCAAGAACAAGTCAGAGAAGGAAAGGTTGAGCTGGACCATGTTGAAAGCCGAGCTCAAACTACTGACATATTCACCAAACCACTGTCAACTACACTGCTGGAAAATTGTAAAAGGCTTATTGAAATAAGAGATGAGAAGAGTGTTTAAGTTTAACGGAGAGATTTATTGTAAAACTTAAATTAGACGTTTAGTATTCCTAGAATAATATTAATAATTTTAATTACGAGTGATATAATCAATAGGTTGTAAACCTATTTAATAGGTATCATGATTTACTTTTGGGATTTGAAGATGCAAATATTTTGGTCATAAATACTTGGAACAACTCACTTAGAATAGCATGAGAAAAAATATTGAGAGTGTTGTTTTGTTTTTCTATCACCAACAGCAAACATGTCTACTCTTTTTTACATGTCTACTCTTTTTCACCCTAATAATTTCTTCCGCACGTATATATAAAATGTCAAAAATATCTTTCAAGCCAATTTTCTTCTTTCGTGCTGCACCTCTATACCACAATACATCTCTATTTGTTGCACCTCCTGCACCTTCGATCAAGCATTGTTTCACTTTAGGTTAGAAATTTATAGGTGATTTATGCTTTAAATATATAATATATGTGTATCTAAAAGTCCTCTTAAAAAATATTTAATTTGTATCCGTGGTATTTTGCAATCTAAAATTTCTAAAAATATTTAACTGTATTTTCTAAAAATATATTATAAATTTCACAATCTAAAATTTATTTTTGGATTCTGTTTTCTAAAAATATATTTCAATTTGTTAAATTTAAAATACATTTTAAAATAATATAATCTAAAACTTATTTTCAGATTATATTTTCGGGAAAACTTTCAAAAAGTCAATTCAAAAAATTTATAGAATAAGTTTTTCAGAACCTATTTAGATATAATGTTATTATTTTAGATGAACATTGGGTACAAAAAGAAAAGTACGAAGGTACGGAAAGAAACCAAGTAAATATCTATTTTCAAAGTGAGGTTTGATGTAGATGCCAAATAAAGCCCACTATTTTCTCCCAGCATAAGTCTGGGCTCGGGATCTAAGAGTCAGAGCCAGTGTGGAGTGGGTCACCTCGTATTGTTTTCTGGCCTCATTTTTCATGAAAACCTAACAAAATCGCACATATCACACTCGAATATATGGGAAAACACTACACAATTTTATGTCAATAAAAAATGTCAACTAATATCATTTAATTTTATGATGACGTTTTATTTTTACTAATTCTTTTTTTTTAAGTTAATATTAAAAATAAGAAAAAGTCATTGAAAATAAAGTCTGAATTGAAGAATATTTCTTAAATAATAGTATTATTAAAGTAAAAGTACATAGAATATGTTTATCTTTAGAATTGATTCCCAAAAGGATATAACCGTTTATTTAACCTAAAAATTTATCATGCTAATATCATAATATCACTTAATATGTATAATAAATTAAAAGGTTACTAAAATATTGGGTCTGTTTGTTCAATTCCTTTTAGAAAAAAAAAGCATATTTTTTTTAACTTATTACAAATTTTAATATTTTTAAGATAATTTGTTTAAAAAAGTAGAAGCAAAAAACATTTTTATTTTTTTAGAAATAACTTGAAATTTTTTCTCATAAAAAAAATGTCATAGAAGGGATTTTTTTTTTGGAAACAACAGAAAGACAAACAGACTCATTATTGAATTTAATTTTTCTCAGGAAGGGTTAATAGTGTTTGAAATGAAATTGTTGATTTGAAGAAAATGCAGAGAGTGAATGAATTAGGAACAAATACTACAATACAAACAAATGGAACCAAAATGAAACAAAAAACTGCGTCCAGGGAACAAGACTTGGGAGCAGAAAAAAAAAACATGGAACAATGGAACAGAAACAGAACATAATCTTTTAATGTGTCCCCATAACAAGGAAAAAGATTCTCTCTCCCTCCATAATTTTCTCTTTCTTTTTCATCTTTTTTTCTACATATTTTCACCCGATAATATAGGACAGTGTCCTTGGAGATAACCCAATAATGCACTAAATCTGACAGTCAAGACAAAAAGTGTTTTTGCCCAGAAACCAACTACAATTATTAGAATGGGCTTCAAAGTGAGAAAGGGTAAGTATAAACACTGTATGTGGATTCGGCTAATCAAAATAATGAAACAGAATAATAAAGAAAAATACCTCAATAAAGGTTGTTGCTCAATAATGTTTCTATAAAATGTAATAAAACTTTTTTACCAATGTCACAAAATAAAACTCCAATAAAACTAAAATTGTGTACTTTTAAAAGAAAAAGTTGTAACAAAACGTTTTGAATAAGATTTATAAAGTATTTGTGAATTTGAGCATCAATTAGTCCTATTAAATTTAAATTGAGTAAAATATATTAACTTTTCTCCTCCACAAATAAAATTTTGCTGAGAGGAGGAAGCACTACTTAATGGAGTAAATTAGAAATTATGAGTAGCAATGGACCTAAAATTTGTGGTTAGGAGTGATTCTCACTCTTCACACAAATATCTGCTCAGAATCTTTCTCCTCTTAGGTCAAATAATGACAATGAGAAGGTTGTGCTAGAGAGAAGAAAAATCCACAATAGTATGTACAACTAATAGATCACCTCACTAATCAAATCACAGTGGTCCCTTTATATAATAAATTTTTTTAATGGATTTTGTTCTAACAAGGTGGCTATAGTTAGTGTATATATGCCATGCACCGGAATTTCAGAACCTTGGCTTTTAAGAGGTATGTGCCAAGTCACCACTAACTTGGAAAATTCATGTACAACTCAGCAAGAACAGTTTTGCTCACGGATTAAGAGCTCAAACATTTTTTATTGAATAAATGTTGAATTAACTTCATCTATTGAAAAACTTATTACCAAGAGTTCTACTTTTTGTACAATATGGGTACAAATTTTACATTTTCAGTTAATTACAGATTACTCTGAATCTTCTTTTTTTCATATAATTATTACAAAAATTAATGATTTTATCATTTTCAACTATTATATTATAAATATACTCGTTGAATTATTAAGTTTATGAACTGATGTAAAAATAAAATCTGATTTTATTAATAGTTCTTAATTATTGACTTTGTTGAAAAAAGAAAATATATTCATGAGATGTTTGTTAATCCAATATAAATATAAAATAAAAATAAAAACAATGACACCACAGTATAAAATAATTCCTTATCCATAAAGTCAAGTTAAATTCCTGAAAGTTAAATTATGTTGTCACAACTTATAATTAAGTCTGCATTAAATTAAGCTAAAATCAAATTGAAACTATTTGTTAAAATAAGGTAAATGTCACTTGAATTTTTTAAATTTAATAATTTGACTTCAATAAATTCAAATAAACGATAATATTATAATACTATTAAATTTATACAATCTTTTAATATTATCAGAGGACTGAAATAAATAAACGTTATGACAGGAGAATTTTAATAAAAAAAATGGTTTGGAAAGGTTGAATCAACTTTAGTTTAATTTTGAGTGAGTTTGATTTAGATTAATTTAAAGTTAAAAAGGTTTTGATGCATTTTCATCATGATATTTTGAATATATAGTTGTTATGATTATTAGAAATGTTAAATAGATAACTTCGTAGATTTTGTGAGCTGATAATATTGAATATTGTTTGAGACAATGGAGATGAAATTGTTAGTAAATCATAGAATTGAATTTGAAATACATGTTTTGAATTGGTTACTTTTCATATTTTATTTTTAAATATTTATAAAATTTATTAAAATGATTTATAAAAATAATTAATTTTTATATTTTAAAACTTTAAATTTCATAATTGTTTATAAAATTTTAGTCTCATGTTAATTTCAAACAAGAAAGATGAATAAGCTACCACGTGCCATTAGTGAGTTGCGTGAATAGGCAAACTGGTGAGAGAAAAAAACGTGCCCAACTGCTATAACACCTAACAGGAATGACACGCACTACCAACCTTCAAAGTTCAGACCCAACTTGATAATATTATCCCCAAAACAGCCACAATCCACTCATCTGTGCGGTCCATATCCAGCGTTAATGCACAATCAGTAAAGAACAGAGAGTGCTTTGTTATTTTCAGTTACATCAACTACAAACATAAATGGCCAAATAAACGATAATCTAAAGTCATACATTAATTAACATAAGCAAACAAGAAGAAACAGGACAGGATCTTTCCCGGGTCTGTACAAGGAACAGAAGGATCAAATTCAGTCATTTCAAACTTTGCCTTCTTAAATCTATCGCCCCTTTCCTTCTCCATCTCTCTCTTTCTCCCACCAAAAAGACAGGAAACTAGAGATGCATATATGAGATTAATCTAGACAAGGACCATGACATAATCATGAGTCATATTTCTTAGGCAACACTAATGATGCTATCTCCATTGCTGAAACATGGTATGGCATGTAAAGCTGAATGTCTTGATGATGTTTGCCTTTGGTCAGAAGAGAAGGATAGCCCCAAGGACAGTGTGGGTGGGTCAACAGCAGAACTAGAACTTGCGGTGATGATATCAGACACTGTGGAAACTTTAGGATCTGCAACAACAGGAACTGCACGGACCAGATTGGTTGGCACATTGTGTTCTATGTTTCCTTGTCCCAGGGTGAGTTCTCCTATTGGGTTTCCACCTTGGACTGAAATCACTCTAGAACCAACTCCAAACTGATAAACTGGCATCATTGGAAACCCACCCACTTTGCTAGTTTCAGGGACTGCAGGGCACACAGATTGTGAATGAGACAGGGTATCTTGATTCTGGAACTGTTCTTCCTCCATTAGAATTCCAGAGACCTGACACAAAAATTGACAAAATCATGAATATTTTGTCACTCCAAATTCCAATCCAAGTTTGAAAGAGTTTTTAACTCCAGTCAACTCAACTCTTCCACACACTTACCAAAAACATTCATTTGCACTACCAAAGGAATTTCATAACAAGACTCACAAGACAGCAGAAGCTTCCTTTTTCTTTTCTTTTTTCAAATCCCTAAAATGGAATAGTTAATAATATCCAAGACTAGACTATTGACTAGAACATCAAAAAATATCTGAGAAAATACATGTCATTTCTTAAAACTGTAACTCTATTGATTAGAAGTATAACTAATTGAAAATGAGTTAACACTAAAACCATCTCATTATTTTTTTTTTTTTATAAAGAAACTGGTTGAGAACTTAATTTGAAGCAAATATTTCATTCATAATAAGGGTAACAGATGATGGGAGTAAGAGGAACACGGAAAATCACCGTCTCGGTGGTGATGTCAAAGAGGCTGGATCTACGGCGACGGCGATTCAGGTTGCTTCGACGGAGAAAGTACTTCTGAGCATGGCTAGCAACCTGAGTCGGAGTTCTGGTTTTCACATAGTTTTTGGAGATTCCTCTCCAATCACCTTTCCCTACCTTCTGCAATCCAACCAAAAACAGCTTGTGCTCTTCTTCTGTCCAGGGAACCCCTAATCATCAACACAATTTCAATTAATCCATGGGGAAGCACCGATTATGCGATCAAACAAGAGAAATTATATTAACATTAATAAACAACCAATCGAAGATACGGATCGAACCTCGCTTCCGCTCACGCTCGCGATGGCGGCCAGAGTTATGAGGCACAGCATCATCCGCGGAGGCATAACCAGCGGCGAGAACATCCTTGTTGACGTTGTTGTTAGCCTCTTGGGGATGCTCATACTGTGAGAGGTTGTTCATGCTGACGCTCTTCCTCATGGAATCCACAACAACTCGAACCCCGAACAGCATGATCTCGCCGACGGAGTCTGCTGCGGCACAGGCAAGAGACATGGTCGGATCGGACTGCGGTTACGGTTTGTGTGTGTGAGTAAGAGATTATCAAAGTAGGAAGGAGACGTGTGTGAGTAGGTGAGAGGAGAGAAGAGAGAAGATGAAGGAAGGAAAGAAAGGAGAGAGACAAGAAAAGATAGAAGTTAAGTGCCTGCTGTTTAATACAACAGAGTTTCAGCCTGCAATGAGATGGCAACCATGTGGAGCATAATTTTTTAAAAGAAATTTTTTTTTCTAACTTAAATGAAATATACAAAAAAATTATTGTCCATACTGTAAATTTTCATGTATTATTTATCAATTCATTTAAAATATTTTATATAAAAATTATAAAATAACTATTATAAAGTTAAATCATCTTATAATATTTTAGATTTGTGATTAATATAATATCATATTAATATAAATATTATGTATTAAATATTAATATTAAAGGTTAAATAATTTTTTGTATTTTTTAATTTAATTTAATTTTTATATTTGAAAAATATTAATTTTTAACTTATAAATATATCTTATCTTAAAAAAATTATATTTAAATTTAATTAAATTAATAAAAAATATGTTATTTTATTTTACATATATAAGCTTAATATTTACTAGTTTTAATTATTTTAATTTAATAAAAAAATTAAAATTTTAAATTTAAAGACTCTTATCAGTCAAATATATATATCCACTTATTAAAAATATATATTAATTATTTTTATATAATAAAACAATATCCAGGTTAAACAATCTTCTTAGTTTGAACAACACTCAGTAAACATCTCATTTACAATAACAAAGTTAAATAATAGTGAAAGATGTAGTACCTGAAAAAGGTGAAAAATAATATTTCCAATATTAATATTAAAAAAATATAAAATTAATTTTTTATATTATAATTTTATTATTTAATAAATAAATTAATGTTTTTTATGAGATTTCTAATATGTATTTTATATTAAGAATATATATTTACTTGTAATTTAATAATTATTCAATAGTAACTTGATGATAATAATAATAATATTTATTATTATTATAAATTAATTTATATATTATTTAAAAGTAATTATTTTTATTTCATAAAATTGATTAATTTAATTATTTTTTATATAATGTAAGATTTTCAATTATTATTAAATTATGTGTATCAAAATAAACCTAAACTGTTAAAATGCATGAAAATAACTATATATATATAGATAAGTTATGTCAGAACCAAGATATTTTGGCACATAAATATATCTCACGGTCTAAATGTAAGAGAAGGGTAATCATGAATCAAAGGGTTTTATTTTATTTAGACTTGGTCTAATATTTTTAATTTTAATTAACAATGAGAAAAAGGTCAAACCACTGCATAAATTTTAAAATTCACAATATATTATTTTAGCTTCATAAACACAACTAGTTACAATTTTTTAATACAAGTATAACATATCAATTAAAGTTTTGAGCTATGTACCCAAATATTTGAGCTTTAATTCTCTGAAAAATAACAAATTAGTTAGGACAAAATTTAATTAAAACAAATATTTTCTATGCATTGATAATATAAAAAAATGTTATATCATTAACAAATCTACTCAGATTACATATCACTTAATTATTATAAAGATAATAAATTTATCATAATATATGTTATTTATGATTGAATGAATTTAGATTTATTTAAATACACACGTAAAGTATTATTCGGATAATTACACTATATAAAAATAAGATGTATGATTTCTGTAACCATTTAATTATTTCTAAAAAATAATGTATAATTATATATGTTTGATAAAATACCAAGGATCAATAAAATAATCTTCTAGTCTTAACTTGTTTTATATGTTAATAAATTAATTTTAATCACAAGTGTGACATATTAAAAATATATAACATAATATAAAAGATTAATTATTAATCTTGGTCTCATTGTTGCTAATGAAGTTTAATATTAAGATATTGTACAAATAAGATACAAATAAAATATAAGAGTACACTTTACAGCCAATCCTGGCATGTTATTAGCATCGAATGCATGAAAAGAGACGAAAATGTAAATTGTGGGTTGCATTCCCAAGCACACATGTCTTAAAATCATTGGATACTAAGATAATAAAACAAATTACAAGGTTGTAACATGAAAAAGAAATAAAAATAAAAAATAAGCAATTCATGGACCAGTGGGTTTTCACGGAGATCCGCAAATTATGCTACACATAACCTAAGATCAAGAACTTTGTATTTTGTGGTAAAATGTTACACATTAGGTTACTTTGGAGTAAATATGAAGTTATGATGACTAATCAGTGATTAATTAAGTCCTTCAAGCACAAACAATTGTGTCAATATTCTAATAAAATCTGTGAGTGTTATTAATTATAACAAAACGTATGGAGGCTCCTAACCAAAGCAATTAAATGGAATTGAATTGAATATCGATATCACATTGTCTGCATTTGTATTCTCTGCAACAAATAATAATAATAATAATAACAATAACTTTTCATAAAAAATAATGATACATTATTTAAAAAAATAGATATACCATTATCTAAATATTAATCATAACCTAGTTTTCATTAATAATATTTTAATGTCAATATGTATCCCATGTTGCAGTTATATACTTAAATTTACAATGAACATGTGAATGAAGGTGTACCAATTAGATTGGCACTTATATATAAAACTATTTGATATCATCTTACTAAATAATTTAAATATGATTTAATTTTATAAAACGAAAATTTCACTTACATATTATTTTGATATCATCTTTAATGAACTTAAAGTTAAAGTTTTCTTAATTTTTTATTTTATTTTTGAAGTTGGTTAATGAAATTGTAAATAGATACTTTATGATTTTAAACTTTCAAAAGAATCTTTCAAATAATGTGTTTAACCTATTCCACAAAATACATAAAAACACAACACACATAAGCATTTAGGTGAATTGACTAACATAGAAGATATTTTGAGGTATGAAATGACATTCATTTACATTGGTATTAAATTGGCATTGAATGTGTGTAATTTAAGCAAGAGAAATCCTAGGAAAACCAAAACCAGGAATAGAATGGAAAGAGAGAGTGGAGAAGTAGGATATATTACCCCAAAGCAACGATTTGATAAATGGAACTCCGACACATGGGCTCCTCCAACCTTTATCTTGTTCAAAGTTTAATTGAAGGCACAAAGTATGAGGGTCACATGCATGTATGCAACCAACTAAGTCTCAAATCTTCATCTATGAGATCAATGGTCAACCTTACACTATTCTCCGCAACTTGTCTATAAACTAAATATTATTTAAATTAACACCCCATTAAGTGGATATTAAATTAAACCCACCTGATCATACACTGATTAAAAAATGCAATAATTAAGAGTTGCCCTTGGTTTTATATTTGGCAATGTTGGATCTTTAATCATAGAAATTAGGTTGTGATGGTAGTAATGATAATGAAAGGAAATAATGCGAAAAGGGATGGAAGATGGCGTGTGCAGAGCAGTGGGTTTTTAAACATGTTGGTGTAAAATAAAAAGATATTATTATGATATTGTGATAGGTACCTTTGATGGTGGGGTGCAAGAGGGAATGGAGGATAAGAGAGGGATAAGGGTTTGTGGGTTCCACTATCTATCTATCTATCAATGCCATTTTGTCCTTCCTTTCCCTCTCTCTCTCTCTATCTTCCAACTCACCCACAATTTTTTACTCTCTATATATGTTTACAGTAACAACAACTTTATTCAAAATCAAAACATCCCTTTATTTATTCCCTTCTCAACAGGGCATTCCATGTATTTTTCCTCATATATCACTTGTTAATTACAAAAAATCTTCAATCTCTCCTCTATATATATCTTGCACACGTATGCAACAGTGCAGTGATTGACTCAATCTTTTTTAAAACCCCACGTGATATGTACGTATATAATTTTTTTATACTTATTAAAATTATCGTTTACATAACCCAGAGTTCAACGTTAAAATTACCTCTTCCTGTCAAAAATATTAAAATTGGCTCCTTTTTTATTTTAGTAAAAACTTTAAATTGCGAGATTCCGCGTTAGAATCTGTTTCGTAATTAAGATTATTTATAAAAGACATTAACTTCTGGCCTATTTAATTTAACTTAATATTATTCATAAATTTAACTAAATTATGGGTGTCAAAGTCTGCGAAACATTTGATCCAATAAGTTTCTACCTCAATTGGAATTTAATTATTTGAAGTATTTTATGCATTCTATGTCCTCTTGTAAAAAACTAAGTGTAAAAGGGGGTGAATGTAAATAAAAGATAATTTGACATTCAACTCAAGCGAGAATGACAATACCTCATAAATGTTTACCTACTATTATAATGTTGATTATATTTGTTAGTGTTTTAAGTTGGGTTGAATTGTCTTACATGAATATATATAGATTTCATTTTAATTAGAAATCTTATAACTAAGTGTTGATTCAATCATCTTACATAACTAAGGCAAGTAATCCATTCCAATTCACAGGGTCCAAGTCCAATCCGAAATAATTACTCCCACAAATCTCAAATTATATCTTTCTGATTTTCTTTTCTAAATTATATTGCTATAAGAAAATATATATTTATCATATCATATTATTTTTCTTAATTAGTTTATTATTAAATTTATTTCATTAATATTTTTAATAAATTTTAAAAAATTCATTCTTTTTTATAAGGTGTTTAATGAAATAACTATTAAAAGTTTAAATAACTTCCCATATTATATATGATTTTAAACAATTAAACATTTTCATAAACTAGTTTTAATTGGAGATACTCTTAAATAACTTATTATATATTTTTTGTCTAAAATAAATATAACTAGAAGAAAAATTATAACTGATAAAAGAATAATTAATATAATCTTAAATTTTACCATCTTCTTAAATTTAGAAACAATTTTTTTATACAAAATGTCTACATTTTGAGAGAGATGGAACATTAAACATGAGGAGTATCAAATACGAAATGACTTATTATTCTTT